ATAACCTGCCCTTCCCTCTGTTCCCCTCTCACCCCTACTACAGATGAGTGTCCTGATCTACAGAGTTACAGGCCTTATAGCCCCGTGCAGAGGAGAGAGAGTGAACTGGACAGTAAGCCCCTGACTAAGGTCCAGTTCCTGGGAGGCCTGATTGTACTTCCTGGATTGGATTCTGTAAGAATGCCCCGATTTCCTGAAACAAAGTTCTTTTCCTTAAACTAGCTTGAGTGGGTTTTGGTTTGTTTTGTTTTAAATCTTTTTTTTTTTTTTAAGATTTTATTTATTTATTTGAGAGACAGTAAGAACACGGGAGGGGCAGAGGGAGAAGCAGACTCCCCACTGAGCAGGGAGCTGGACAGGGGGCTGCATCCCAGGACTCTGGGTTCATGAACTGAGCTGAAAGCAGACATTTAACTGACTGAGCCACCCAGGTGCCCTGGTTTGTTTAGTTTTGATGCTCATATCAGAAGATTGGTACCAAGATTGGAAGGAAGCCCCAAGGATGCTGTAGAGTTGGGGTGAAGAGGGGTGGTTACAACGGATCTCAGTGTGAGGATCTGACAAACTGGGGGAATGAAGTCGAAAAATAGCTTGCTAAGTCTCTACTGGTAAGCCTACACCACAGGCCTCCTGCTGGATCAGGGGGCCAAATACTCTATCAGGATGTGATTCCTCCTTGGGATCTTGAGGGAAGTACAAGATGAGAGGCAGTCTGAGGTTTATCGGGCAGAACTGGAAGCAGATAGAGTAGGAAGAAATTTTCTTCCCTCCTTAACCCTTCTTTCCAACTCCTTTCCACTAATATCATTGGGAGATTTGGGTAAAATACTGTGTCAAGAGTTACATTGTGAGGCATGGCTGATATTAGCAAGATGTTACTTGTAGATTGCCCAGTCGTATCAGTAGAAAATGAAGTCTCTTTCTATGAGGCTCTGTAAGAACCTTCCCTTGCATGGTAGAAAAGATAGTGAGGATTGTGATGGGGAAAAAGAAAAACAGAGTCGAGTCTCCCAGATGCCCAAGTGAAGCACAAAGACTCTATGAACTGGACACTGGAGAGTGACACAGTGGGAAAAACATAGAGGTATTTGGCACCATCCAGAGGACTCTGTGTTTGGGACCCAGTTAAAAGATTTTCATATACACGGGACAAATCCTTATTTACTAACATTTGTAATACACCTAGTATGTACCTAGTGCTTTATACATAGTAACAACACAAGAGTGTTTCATCTTTCAGAAGATGAAGAAACTGAGGCTTTGGCTTTACATCACTTGGCAATGCTAATATGATAACCATTTATTTACAACCAGTAGTAAGTAGAGTAAGGTTCTGAACAGTGGCCATCGGAATCTCAATCTTCACAGACTTTTTCCACCAACCAATCTGTCTCAGTTTACTCTAAATGACATAGATTCAAAACACAGATGTAAAAGGACAGAGGGTTTAAGTGAGTACTATAATGTTCCTACTTTTGATAGTAATGTAAATATACAAGAACAAACAGCTTATGAAATTATTCTCAAGTGTTTAATTAAAATCCATATAGCATTTAACATGTATAGATTTTTAAACTTTCAGTGACTCTTATACTTTAAAATCCTTCTGCACAACATTTTGAGGCTAACTTCATGCTAGATATCTACAAATGTACAACTTAACACAAAAATACATTCGGAGTCCATTCCAATGCAAGTTTAAAACACTTTAATTGCAGATAATGTAAAGATATTTAAAAAACAAAAACTACAAAATGAGCACATAAAAGTCTTCCCTTTTCAATTTTTAATAAAATACTGCTCTGTATAAGATCTAATGAAAATTTCCAGTTACTTATAAAATAGCTATGTGAGAAAAGAAATGAATTAAGGTATATATGTATGAATTAGATTGTTTAAATGAATAGAATATTGAACATTTTGATTGATACAACACACTATTTATTACCCATATATCAAAATAGAGGAAAACCCTCAAAGAAGCAACTGGGTGCAGGCAAAAGAAAATTTAAGAGACCTGAGGCAACAAAACAACAACAAAAAAAACAAACCCCAAAACAAAGGAAAGAGCCCCTTAGCTGAAAAGGAAAAGGAGTAAAAGAACTTAAAGCAAACTGTGGACCAAATTCTCAGTCCTATTATTCATGAGAAACAGTATGAGAATTTGGCTTCAAATTGCTAAAACATCTGTATGAACTTAATTATTTGGCCTAGGCAATTTAAAAGTATACCAATTGTTGAAATCAAAAGCAATGGGTGTACTGCTGGGAAAAAATTAATTTTTGCAGGTTTTACTATGTAAAACTATCTACTGGAAACCAGAGTCTCCATCACAAATTGCACTTGAGATGGCTGAATGCATTGATTGAGCAAGGCATAATTGCTGGTTCACTGACATACACACAAACACAAAAGCAGCTATAGATTGCTGATATTTTTAATTACTAAAACTATTTTACATGTGGTTTTTTTTTTTCCCCCTCTCTGGGGGGGAAAAAAAAGATCAGCAATACCAGAGCTGTTAACTCAGTATGGTATGGTAATAGGGACACTTCCACATGCCTGCTGACTCGCCACTGTTGTCTGTCTGTTTCAACACAGTCTCTTACTGCTCCCTGGCGGAAGATGTAGAGGTCTGATGGAAATACGAACCAGGTCAGTTTGAAAGTATTCATTTCTGGAATTTTAAGCTTTATTCTGACTAGAAAAGGATGCTCCTGTGAAAAAGACTGTTCCATTGACGAAGCTTACAAAATATGCATAAAGAACACTACCAGTTTGAGTGCTATCACTATCTCTAGAAAAATGATAAAGGAACTTAAGTGATTTTTTTTTTAAGTAGACAAAACTTGTCACAGTTATATCTCTCCAATAAATTAATTCTCCTCTATAGTAAAAACACAATTTGGAAGCAAGATGACCCTAAGAAACATAGCAAGCTTGAAAAGCTGGGAAATTGTAGACTGTTGCTTTAAAAAAGATACTCTGAAAAATGAGACAAAACACATTAGGCCTAACTTCAGTGGAGATCTGGACAGTATTATTCACCCTAAGGTAAAAATTAGACAACCACTACAAAAAAGTATGATTCATTAATACAAATAGAACGGATGAAAAGTGACTAAAAAAGCCCCTGCAACTTATCTGCTTCCTTGATCTGGAAAGATAGAATATAGTCTGAAAATGCAGTGATTGGAAGTATCTTATTTAATTGGTTTCTTTCTTCCAAGTCCTCCCTCACTGCTTCTCCCCTTAAATGAAGATTCTAGATTAGTTTGAAAATAACAGTCTAAAACCAAAGCAAATACCTGATCATAGGAAAGGAAAAACAACAAAAAACCTGCATCAAGAGTTCTTCATCTCTCCTAATAGAAACAAAACTAAAACAAACCTTATCTTTTCAGTTTTAAAAGAACTCCTTATCCCTCTGAAAAGCAAGCAACATCTTAAACTGAAACCAAGGTACACTGACAGGCAAAATTAATGTCTCATGCAACTGACTCTCAGATGTTTAAGACCTTAGTCTACATGATGTTTAAATCAATTAATAGATTTTGTCCAATTATAAAACTAGGTGATGATCAGGCAATGCAGGCAATTGTAACAAGGAACAATGAAACTAGAAGAATCAATTTCAAAATTCACTTAATGCACTCAAAAAAAAAAAGAGAGAAATTAACTGAATAAGAATATTTAGTTACGTGGAACTAACTTGGTTATGTGGAAGCATGAAGCAATCTGGGGACTCTGCTCTTCTGTGCCCTATTGAGACCACAGCTTTCACAGAAAGTTTACAGCAGATTCAACAGTCAAATGGGCATATTTCTAAACTTTGAGCTGATCTGAGTTTGCCCAATCCAAGACGGAAAAATTGTGTTTCCCATACTATCAACGAATCCAGTCTCCTCAAGATTATCATGAGATAAAAACTCTGTTTTTATCTGTTTTTATCTCTGTTCCTTATGTCCTGCACAGGGAGGCACAAGTCCTGCTGATCTCCTATTGATCTCATGCCCACATTTGGAATAGGTCTACAAAGGGAAAGGAAAAGACGAAGGCCTGACCACTAATCTCGTCATTATCAAGCTCTTTCCTATATTTTAATCTCTCTTCAATCTTGACCTTTAGAATACTATGTGTTTTTTTTAAAAGGGAGGAAGGACTAAAAAGAAAACACTTTTGCTGCCTATTCATGTAGAATTATCAGCTCACTTTGCTCAAACACTGGGGAAATATCCTATGGGTCTGGTGGCAATATGCTTTTTGAAATTTTCTTGGGAGTTTTCAGAAGATGGCACATGCTCCTTCCTTTGTACTCTAAAAAAGATGTGGGTTGTACGCTGTTTTTAGAGGGGCCACACAGCAGTGATGAGCAAGGCAATTCTTGAATGCTGGAGTTTGTACAGGTACATAAGATAAAAAATATTACATACTTTAAAGTAGTTAAGAGGTTAACAGAACATTATTATCACAATTTAACTTTTTTGTATTGTGTTCTCATAATACAGATTTCCTTTTAAAACAAAGAGAGAGTTTGTGGGACACTAAGGACAAACACAGAATTATTTGAACTTCATTATTCAAGATCCCACTACAGATAAACATTCCCAACAAGGACATGCTGGGAACCAATGAACATCTGAATCTAGAAAATTAACAGAAAATAAAATCACAGAAACTCACATGACTATAATAAATGACAGATAATGAACACTTATCTCTTACACTAAAGGCACTACTAATATACAAATATCCTATTAACATTTAGAGACACTCTGAAATCAGCAGTTAGAGAAAGGAATCCATTTAGTTCAATACCAGCACTTAAAAAAAAACAGACTACTTTAGGACTCATGGCAGGGTTTTTAATGAGTTAAATGAAACTGGATATAATAATAAGTAGCTCCATATAAACATTATGGTTCCTACTTTTTAAAAAATTATGATAACTTACTTCCTTAAAAATATAAGCATATCACAAAAACTAAAGGATAAATATATATATGTGTGTGTGTACATATTTATATACATATATAAAAAAACTCAGGTCCTGGTACCACTGAGAAATTTTCATAAATTCTAAAATGATTTCAACAGCCACAGCTTGAACAATACACACTTCACACATGACATGCAAGGACAAAATGCCAGAGTCACTGAGCAGTTCAGCATAAAGCTAAAAATATGGAAACAGAATGAGACAGGCGTTTGTCATGTAAATAAAGTACATCACAAACTGATTGTGCCTGTATTATAGCACACCTCAGAATTTTTTTAAAAATTAGAATTTCATCAATCTCAAGAAACACGACACATGGACCAACAAAGAAGCTCTCATATATGTTTAAGCAAGTAAAAAGCTATACAAAAGAATAACACAATTTCAACTAACAACATGATTAATATATTTTATTCTATTAGAAGATTAATTTGTAGTCGTTGTACCCTGTAGATTTTGAAACTTAATTTTATTAGAAATTTCTAATGCTGGTTCTTGAGTAATCTAAAAAATTGTAATTACTTGCTCAAATCTAGATTGCTATTTATAGTTCTAAGCAGTTAAATGAAATACTCTGATCAGTATTCTAAAGTTGCTTTGGTACAAAATGTAGAATAAAGCAAAACTGGCAGCACCACAACACGTGTGATCATTTCACAGCAGGTCTAAAGGACCCTCAGAGACAACAAAATGTAAGTTAAAATACTTATAAATAAGAGTCATTCTCCTGACAAACCAGTCACATCATTAAAAAGAGAAATAAAATCCACATTCAGTAGATTGAGGCCCAATTTTCAAGCTCCATTTAATTATCCCTCAATAGTGTAAAAAAATTTTTTATTATTGCACTATGATGTCTAATTCATGGTTCAGTATACTTCTGTTGATGAGAGGCCAAGAGTTAGAGTGGTACACTTTAATGCTTAGTCCACTGATACTATTTTAACACAAGGTTTAATTTAGTTTTTCTTTTTTACAGCTTTACTGAGGTATAATTGATGTAAAACAAACTGTGCATGTTTAAGATGCACAATTTGATATAGCATGAAAAGTGCCTGACAAATTAAAAAATTTTAACTGAAAGGAAAATTTTTAATCAAAATGTACTACTTTAAAATAGCACATTCTAATTTTTTATGAGACACAGATGTGGATTTCTAAAAAGGTGGGTGGAAAGGAAAGAAATTAATTTAATTCCAGGTACCAAATTTATTCAGAAGGTTTGGAAACGCCGAAATTGACGGCCAGTTTTCTTGATTTTCTTCTTGAAGAAGAGCTTGGTGTTGACTTGTGATGAGACATACTATGGCCTTGGGAGGCAGCTTCAACTTGAAAAGAAGACGCAGGCTGAGTATTCTGAGAGGACTTTAAGGAAGCGGATGAACTCTCCTGTGGAATCACTTTGGTGACACTGGAAGACCCTGGCTGGCTAGTCTGAAGTGGGGTAGCGTGAGAACTCTGGGCCTCCTTACTCTCCAAGTTCTTTTTATTTGCAACCCTTTTTTTAGTAACCTTTAAGGAATAAAAGTGTTGTTAATTATCAATGTACACAGAAAAAACTAGTGTCATAAACCATGTTGCTAATAGTTGTCAATCATGCTGACCTGTGACTTCCACTTACAGTCTACAAACCAGACTTAAGAAATTAAAGGAAATTTAAAAATTCTCCATAACTTAAATATAAAGAAAATTTTAAAATTCTCTATAAATTAAAAACAATTTATATTCCTGATTTTAAAATCACTTTGTGCTAGAAAAGGACATTACTTGCTGTAATTATTGTTATTTATTGGAACACAAACTCAAGAGAGCAGGGACCAGGTCAGACTGGTCACTGATGGTCATAATATATATTCTCAAAAAAAAAAATACATACATATATTTTTTTAAAATAATCTCTACACTCAAGTGGGGCTTGAACTCATGACCCTGAGAGCAAGAATCGTATACTCTACTGACTGAGCCAGCAGGCACCCTGAGCATGGGTCATTAATATATATTCTTAGCACCCGGACCAGTACTGGGCTTCTGATTGGCCTTTAATCAGTAATAATTAAGTAAGCAAATTTTTCTCAACAGTCCTTGAGCATTAGCAAATTACTCTCTTAAAAATATAGTAATTCTCTTTTCAGACTCACCTGTAGAGGTATGAACTGATTGTGCACACCACCTGGCATTCCTCCAGCCATTGGCATGGTCCCAGAATATGAAGGATGATGAAATGGTTTCCCAGGAACTGGCACTGGTGGTCCCCATGGCATGGAGCCAAAGAGGTGAGATGATGAAGGCATTATATTAGCTGTTAAAAATCATGGACAATTTCTTTTTTAGTAAAATGGTGTCATCAGAGTCCTGAAATCTAAGATCTCTTTCTGCTGCCCCCTTTATTTTGTTTTTGTTTTTTGTTTTTCATCTTGACAAAGGGCATACACTGAACTTGTAATCCATTTTGCTTACAACATTCCACCTCAGGAGCCCCCCTTAGGACTGTGAAGTATTTACATAAGTTAGCTTGTCATTATGCTGTCTGGCTTACAAAGGCCAAGAGTACCATATAGTTATATGAGCTTTAGGAATATTTGTAATACTATTTAATAAAAGGATCATGAAACTGTCCCTTGGGGGAGAAAAGTCAGGGCACAAAGAGAGAAATCTTAAGGATCTCACCTGCCCCCAATGCTAAGTTGCTTCCATAGTGATCCCAGCCTACAAAAAAACCAAAAAAGCTCAAGTCTTTAAATCTGATCACTTTCATTTGACATGCAGAATCTTTCTTTTCCCTATTCTAGTATTCTTAATTAAAGGATTTTTAAAATTTACATTTTGTTTCTTACTAAATGTACACTGAACCGTGGTTTCCAAAACTGATTTGTGTATCGGAATCACCTGGGGAGCTTGTGAAATACAGATTCCTGGGGAGGACCCCAGGCCTATCAGACTTGGAGGGAACCAGGACTCTGTATTTTTTGAAGTGCAGTTGACATACAATATAATACGAGTGTCAGGTGTACACCAGTTGAGTACAGTGAGTACAACAAAGTGCTCACCATAAGTGTGGTTACTACCTGTCACCATAAAGTTATTAAAATATTATTGAATATATTCCCTCTGCTGTTCCTTTTGTCTTTGTGACTTGTTTATTTTATAACTAGAAGTTGTACCTCAGTCCCTTCACCTGTTTGCTCATCCCCCACTCCCTTCTCCTCTGGTAACCACTAGTTTAATCTACATTTATGAGTCCGTTTCTGTTTTGTTTTGAGATTCCACATATAAATGAAATCATACGGTATTTGCTTTTCTCAGTTTTACTTTGATGGACATTCAGGTTTCTTCCATAAGCATGCATACATCTTTCTGAATTAGTGTTTTTGTTTTCTTTGGGTAAATAACCAGAAATAGATTGCTGGATCATATGAACCCTTATTCTTAATTTTTTGAGGAATCCAAGGAATCTGTAGTTTTTGTGTGTCTCTTTGTTTTTAAAGGGGAGGGAGGGGTTGAGGGAGAGGAAAACAGAATCTTAAACAGGCTCCATGCCTAGCAGGGAGCCTGATGTGGGGATCTACCTCACAACCCTGAGATCCTGACCTGGGCCAAAACCAACAGTTGGACTCTTAACCGAGTGAGCTGCCCATGTGCCCCAAACTTGTCATCGTTTAATGTAGTAGTTTCTAAATGCTGCACTGGTAGTGGCTGTGTAAGAATCCACCTGTGGAGCTTGTTATCAATACAGATTCCTGGGGTGCCTGAGTGGCTCAGTCAGCTGGACATCTGACTCTTGATTTCAGCTCAGGTCATGATCTCAGGGTTGTGAGATCAAGCCCAAAGCTGGGCTCTGCGCTCAGTGTGGAGTCTGCTTGAGATTCTCTCTCCTTGTCCCTCTGCCCCTCCCCCAGTTGGCACATGTGCTCTCTCTCCCTCTCTTTAAAATAAATAAATAAACTCTTTAAAAAAATGACAAGTGGGACATTAGCACATCACCACTGAAGAAGATATGCACTGTGTTCAAAACTTCTTTTCAGAGAGATAAAAAGGCAACCAAATCTGTAAGACAGTATAGCTTAGTAATTCAGCCACTTAAGAAATTTTGGCATCAGGAAAAAAATCATATATTTTAGTGTTTTGAATTACACATGTACAACATCTAGGATGAAGACAACTTTTAATATGAAAAATGCTAAAAATATTCAGGTCTTAGTACTACTAACTATAAGCAACTTTGGTGCCAGTCATAATGTTAACAAGATCTGTTTAAAAGATGCTATATTAATCTTCTGCAAGGATCAGTTCCACAATTTCCCCCTCAAAAAATCACTGTTCTAAATATGAAATACACTTTCCTCCACTTGTTTTCACTGGGACTTTTAATACCAGAAAATAGAAATCTACAAAATAACTTTAAAATGTTAATCTGATGATTCAGTTTTTTCTCCTGATTAACACTGAAATCTCTTGGCTTTTACTTATATCATGTATAATATGGTCCAATTGAATGGGACCATGGGAGAACACCTATTATGAGACCAAAAGATTTCCAATTATAACCTTAAAATTCTTGGAAGGTAGGAATACAGTATCATAAATATGATATACTAATGAACATAAGTGTAATAATTAACACAAAAAAGGTAAAAATATCAAACTGTAAAATATCGATAAGTGGGAAAACAATCATTCTTTTTAGATAATACATCTCATAACCTACACATATTAATTATACTAAAGATTTACATGTAGTTACTGGGTTCACTTTTGAAAGAGAAAAAGCTGTCAAATTAGATTTTAGAAGTCAGAGTGAACTTACTTCCTTGAGCTATATGAAAACACCAGATTTATTCAGTCACAAAAATTTTATGACTAAAGCATTGTTTATACAGTTGAAGAAATACCAGTGCAGTACAGTAACAAAACCATGGACTTTGGAGTTAGAAAGACTTGGGTATGAATGCTAGTTTTGCTACTCAGGAACTTACGTCCTTAAACAAATTACATTTTCTTAAAAAGTCAAAGTAGTATATACACATTGTAATAAAAATATTTTCAACATAATAGAGTAGATGATCCCAGGTTTAACTGTTTAAGCTGTTTATTTCTACCACTGTTCAATAATTTGCTTCTACTACTACTGATTTTTCAATGTTAGGCATTTTTAGGTCTACTGACTTCCTAGTAAGATAGATCAGAATTCAGGTCGATCAAAATCAAAATTATTTTATATCACTCCTTACTACTTGCTCTGTTTTTCCAATAAAAATATATCATTATTTATGATTTATGATTTAAACAAATATATTTGTTTAAATATATAAGTGGGGTTTACAGTATGTGGTTCTGTAAATATTGTCATTGCAGAGCCAAGTAGGTACTCTGATTATGTTCTTTTCTTGCAAAACTTTTTACTGTTTTTTAAAAAATTTAATTATTTTTAAAGATTTTTTTAATTTGTCAGCGGGAGACAGAGAAAGAGAGAGAGAGCAAGCACAAGCAGATGGAGAGGCAGGCAGAAGGAGAAGTAGGCTCCCCACTAAGCAGGGAGTCCAATGCAGGACTCAATCCCAGACCCTGGGATCATAACCTCAGCCGAAGACACACGCTTAACCAAGTGAGCCACCCAGGTGTCCCTACTCTTTGAAAAGTAATTATCTTCTTAAAACTTCTTACTCTTCTAACTCTTCTATGTACTTATCCTTGATGTTCTTCCAGATGCTGCCCATTTATCAGATAACTATCTTACCTTCTAAGACCTCCCTCTGCTCTTCCAATTGGGAAGAGTTACTTTCTAGACCTGCTGAGGAGCTGGCACATTGGGACTTCCATTCATTGCATTAGTATACTAGACCTCTTGTGGTGTAGTCTTACGGTTTTTCTTTAATTTTTTCTTTCCTTCTTTGTGTCTTCCTTTTTTCCTTCTCCTTTTCTGTCTCTCTTACAACTACTTTGTTTTGTTGGAACATATAATCAATCCTCTAGCTTCTTAAGGGTGCATAAGAAGGAGATTAGCATGTCTAAAAATGTTTTTATTCCACCTTGTACTAGACTTATAGTTTGACTAAACAAAGAAATCTAAGATAAAACTAATTCTGCCTCAGAATTTTAGTATATGTGCTGCCGAAGCGAGCACTCTGCCTCAGAATTTTGATGTATTCAATGCTCAGTGCTTCTCAGTTCTCTTCAGACGACCTCTTTATCATTTGGTATTCTCAATTTCAAGGCAATCTCTTTTTTCGTGGCCCTTTCAACCTAGAGCTGCATGTCCTTTAGTCCAGGAAACATTTTTATCTTATTTCTTTGATACTTTCTTCCTTTCCTACCTTTGTCTCTAGTTCTTTGTTCTGGAACTCCAATTAGACAGGTCCTGGATCTGTGTACTCTTCCTCTAAATCTCCATTCTTTCTGATTTTCCACTTTTTATCTTGTTCTTCCTGAGAGTTCTTTGGCTTTGCTAAGGCTTTATCTCTTGGAATTTAAAATTTCAACTTAACAATTTAGTTCTTATTCTCCAATTATTCTTTTTTTCCCCTCTTACATTCTTGTTCTTATATTTTAGTTGCAATACTGTTTTATCTCTTTAAGAATATTAACCATGAGCTATCTTTGGAGTTTTACTTCCTACATTCTCTCTCTCTTTTAATGTTAGAGATTTTCCCCAAATGTTCCAGATCTCTCACAGTCTTGTATCTATTCATATTAAAGAGCACTAAAACTGTGATTAGAAGCAGTGTTTGTGTTAAGGGGCAACATGACTTGAGAGCTTCTCTCTAGAATAGCCCTAGAAAGATACACTTCGTATTTGGTGGTGAGCCAGCCTTTTGGTATTTCTTCCAAAAGTCATTAGGTCTTTTCTTCGCAGTTCAATGAATTTCTGAAAAGAACCATCTCCTACTTCCTATATGAGCTATGGCTGGCTACAAACTGAGAACAGGATGGCAAAAAGGAAATTTACCTTAATATCAGTTTTCAGTCTTATATCTCTACTCTGTGCCTGGTGTCCCCATATCTAGGAAACCTTCTGGAGAACATACCTCCAATGCTCTGCCTGAAGAGGCAACTGCCTGTGTGGGGAAAGGATCTGAGGAGCAGTCCCATTCCTCCACATACAGACTTCGAAACAATCCTCCTCTTTTCAGCCCATGCCTCACTGGAAGCGCTGATAGCTTCTGACACTTCTAAGTTCTGAATCTCTTGGGATCTGTCAGGGATGAGTTACTCATCAACTAATTTGTATTATCTTCTACAGATATTTTAGTTTGTAACTTACTCATGCTCTGCTAAATTAGTTACTACTCCTTCAGTTGCTTTTCTCATCACAAACTCTTTTCAAATTTCTAATCTGCTGGTATTTCCTCTTTCATCTCTGTCCCTGTAGGTTTATACTTTTAAAATCACACTTACTATTCAGTTTCATGTAGTGTGGGCAAAGAGAAGGGAAATCTTGTTTAATTAGTATTATTAAATTTTCTAATGTTTGCGAGAAGACTAGGTATGTAGAGCTCCTAGAGTAATACCCGGCACACAGTAGGCTCAGAAATTTTGTAAACTCGAAATAAACAAATGATTAGTTTAAAAATGATAATTAGGATATGAAGAAGTCAACTGCCATTAGGAAAACGAGGTGATAAAAGACACGTTTAATGAACTAAAGATTTAGAATGATAAAATTACAAAATAGTAGTCTCAAAGAAATCCTGGACATAGTCTAGCATAAGTAAGAAAATAGGAGTTCCAAAGAAGTTACATGATTTTCTCAAAATCAGTTAATAAAAGAGTCTGGACAAAAATCCTGATTCCACAGTGACCCTTTCATTCCCTCCAAACATATGAAGACCCCAAATGGCTACAGAAAGCAGGGAGCTATCTGCTCGATAACTGAGGTTCTACATTTGAAGGAGGAAGATAGAGAATATTAAGAGATACACAGTAAGCTTAAAAACTCCTTCATTCTTCACTTCCTTCATCATCAAGGGCAAGTTTCTTTCATATCTGCAGCTTCAAAGTCTTACCTGTTTTTTACTCCTTCCACTTCTGTTTTCTCTCCTCTTCCCCTACCTGTGCTTTGAAGTCTGACTTAAACCTGAATTCATCTGTTGGCAGCTACTGGGGAATAAGGGGCTGCCCAGAACAAAGAACAGTCCTACTATAGCCACACTAGAAGCTGTAAAAGGGAATAGTATTTCTACATGAATCTACAGGCTCTGGTTTCAGACTCACTTCTCCTAATTCCTTCTTACATTCCCTAGACATTTAAATAAATTTTTTGGTTTCTTCAAAATGATGCTTCTTAAAATACTTTTTAAAAACAGTAACTCAGGGGTGCCTGGGAGGCTCAGTGGCTCAGAAGCCTCTGCCTTCGGCTCAGGTCATGATCTCAGGGTCCTGGGTTCAAGACCCTCATCAGGCTCTCTGCTCAGTGGGGAGCCTGCTTCCCCCTCTCTCTGCCTGCCTCGCTGCCTGCTTGTGATCTCTGTCTGTCAAATAAATAAATAAAATCTTAAAAAAAATAAAAAAAAACAGTAACTCATTAACAAGTATTTATTTCCTTTAATTAATTCATGAAAAGATTGCTTATTTATTTATTTATTTATTTATTTGACAGAAAAACACATACACACACAGAGCTGGAGGAATGGGAGGAGGAGAAGCAGGCTTCCTGGTGAGCAGGGAGCCAGATGTGGGGCTCGATCCCAGGACCCCAGGATCATGACCTGAGCTGAAGGCAGATACTTAATGACTGAGCCACCTGGGTGCCCCTTTATTTTATTATTTTTTGAAGATTTTATTTATTTGAGATAGAGTGAGTGAGAGAGAGAGCACGAGGTGGGCGGCAGAAGGAGAGTGAGAAGCAGACTCCCCACTAAGCAAGGAGCCTGATGAGGACTCGATCCTAGAACTCTGGGATCATGACCTGAGGCAAAGGCAGACACTTAACTGACTGAGCCACCCAGGTGCCCCAATAACAAATATTTAGAGGAGCCAAATATCTTACCAGTAGGTTGAGGAAAAACCGGAGGAATGGTTCCGGGTGGTACAGCAGGAGGATAATTTGGAAATATTGGTGGAGGCAAAGGGAAATTCACTCCTAAGGAGCCCTATGGAAGTATTTAAAAGTTAGAAGACAATGCAACAAAAACATCTATAGAGATTAATTAAAAGTTTAGCAGAGAAGTCATGATCAATTCTTACCAATTGTTGTAAAGCAAAAAGTGCAGCTTTTTCCTTGGCTTCATTTTCAGAATGGCACTGTGGCCCATGTACCAGTAAGCCATTAGATAATTTTACCTGGCAAACTGTCATTGTCTAAAGAAGAGAATATGAAATGTCTATAAAGTTAACTGTCTAGGATATTGGCTTCCTCCCCCCACGCTTAGTCTAAACAAGCAGAATAATTTCATGTGACATCCTGTAAAAAAGAATTCAAAAATTCAAAAGGGCAATCAATTTAGTTTTGGGTTGCCCTACTAAACCTTAGAATCATTTCCTAATCTTGCAAAGTTTATAAAATAAAATGCTCTTTAAGCTAGCTGAAGGATCAAGAATCCTAATGCAAATGAAAGCCAATAAAATTTTTTCTTTATACCAAGGGTTAGGAAACTAGGCCTTTTACTTGTTTTTGTAAATAAGGTTTGTTTCAGATTTTGTTTTTTTTTGCAATACAGTCAAGTCCTTTCATGTATTGCCTATGTCTGTTTTCATACTATAACAGCCCAGCTGAGTAGCTGTGACAGAGACCATGAAGCCTAAAATATTTACTATCTGGCCCTTGAAAAAAAAAATTTGCTGACTCCTGCTTTACACCTTCCTCCGAATAGCAGATATTTCATTAATATGAATTAACTGTCAAAATCTAAAAGACTTAGTGGTAATGACCAATTTCATGTTCACATTTTAAGGTATATAACTCTCTATTATACATTTTTTCTTTTACAAAAAAATTTTTTAAAAAAATTCTACTTATTTTTATGTAATAATATTAAATTTTTTTTAAAGATTTTATTTATTTGACAGAGAGAGAGAGATCACAAGTAGGCAGAGAGACAGGCAGAGAGAGAGGAGGAAGCAGGCTCCCCGCTGAGCAGAGAACTCAACACGGGGCTTGATCCCAGGACCCTGGGATCATGACCTGAGCCGAAGGCAGAGGCTTTGACCCACTGAGCCACCCAGGCGCCCCATAATAATATTAATTTAAGATTGTTTTGTTTTAGGTGAGAATGTATTAAGAACTTGGATGAAAAGAAGATAAAACAAACAAAAGTAAGTGGTTCTCAAGGTGCAGTCAGGGCAGCCTGGGGGTCCCTGAAACCCTTTCAGGAGGTCCTTGAAGTCAAAACTATTTTCATAATAATATTAAGGTGCTATTTGCCTTTTCCACTCTTAGTTTCTCACAAGTATACAGAAGACAGAAAATCCACTGGAATAGCTTTAAATTCTACACTGCAACTAACTTCTAAGAAAATACCACATTTAAATGTAGTATCAAAAAAATATCCATTATGGGGCGCCTGGGTGGCTCAGTGGTTTAAGCCTCTGCCTTCGGCTCGGGTCATGATCTCAGGATCCTGGGATGGAGCCCCACATCGGGCTCTCTGCTCAGCAGGGAGCCTGCTTTCCCCTCTCTCTCTGCCTGCCTCCCTGCCTACTTGTGATCTCTGTCTGTCAAATAAATAAATAAAATCTTAAAAAAAATATATCCATTATCTGAAAAGGTTATTAAAATTCTTTCCCTTTCTCTATCAATCTGTCTGGGGCCAGATTTTCTTCAGGTATTTCAACCAAAACATAACACAAGAGATTGATATTAAGAAGCGGATATGAGAATCCAGCTTCTTCCATTAAGCTAGAGATGGAAAAGACTTGCAAAAATGTAGAGCAGTGTTATTCTTCCCACTAAGTTTTTGAAAAGTTATTTTTAATAAATATTTTTAATTTTTTTCAATTTCAGTTTCTAATAGAATTAATAAGAACATAACCCAAGTAAACAAAAACTTTGGCAAGACCTCAAAAAAAAAAAACAGTGGGAGTTTATGAAGCCAAAAGTTTGAAAGCTGCTGCTGTAGACAGAGATCTCTGGCTCTATCAATCTGTCCGGGCTATGTGCTGCCCAGGTTTCCTCTTTGTTAGCATCTCTGTGGGCTCTGGCATAAATGTGAGTGAGCCATAGTGGGAAGTATAAATCTATGCTGCTCATAAAGTAAAAGAAAAAATCAGCTCCATTATATTATTTTTGCCAAAGATTTTCAGTTTATTTAAGTTCAATGTTAAATAAGTTACATAAATGCAACAGTAGTATACTGTACCTGTGGCGTTCTAAGAAAGGAGAAATCTGGTTGTGGCATTCCAATAAGGGAACAAATTCGAGAAAGTTCAGTTACTGGTGTGGACACAGGAGGGATATGGCTGGGAGCAGGCCAACACACATGGTCCATAGACTGAACATTATGGTATTCACTAGTACTGTGAGGCTTATTCATGTAAGATGCTACCAAAAAACAGAAAAGGATATATATACAGATATTAAACTATATATTGAGCTCTGCAATTATTATAGAGTTTTATAGATAGCAAGCAGAAAAGTGTTAAAAGATGAAAAAAGGAAGCTCTCATGAAGCAAATTATTTAGTATTGTCTAAAATTACCAAGAATTCAATAGAGATTTTTAGATGATTATAACTGATTAATGATACATGACTAAGATAAAGATTTTAAAATATGGTAAGTAGCTGACTACAAAAACCTGAAATATTGAGAGATCAATGACTATATAGCTATGTTTGAGCAAAGCTATGTTTGAATAAGCAGTTTTCTTGAGCTGATTTACAATTAAATCTTAAGTTTTGAGGGGCACCTAGGTGGCTCAGTGGGTGAATCCTCTGCCTTCGGCTCAGGTCATGATCTCAGGGTCCTGGGATGGAGCCCCGCATCAGGCTCTCTGCTCAGTGGGGAGTCTGCTTCCCCCTCTCTCTCTGCCTGCCTCTCTGCCTACTTGTGATCTTTGTCTGTCAAATAAATAAATAAAATCTTAAAAAAATTTTTTTTAAGTTTTGAGGCTTTGGCTTCAGTCTTACTTGTCAAAATTCCACCTTACATTCTGTGACACATGAATAAACGGTTTGGTTGCTCCCAAATGATGCTGCTTAGAAGTTTTTTCTAAAAGTAACCCTTTTAAAAAGTGCTTTTATAGAAGATGATTAAAACATTCTGAAAGTTCAGGGCTCCTGGGTGGCTCAGTGGGTTAAGCCGCTGCCTTCGGCTCAGGTCATGATCCCAGGTCCTGGGTTCGAGCCCCACATCGGGCTTTCTGCTCAACAGGGAGCCTGCTTCCTCCTCTCTCTCTGCCTGCCTCTCTGCCTATTTGTGATTTCTCTCTGTCAAATAAATAAATAAAATCTTTAAAAAAAAAAAACATTCTGAAAGTTCACATTCTTTATGATTAATAAACTGGCTAATAGAACAAGAGCATATCCCAGTGAAGAATGAAACTAAACCTCTTATTATTACAGATTAAAAAAAGGTTAAGTGGCTTGCCCAAAGTCACAGAACTTATTAACTCTGTATTTTGGGCTGGATTCTGAGCTTTTGACTCTAAGAGATAAGATATTCTTCACTATTCTGAAATAAAGTTGAATTGTTTTTGACAGTAGAACCATCTTTTTCCAGTTTTGTTTTAAAATTTTATTTTGTTCTGGGGCGCCTGGGTGGCTCAGTGGGTTGGGGCCTCTGCCTTCGGCTCGGGTCATGGTCCCGGGGTCCTGGGATCGAGCCCCGCGTTGGGCTTTCTGCTTGGCGGGGAGCCTGCTTCCTCCTCTCTCTCTGCCTGCCTCTCTGCCTACCTGTGATCTCTCTCAAATAAATAAAATCTTTTTTTTTTAAAGATTTTATTTATTTATTTGTCAGAGAGAGAGGGAGAGAGAGCAAGCACAGGCAGACAGAATGGCAGGCAGAGGCAGAGGGAGAAGCAGGCTCCCTGATGAGCAAGGAGCCCAATGTGGGACTCGATCCCAGGACGCTGGGATCATGACCTGAGCCGAAGGCAGCCGCTTAACCAACTGAGCCACCCAGGCGTCCCTCAAATAAATAAAATCTTTAAAAAAAAATTTATTTTGTTCTACTTTAAGAGCATGTGTGTCACCATGATAGTTTCCTAATAGTTACTGGAATTTTAAATTAATCATTTATTCTAATATTCACTAGAATAGAAGATAAATGAAGCTAGGCTCTGATTTTGTTCCAGATTTTGATCCTTAATGAACTCAGATCTATTTCAAAATTTTTTTTACCTCTAGAAACTTCTGTCCCCACTTACTTTTATATTAGTCATTCTTCCTAGGAGGCTTCTGTAGATAATATACAGAGGCATAATACTAAAGTATAGGGGACACAGACAGTAGGAGCAATGATGGATGTGTATTAAAATCTGGCTATGTACCAGATGGTATACTATAGGCTTCACAGTTTTAAGATAAGTACCTACTTTCCAATGTCTACATTCAGTCTTTTTTTTTTTTTTTTTTAAGAGAGGGAGAGAGAAAGAGGGGTTGGGGCAGAGGGTAAGGGAGAAAGAGAATCCCAAGCAGGCTCCAGGCCCAGCACGGAGCTTGATGCAGGGCTTGATCCCACAATCCAGAGATAATGACCTGAGCCAAATCAAGAGTTGGACGCTTAACTGAATGAGCCATCGAGGCACCCCTCTACTAATTTCTTTTTTAAAAGATTTTATTTATTTATTAGATAGACAGATCACAAGTAGGCAGAGAGGCAGGCAGAGAGAGGAAGGGAAGCAGGCTCCCCGCTGAGCAGAGAGTCCGATGTGGGGCTCGATCCCAGGACGCTGGGATCATGACCTGAGCTGAAGGCAGAGGCTTTAACCCACTGAGCCACGCAGGTGCCCCATCTATTAATTATTTTTAATTGATTTTATCACTTTTTCTATTTTTATGTCAGTCAACCTATTGTAACATAGTACTAATATCAATTATTGGTACCTATAATAAGCCAGACACAGTGCTAACTGCTTTATATGTATCATATAATTATCACAAGTCATTTGCAATGTTATTCTGATTTTGTAAATAGAAAAAAAATCTTAAAATCTTAAAATCTTAGTAAAGTGAAATAACATAATTAAGTTACATAATTGTTTTTAAATTACTGAGAAAAAAAATCTAGAATCTAAAAACTTTTCTATGTTTGGGTACTACAGAATGAATATCTGTAATAGCGCAATTTAAGTAATCCTAAGACAGAGACTACAGATCTAATGGTTACATAGTTATATTATTATTTAATAACACAAGCATAAAAATTATACTCTTATTTGTTACTCTTACTTATACTCTTTTAAAAATATAAGTAGTTTTAACCCACTGAGCCACCCAGCACATGACAAAAATACCCCAAATTAACTGAAGTTTTGAAACGATATTGGTTATTAGTAACAGTACTTAGTTTAGTTTACATACTTAATTTCTTATTTTGTTTAGCCTGGGAGGAAGGTCCATATTCATCTCTTCTATTAGAGGAAACATTGACTTCATTACCAAACTGTTTCGTTTCATTTTTATGGTCCACAGCATCAGAGCCATCAATTTTTAGTATTTCTTTAAGCATCCGAGTTCCCTTCTGTTTTGAAAATAATTGGTACAGAGATGGTGGGGGGTAGATGGACAAAAGTTAACATTAGAATTACAGAGTTTATTAACCCTTCTTTTAAAGAGTTCCATTATTAAAAATTAAGATGGTAACTACATTCAGATAGGGAGTTAAGCAAAATCAACAATCTAGAGTTGAAAAAAAATAACCACATTTTCTACCACAGAAAACAAAACTTAATCCTTCTGCTTAACCTGACCAAACTGCCTGGTAGCAATGTTTGAAAAGCAAGGGAGCTATATGGTTTAAAGAGGAAAACAAACAATCAAACAAATAGATAATTGTGCAGGGCAGCCTGGTTTTCCTAACAAAATGTCAATATGATGCAACACTACAGTACACAGGAGACCAAACTGTTTTAAGAGTTACATGGGGTAGGTATGCAGAGGCCACAACAGTGAAGTTACTACAGTATGAAAGCTCCTACAAAATACGAACCATAGCAAATGACTGCGGTGACAAAAGTTCTTCACTTGGAGGCTCTTCATGATGAGATGATTGTACTTCATTTTCTTTGGAGATATTCAAGGACGCTAAAAAGTTCTCAATTCTAGGATTTGGCTAAAAGAAGAAATATTTTGTGCATGAAGGAAGATGAAAGTAGAAGGACATGGAAAAAGTTAAGAATTTTAGGTACAAAAATGATACCATAATTTCCACTCAATCATCTTCCCAGGAGCCAAAGTTCGGGAAGAGAAATTGAATGAATGGTTTTTTACCTTATCAATAGCGTTTGGGTAACCAGTCACAACCTTTTGGTTTTCTGAGACTTCTGCACTTTCATTTCTCTTCAATAGCTTAATATTACATTTGGCAGGCCCTCCAAACATCTATAAAAGAGTAAGAATGAGCTTTTTGTGCAAATATAATAATAAAATAACTGTCACTTAATAGTGTTCTAAATAAATTGCTGCAAATTTTTTATGTGTCATTTTCTTTTCTATCATAAGGGGACCTGTAAACTTGGATGAGAAAAAAAACTTAGACCTTTATCTTCATTAACTTCTAAATGAATTTAGAAGTTTTTCTTCAATTATGAATGTAGGGAATAAGGCGATTCTAATTGTATCTCAATATAATTAATTTTCTTTCAAATCTTATGTATTTTATTTTAGCATTAAAAACATTATTCTGAGAAAGAATCCATAAAAAAGTTTATAAATCCCTCTCTAGAAGAAAGGAAATTATAGCTAAGAGTTTCAGAAAAAGAAGGCTTTAAAAGTCAACCATTTACTGGTATCTAAATATTAATGGGTTCCATTTACTGAGAACCTGTTATGTGCCAAATATACTGCTAAGATGTCTTTAATAAATTTGATAAATTACTAGCTTATAAGGGATCTAATTTTTAAAAACTTTTTATTAAAATAATACACATATAGAAAGTACATATATCATTAGTGTCCCTGAATGTTTTTAGAGTAAATATTTGTTAATCTGATTGTAAAATGTGTATATTCTCCTTATCAATCAGCAGAGACTATATAAAATAAAACATAAATGATCTCAGCTTCCTCCCACCAAGCTACTCCACAGAATTAACTATTAACTTTGCTATGTTGATTCAAATGATTCGTTGAATACATGCACATATTTTTACACATTTCATACATATATTCATGTATGTAGGTATGTTCATATGTATGTAGGTACGTATGTATATATAGACTACATACAAGGAGTGAGATGAGTGATCTATTTTTACTCCATTTTAAAGATGAAGATAGTTGGGCGCCTGGATGGCTCAGTGGGTTAAGCCGCTGCCTTCGGCTCAGGTCATGATCTCAGGGTCCTGGGATCGAGTCCCGCATCGGGTTCTCTGCTCAGCAGGGAGCCTGCTTCCCTCTCTCTCTCTGCCTGCTTCTCTGTCTACTTGTGATCTCTGTCAAATAAATAAATAAAATCTTAAAAAAAAAAAAAAAAGATGAAGATAGTTGAGGATGTGAGAGGTACAGTGAATTGCTCAAGGCCACCCAACTTTTAAATATATATGTATGTATATATTTGCGTGCGTGTATATGTGTGTGTATATAAATATCTCTAGTCCCAGATCCTGACTCTAGCTGTGTAACCTCCCATTCCAAGTGACAGGCAGTTGCTATACTTCAGCAATCTTTTTGTCATACACCTTAATGGATTAGGGCTGCAAAATTCAGATGCCATAGAGCTACCAATGGTAACAAAAAGGTGGCTACTAGAAATTTGATTTAAGAAAGCTTACCTGTTTATTTGACATTTTTTGTAACCGAGTCTCAGTTTTAGGACTTTTACACTCTTCTTTAACTAGGAACAAGAAAATAGGAATTTTGGTAAGTGAAAAATATTGCTACAAACCAGTTAAATTTACCAAATATTTGCCACAGCAAGGCACACTGTGTTGCTGTGCTGAAAATTCACAGAATTCTAAGAGGACAAAGGCCCTCATCTTGAAAAACTTGTAGAAGAGCAGAAGAGATACTCACAGATATAAGGGAAAAGGAAAGGTGACATGTAATTGAGTCTCCAAGAACATAAATTTGCAAAGGGCAGAGTAGAAGGCTAAGCATTCCAGGCAAAGGGAATAACAGGAGAAAAGAAATGGAAGCAAAAAACAAGGAATTTATTTACGGAACTCTTAGACTAGTTTTGTTGGAGGTCAAGGAGCATCACAGAGCTAATGTGATGGGAAACGGGCAACCAATCACAGAAAGGTTTTGAGAAGCAGTGATCTGATCAGAACTGTGCTTTAGGGAGATTAAAATATGGCAGTAGCTTATCAAATAGATAGGAGAGTAAGAGAAAAACTAGGAAGTTATGTTAGTATTCCGTTAAGAGGAAATAGGGAAAATGGTAGGAAAAATGAAAAGGACATATTAGAAGAGGAAGGAAAAGGGGTGCCTGGGTGGCTCAGTCAGTTAAACATCCTGGGATTGAACCCTGCACTGGGCTCCCTCCTCGGCAGGGAGCCTCTTCTCCCTGCCCTGTTCCCTCTACTTGTGTTCTCTCTGTCAAATAAATAAATAAAATCTTAAAAAAAAAAAGGAAGAGGAAGGAAGAAAGGAAAAAAAGGAGGAAGGAACAAAGGAGGAAAGAGAGGGTGAGAAAAGAAGCAGGGAGAAGGTATGGGAAGGAAGGTAGGGATGGGATGAAGAGAGGAGGGAAGAAATGAACAAAGATAGGAAGATAGTGAGCAGAAGAGGGGACATAAAAAGGGGAGGGGAGGAGAGGAAAGGGAGGTAAGGGAAGTAAGGGAGAAAGGAAGGAAGTAATCTTACAAAAAGAAGAAATAAAAAGCAAGTTTACATATACTGACTTGAAGCGTTTGTTGAGACACACACACCAAAACTGAATTGGAATTCCAAATAATGTAGTTTATTACATACATTCATGTAAATAATAATTTGAAGAAAAATAGCAACATATTTCAATTAAATATAAAATCTTTAAGCTATATTTATCAGACTTATAAGGACATTAATCTATAGGTAACTTAAAATATAAAAGAAACAAAAATAACAGATATTCATGCAAAAAATAGTTTAGCAGTTATCAAACTGAACCAAAGTTATAAAACCACATATTTTTCTTGGAAACAGCTTTTTAGAAAAATATTTTAAAAGACCATTCTTGGCGTACCTGGGTGCCCAGGCTCAGTTGCTTGAGCATCTGACTCCTTGTTTTGGCTCAGGCCATGGGATCATGGGATTGAGCCCTGAGTGGTGGTCGGGTCTCTGCTTAGTGGGGAGTCTGCTTCTCTCCCTCTGCCCCTTCCCCCACTCATGCTCGCTCTCTCTTTCTCTCAAATAAATAAATAAATCTTAAAAAAAGAGACCATTCTTATACTATATTATATATACATAAAATACATGCATGTATAAAAACTGGATTATGCTGAATAAAATTTATTTCAAAAAGTAGTGAGGGGACATCAGCCAAAAAGTCAGAGTAAGGACCTTTAAAAATTCTGTGCTCCATAAAAGCAACAAGAAAATGGGCATAGGTTGGGGGAACAAGGTGGTGGGTATTAGGGAGGGCACGTATTGCATGGAGCACTGGGTGTGGTGCAAAAACAATGAATACTGTTACGCTGAAAAGAAATTAAAAAAAATGGGGGAACAAAAAAGAAAATGGGCATAAATTACTTGAATCCAAATTTTTAGAGTTATGGAAATTAATCAAAGGCCCATAGCAATCTGAGGGATATTTACTCCAGAAAAAAGACCGAGTCTCCCAATAGTGAGCTTTATGGCTGAACCTGCCCTAGTCTCAATCCCTACTCTACAACTCTAAGTAGCCTTAAAAAATAGCAGCCAGCAGTTTTTGGTGAAACCAATAACCTGGCAGCTACCAGAGACCAGAATGAGCCTGAGCTCTTCCAAAATATTATTCCCCACATTCTGTAAGGTCAGTATTACCATGATTTCACAATCAAAGATATCACAAGAAAAGGAAATGACAAATATCCTCTATGTATATAAATGCTAAAATAAAATCCTCAACAAAATACTAGCAAATTAAATCCTGTAGTATATAAAAAAGATTAAACTCCTAGACAAAGTAGGATTTATTCCAAGAAGGCAAAGTTGGTTCAACATATAAAAGACAATCAATGGAATCTATCATATTAATTAAGCACAGAGATAGCAACTGACAAAAATCTAATATTCCTTCAAGAGGGAGCAAAACCAACAACCTAAGAACAGAAAGGAACTTCCTCATCTAATAAAGGGCGTTTACCAAAACCCATGGCTAATATTAGACTTAATGCTGACAGATTGAAAGCTTACTCCTAAGATCAAGACAATTAAGGGTGTTCATTCCTAATACTTCTATTCACCACTGCATTGGTGGTGTTAGCTACAGCAATTAGGCAAGAAAAAGAAATACAAGAAATCACATAAAAAGAAGTAACACTATCTCTATTTGCCAAAGCCACAAAAAATTAGGGCTAATAAACAAGTTCAGCAAGGTAGCAGGATATAAAATCAATATACAAAAGTCAGCTTTATCTCTATAAACAGCACTGAACAATCCACCCCCAATCACCAATTAAGAAAACAGTTCCACTGACAATAGGGGTGTCTGGGTGGCTTAGCGGGTTAATTGTATGACTCTTGGTTTTGGCTCAGGTCATGATTTCAGGGTTGTGGTATTGAGCCCTACATTGGGCTCCATGCTCAGTGTAGAGTCTGCTGGAGATTCTCTCCTCTCTCTTCCCCTCTGCCCCTCCTCTAGCTCTTTCTCTAAAAAATTAAAATTTTGAAAAACAAACAAACAAACAAACCAAGAAACAGTTCCACTGACAATAAATAGCATTTACAATAAAATACTAGGAATAAATTTTTGAAAAGATGTAAGACTTGTACACTGAAAACTGTAAGACATCATTGAAGGAAATTAAAGACTTAAATAAATGGAGATACTTTATGTTCATGGATTAAGTTTTCAAGGAAAACTTAATATTGTTAAGAAGATAATACTCTCCAAAATAATCTATAGATTCAACACAATCTCAATAAAAATTCCAGCTGCCATTTTCACAGAAACAGGCAAGTTGATCCTACAATTCATACAGAAATGCAAGAGTTCAGAACAGACAAAACAATGTTGAAAAAGAAAAATAAAGTCAGAGGACTCAAAGTTTCCAATTTCAAAACTTAAAACAAACCTGTGATAATTAAGATAGTTTGTTCTTTGCATAAAGATGGTATATAGATCCGTGGAATAGAACTGAGAGGTCAAAAATAAACCCATTCATCTATGGTCATGGTCAATTGATGTATAACAAGGGTGCCAAGAGAATTCAATGGGCAAAGAACAGTCTTTCAGCAAGGGGTGCTGACACAACCGGATATCCACATTACAAGAATGAATATGGACCCCTCCCTTGTACCATATACAAACACTCAGAAATGGGAAAAAAAGACCTAAATATGAGAGCTAAAACTACAAATCTCTTTTTTTTTTAATTTTATTTTTTATAAACATATAATATATTTTTATCCCCAGGGGTACAGGTCTGTGAATCACCAGGTTTACACACTTCACAGCACTCACCATAGCACATACCCTCCCCAATGTCCATAATCCCACCACCCTCTCCCAACCCCCCTCCCCCCATCAACCCCCAGTTTGTTTTGTGAGATTAAGAGTCACTTATGGTTTGTCTCCCTCCCAATCCCATCTTAAAACTACAAATCTCTTAAAAGAAAAGATAGGTATAAATCTTTGTGACCTTAGATTATGCAATCATTTCTTAGATATGATACATAAAGCACAAGTAATCAAAGAAAAAGTAGAAAAGATAAATTAGAATTGACCAAAATTAAAGATTTTTGTTTTAAGGACACTATAAAGTTAAAAAGACAACCCACAGAATGACAGCACATATTTGCAAATCAAATATCTGAATATGTATGTAGCATACAGAAGAGGTAAAGGACTCACACACTCAAGGATGAAAAGAAAAATAACTCAATTTTTAAAATGAGCAGAGGACCTGAATAGACATTTCTCCAAAGAAGATACACAAATTGCTGATTAGCACATGAAAAGATGCCCAATGTTATTAGTCATTAATGAATCACAAATGAAAACCACAGAGAGACTTTACACCTGCCAGAGCTGCTGCAATAAAAAAGATGGGCAATAACAAGTATTATGGAAGATGTAAAGAAACTGGACTCTCATATATTGCTGGTGGGAAACACCAGTTAGAAAAGTTTGGTAGTTCCTTAAAAAGTTAAACACAGAGTTAACATATGAATATCTACTGAACTGGATGTATACCTAAGAGAACTGCAAACATATGTTCAATCAAAAACTTCTACATGGATATTCACAGCAGCATTAATTATAGCCCCAAAGTGGAAAAACCCAAATCTCCATCAATGGATGAATTGATAAACAGAACAGACTATTATTCAGCCATAAAAAGGACTGCAAAAAAAAAAAAAAGAATGAAGCATTAATACATACTACAACATGGATGAACCTTGTCTTCATCATGCCAAGTGAAAGAAGCCAGTTACAAAAAGTCACAAATTTTATGATTACATGAACTGTCCAGACAGGTCAATCCATAGAGGCAGAAAGTAAATTAATGGTTACCAGGGGGCTGGAGGAATGACCGCTGATAGATATGGTGTTTCTTTTTGGGGTAAAGAAAATGTTCTAAATTTAGAGAATTACATAGGTTTACAACTTTGTGAAAACAACACAAAAATCACTGATTAAATACTTCAAAAATTAATTTTACGGTATGTGAATTATTACTCAGTAAACCGTAATAATAAAAAAGAAACCAATTAGCATCATAAGTATATTTTTAACTTTCAACTTACATTTCCTGTGAGCCTCATGTTTTCTTTGCTGACATTTAACACTGTTGTCAGTAAAGCCAGATTTATGATGTTGAGTTACTTGACTTATTTCTTGAGGTAGAACTGTAACCTGAAAGTTAAAATTCTATAAATGAATTAAAAACAAACAAAACTACCTTTCCTCGAAGTGATAAAATATTTGGTTGTAGAACTAAATAATAGGAGAGCTGACACTTGAGCTCTAACACTAAAACCCATGTTCACAGTACCATAGCAGAGAAAAAGTATGCCAGAAGTTTAATTAGAAAGTATTCTAGTTTGGGGTATAGTTTATTGGGTTGTTCTATCTGATATCTACATAAAGTTATTTATTACTCCCATTGTCATATTTTGCCAGTAAAGACTTAAATTTTTTTAAAAACAAGACTTTTTTAAAGAGTTTTTGGTTTACGACAAAATTGAGACAAAGGTACAGAGATATTTCATATCCTTTCTGTCTCCACACATGTACAGCATTCTCCATTATCAACATCCTCCACCAGAGTGGTATATTACTACAACCAATGAACTAACACTGACACATCATTATTACTCAAAGACTATAGTTTACATTGGGTTCACTCTTGGTGCTGTATGTTCTATGTGTTCAGGCAAATGTATAATGACATGTATCCACTATTATAGTATCACACAGATTATTTTCAGTGCCTTAAAAAGCTTCTGTGTTCTATCTACTGATCCTTCCTCCAAACCCTGGGCAACCACTGATCTTTTTACTGTCCCCATAGTGTTGCCTTTTCCAGAAGCTTGAATACTTTTTATTTTTTTATTTTTTAAAAAATACTTATTTATTTATTTATTTGACAGACATCACAAGTAGGCAGAGAGGCAGGCAGAGAGAGAGAGGAGGAAGCCGGCTCCCTGCTGAGCAGAGAGGCCGATGCAGGGCTTGATCCCAGGATGCTGGGATCATGACCTGAGCTGAAGGCAGAGGCTTTACCCACTGAGCCACCCAGGTGCCCAGCTTGAATATTTTTTAAAAAATCATGTTGAGCTGTCTGGAATATGCTTATCAGATGAACACCAGGTTGCTTATTAATGCTTCACGGATTTAAGTGATATATGTGGTGGCTCATAATTCTTGGAATATATAGGAGGAAATACAACATGGCAGTGTTTAGCTGATACAAATAATGAAATAGCACCCAATAACAGGAGCAGCATGCAGAAGATTCTGAGGAAATATAATATCAAGTGTTCAGTTCCATCTCAAGGCAATAGGCAATAAAATGACTAGGAGATCTTGTTGGAGATCTAGGGGAATTTTGGTTGTGAGAGAGGAAAAGTAGAAAGAACAGTAAGAACACATAACCTGAAATGGGAATTACCTACTTGTTGGGAAGGGAAAATAAACAGACCAATCTTACTAGAACAGACCATTTTACCAAAGAGTTGAATACACTTTATATAAGAATTACGTAGAGTTCGATATAGAAGGGCTAGATATTAGTTTCACTTGAGGCTGAATTCCACTAGTACTGAACAGAGAGCCCTATACATTCTATAATATTTGAATAACATTCTTTGGGGCACCTCGGTTAAGCAACTGCCTTTGGCTCAGGTCATGTTCCCAGAGGGCTGGGATCAAGCCCCACAACGGGCTTCCTGCTCAGGGACAGACTACTTCTCCCTCTGTCCCTCACTCTACTCTCATGCTCCCTCTCCATCTCCAATAAATAAATAAAATCTTAAAAAAAAAATAACATTCTTTTAGGACTGAAAAAGAGGTCATCTAAGTCTAATGCCTTAATTTTGCACATCAGGCCACAGAGGCCCAAGGAAATTAGAGTTGCTCAAATTGAGTCACCAAATCTGACTTTGAGTCCAGTGCCAGATTGATTACACCACAGTGCCTCAGGGAACAAACTAAGGTCAAACCGAGAAGTCTTTATTAATTAGGTATTTTGTCCAGTTATGCCATTAGGCCAACACAGGTGAAAGGATCACCAAGAAAGATCAACGGAAAGATACATCAAACAGTACTATGTAAGAAGGACTAAAAAGGAAAGAGAAAAGAAGCGGGAGCACAGATAGGAGGTTTATCTAGGCTTAGGATGACAGTCTAAGGCCCAATTGTGGGAACTGGCAAGAAATAAAAAGATTTGGAATTTCACTGCAAAAAAAAAAGGTGGGGAGAAGGAAAAATGTTTTACTCTCTTCTTTTCAGATTATATGCCTGGGGAAATGGTAGTGTTAGAAATAAGGATAAGAAGCTTTAGATGAGGTTAATTCTAAAACATCTTTTGGCTGAGGTGATGGTGGGATGTCCATCTATACCTGCCTTCTAGAAAATTGGAGATATTAGCTTAGATTGATCCTGATTGAGAAATATGGATCACATAGCTTGAGTGGTTAAATTAGCAACGAGGTAAGAGCCAACATCACCAAACAATAAAACAAAGGTGGAGGAAAAAAACAGTTTTTCAGTTTTTGGGAACAGTGCCCAGAGAATAGTTGGAAAAACAGAGGTTAAGAAAGAAGCTGAAGGGGCGCCTGGGTGGCTCAGTGGGTTAAAGCCTTTGCTTTCAGCTCAGGTCATGATCCCAGGGTCCTGGGATAGAGCCCCGCATTGAGTTCTCCGCTCAGCAGGAAGCCTGCTTCCTCCTCTCTCTCTGCTTGCCTCTCTGCTTACTTGTGATCTCTGTCTGTCAAATAAATAAATAAAATCTTTAAAAAGAAAAAAAAAAAAAAGAAGCTGAATAAGAAGCAAAAGGTAAGAGGGGAGTCAGGGTAATGTTTCCTTTTAGAGTATAACTCCTTGAAGGAATTGCCTATTCTGCTACCTCCAATTTTTCTTCTCCCCTTCTCTCTTGAACACACTCTTCTTGGTATTTCACTCTTACCACTCTACTGGAAGTGCTCTTGTCAAGATTCCCAGGGACCTCAGGTGTAAAACTCTATGGTCAATTCTCAAGTTTTCATTTCAACTGATCCACTGCCAGCATTTGACACAGTTGATTACTCTTCTTGACATCCATTCTTCACTTGGCATCTACAACACCACACTTTACTGGTTTTCTCTGGCTCTTTAAGGATGGAATTCTCTAAGGCTAAGTTGTTAGACTTCTCTATCTATATCCACTTCCTTGGATATAGATAAACAGATACACATACACATGCCCAAATTTCTCCCTCCAGATTGGACATCCTCCATAACCATCAGAATCAATGTCCAACACTATATCTCTACTTAAATTTCTTTCTTTCTTTTTTTTCTTAAAGATTTTATTTATTTACTGGAGAGAGTAAGTGAGAAAATTTCTAACTTGTATCTCCACTTAGATGTTTAATATATATCTCAAACTTACTATGACCAGAACTGAATTCCAGATCCTCCTCCATAATCCTACTTGACTTGCAACCTTCTCTATCTCAGGTAACAGCCACTCTATCCTTTTAGTTACTAAGACCTTAAGAGTCACACTCTTTAATCCATATTTTTCTCTCTTAACCCTATACCTAATTCATCATTAGATGGCAATTCCTTCCAAATATGCCTAGAATTTGATCACTTCTCCATGCTCCTATTATTCTAGTTCAAGTCAATATGAACTCTATCTTGATGATTCCGGTAATCTCCTAAATAATGTTTCCATCCTGGCTCCTCTATGTTCTATTCTTAAGATAGCAGATAGAATGATCCTATTAAAATATAAATCAGATCATGTCATTCTGTTGCTCAAAATGCTTCACTGATTCCTCATCTCACTAAATAAAAAACGATATCCTTATAATGACCCAGAAGGTCCTGCACGGTATCTAATTTCAGTTCCTGTAACTCAGCCTATTGATTCAAAACTATAATGGTCTTTTTTCTCTTCCTTGAGTACACTGGAATTGTCTTCCCAACAGGGTCTTTGAATATCTCTAGAACACTCTCCTCTCAGATATCTACTTAGATACTCTATTCCTCATTTCATTCAAATCTTTACTCAAATGTTACTTGATCATTCTATTTAAAACTGCAAAACCTTGACTCCCCCTCCTGCCAACATTCTCTATGCTCCTTCTCTGAAATTTTTCTCAAACTTTTAAATTACCATCTAATATACCATGTAATTTACTTATTTATTGTCCTCTCCTCCCTAGAATACTAATTGTTTGAGGGTCAGAATTTTTGTTTTGTTTACAGCTATATTCTCATTACATAGAACAATGCACATGATAGGCACTCAATAAATACAAGTTGAATGAATTAATGAAATGAATGAATGATAATAAAGCATTACTAATAAATGAATGGTTAGTGGTACCAAATAAATTAGAGAGGAAAAGAGGGTTTGAAACTCAGATATAGACTGCATTTAGGTAGTAAGGATTTATGGATGATCTAAGCAAAACTTAGTATATTGGCAGAAGAGCCCTGTATATTTTGTCACTCTCACTTTTAGGTTTATTTTACCATAATATCCTTTGCTACTTTCTTCCTCTACTCTGAAAATGTCACCATCACTGGAAGACATTAGAATAAATGAGGCCTCCATTGTGCAGGCTACTGATTTATAAACTTGAGAGAATATTCTTTCTTTACCTACGCTGTGAAGATAGGTCAGTAACTAGCAAAAAATGTTGTAGGAATTTATTTCTTAACTTTTCCTTTTTTTTGGTCTGAGTCTACTTTTTTAGCAGAATTTCTTTTCCCTTCTTAATTTATACTAAGGAATGTGAATTTGCTCATTCATATTTAAGACAACCAAGTGCTAATATATAGCTCCACAATCAAGTGGAAATTAATTAGTTAATAATAAGTGCATTAAGGCCTTTGTTGAATTTAAAATATAGTTATTGAGATTCTGCAAACAACTAAAACAAAATCTAAAATAATTTAAAAGAAAAATTATCTATATTCCTTCTCCTGAGTCCAAAAACTTTTATTAATGGCTGAAGAGAATTATGAAAATTCATGATTAAAACTGTTATTTCTATTTTATGAGATTTTGGGAAAAAAAAATAATCATTGCATGCTCACAAGAGAAATGTAAATTTTGTTTTTTAGAATTAAATGTCTATCAAACAAGGTATACTAACCTTCTCTTGTAGAGTTGGCTGAAAATGTTGAACCTTTCCAGATCCCTGTAAGGACTGCCAAATGTTGCAAAACTCATCATCATCTTTAGTAGGTACCTGGCAAAGCACAAAAAGTTTTTTAAGGAACTAAAATACGAGAAAAAAAATAAGGATTTATATTAAAATAAAAAAATTCATTAGTTATTTAGTAGTACACAAAATATTAACTTCCATTATCTGAATCTCAGTTCTTTTTTTCTGGAGCTCAGTATAGTCATCATAAAAATATTCTATTAGAGTAAAAATGGTCTTTATCATTTGTAATTGGTTTTGAATGGTTTTACTAAAAAGTATTTAAAGCATGAAAAATGCTATGGAAGATTATATTAAATTAATATCCCTACCAGTAGATTTTTTTTTTTAGTCTTCCAATGTACTGATATCTCATTCAAGCTAACATTTAACAATTTAATTTTTAAAATCTTCATTTTACACAAAAGTAGCAGATTAAAAAACCAGCTATTACTTATGAGGAACTGATTTTGTGCAGATTAAAACTCTGAACAAATATGTACCAAAATTTAATAGTGGTTACCTATGAAATTTGATTTTTGGTTCTGTTTCCTTTGCTATTATCTCCTTATCTGTACTTTCTAATTAGTCTATAATGAACATGTATTACTTGGATTAAAATGTGGGTAAGATTTGGGGACATGGAATTACACAAGGTTAAATGTCTCACACAAACCAATTCAATTTTCGTCTCCAGAAAGATAAAATAGGGGAAATCACCCATGAGTTGCATGGGTAGGAACTTGAAAATGGCTTTTGATTAATGTAATTCTCTCCCTTTTAACCTCTCAAATTCATGTCATTTCAAAGCAGACAGAATACAACATCTGAGTTACACAAATGTAGTTTGAAAAGTAAACATATGAAAAGAAAATAGGCATTCTCAGGTTCATTTTTTAAAAATGTATTTCTTGGGGTGTCTGGGTGGCTCAGTGGGTTAAGGCCTCTGCCTTTGGCTCGGGTCGTGATCTCAGGGTCCTGGTATCGAGCCCCACATCGGACTCTCTGCTTGCGGGGAGCCTGCTTCCTCCTCTCTCTTTCTCTCTGCCTGCCTCTCTGCCTGCTTGTGATCTCTGTCTGTGTGAGATGAATAAATAAAGTCTTTAAAAAAAAAAATGAAAATGTATTTCTTTTTTAACTGTAATTTTATAACAGACATAGGATGTTGTCAGTAGCTTTTTTTTTTTTTTTTTTAAAGATTCTATTTATTTATTTGAAGGAGAGCATGAGTTGGGGGAGAGGCAGAGAGAGAGGGAGAAGCAGACTTTCTGCTGAGCAGGGATCCTGATGTGGGGCTCGATCCCAGGACCTTGGGATCATGACCTTAGCCAAAGGCAGATGTTTCACAACTGAGCCACAGAGGCACCCTAGTAGCGTTCTTTACTAGCCTATTAAATTAAAAACAAATCTGAAATGGACTTGAACCAAAAATTTTTTAAAAACTAAGTCAAATTAGGTTTTACTTATAAAGTCTGCCTGAGATTTATAAAGGGGTAGAAAGAAATGAAAGACTAAGAGTCTTACTTGAGTAGGAACAAAAAGTGATTGGGGAGAATGGTTCAGGCCTCCCAAATGCCCAGATGAAATTGATGAATTTGAGCTATAGTGATTCACAGCTGGTTGTGGTTTCACAATGGCTGTCAACTTCTGATTTCCAGTTTCAGAGCGACTCCCATGAGTAAGATTTACCAAGGCACTTGTTGGCAGTCGATAACCTCTACCAGGCGAGCACCTAAAAAGTACACAGTTATTTCAGAGGGAAATAATACTAAATAATACTAAAGGGAGCAGAAGAATCAAATTATTTTTAGGTGGACAATCAGTCCATAATCTCAATTAGTAAATATTACTTTTAAATTCAGTAGAGGAACCTGAAATCATAGAAAGATCTCCATTTATAAGATGATACATTTCTGAAACCAGAAAGGACTTTATTTAATCCTCATACATACCAGTGAAGTATGTATCTTCATTATAAATGAGGAAACTGAGGCTCAGAATGCTTTTAACTACCTACCCAAAGTAGCACAAAGGTTAAGTGACAGAACCCATTCCATGCATCTTTCATTCTGTCATAATCCTTTTTCCTGTAACTTTAACTTTTCTATCAGTACTGTCCCCAAATAAGTAAATCTCACTCATATAAGTTAAAAACAAAAAAATCCAATCTTCTGGCTTTAAACCTGCTAACCTCCAGTTACCTTTTCTCTCCTTCATGGTCAAACTTCTCAAGGGTCAGCTCAATTTCCTGCTCCCTCAAACCACCCCAGTGGGGCTGTGCACCCACAATTCCACTAAAATATAAATCTGCAATCATGCCACACCTCTGATTTTGATGACTTCACATTGCTTTAAGGATAAAGACCAAGATACCAAAATCATTAGCATATCCTCAAAGTCGGCTTAGGAGCTCCTACCCAGTGTGGTCCTTGCTCTTTTCTCTTACTTTCATCTTACATAGTTGCTGAAGTTGCTGACACTTGCATTCTTTTTTTTTTTTTTTAATGACTAAATCCTTTGTTGCACATGCTATTTCCTCTTCTTGACCACTTGCCATTCTTCTTCCCTCTTCCTCTAGTTAACTATTACTCAATCTTCAAGTCCCATCTTAAATATCACTTGTCAAAGAAGACTTTCTAGAAGTCATACTCTTATAGAAACTGGAACTTCTCCTTCCCAGCACTTCTCACATTTTAATTAAATAATTAATATTATAATCAGTTACACAATTATCTCCCCCACTAAAATGAAAGCTTTGTGAGTCTAGAAAGCATGTCTATCTTACTCACTGTTACATCCCCAGTAGCATGTATGATGTCTTGCATATGACAGGAATTCAAATTGTGGACAAATAAACAAATAATGTAAAGTCACTGGCCACGTGGACATACTTACAAAGTGTAATTATCATCAGGAAATACAAACCTTATTGTTAAGCCTCCAGGAAATTCTTCATCAAATAATACTTCAAATAGTACATCAGCTTCTCTATTAGCTGTTAAATAAGAGGAATTTAAAAATCATATGATGAAAAATCAGCATTTAAGTGTCTGGCTTGTAAGAAGCATTACACCTACAAGAAAATGGTGTAGGGGAATACAGTAAATGAAAAGTAGATAAACTTGCAGATTACCTAAATGGTATTGAAGTAAAATAATATTTTAAATTAGATGTTGTGAGGGGGTTAATTTTATTTTTCTCTGTGCTTTTATTTATGTTGGAAATTATTCATAATGAAAGATTTAATAAAAGAGGTAACTTTGGGGGCGCCTGGGTGGCTCAGTGGGTTAAAGCCTCCACCTTTGGCTCAGGTCATGATCCCAGAGCCCTGGGATGGAGCCCTGCATCGGGCTCTCTGCTCAGCAGGGAGCCTGCTTCCTCCTCTCTCTCTGCCTGCTTCTCTGCCTACTTGTGACCTCCATCTGTCAAATAAATAAATAAATAAATAAATAAATAAATAAATAAAATCTTTAAAAAAAAAAAGGTAACTTTGGAGTCTGCAGTTCAGAAGGTCTTGCAGTAAGATAAAAGACAGTGATGATCTGAAAGCATGGCAGTTTATTTAATAAAGGGAATAGAATGGAGATCACAGAAATATTATTAGATAGAATTGGCAGGAATTTGTGACCTGTGTAGATAAAAAGGATAGAGATGCCAAAGATGACTCTAAGGTTCTGGCTGAGATGACTTGGTAGATTACAGATGCCATAACTGAGATATGAGACATGAGAAAGTGCAATAAACTTAGATAGGAACAGAGAAGAACATACTTGGCAGAGAGGCTGATGAGATATATCTGGCAAGAGTAAATTTACCCGAAACACCAAGATAAAATGAAATAATTAGCTATATTTGAATTCTAAGCCTAAATTAATAATAGATCTATTACATTACTTCAGAATTCACTGACCTTACCTCCTTCCCTCTCCCCTCTTCTCACTCCCCTTCCTCTTTTACCCCTTCCCTTCCCCATACCTCAATTTCTCTCCACCTTTCCCTTACCCTTTTTCTACTTTATTGGTTCTGTTTCTCTAGAGAACCCTAATACAATATTTGATAACATCCTAGCCTGGGATAGGAGTGGAGGGATGTCTGATCCCCATCCCCAGTCCTGCCCAGCTGAAACCAGGCCTGCAGAGCTCATCCATTCCCCAACATTCAGCTCTATCTTTCAACCTGACACTTTTGCCTGAAATCTAAGCTCCAGAAAGTAAGAAGAGGCTTAATGAGAGGCTGGAGTTTCTCCTCTGAAGGCTTAAAGCTCACCTTTTAGGTTCTTATTCCCTATCTGAGGGAGGGGTACTTCCTCAAAAGATTATTAAGATTATAAAAGGTAAGAGGATTGTTCACTCCCTTTAGTGAGTTGACTATGGAGATGAGGTGTCAGATGAGGGCTGAGGGGAAATATTCCCCTTTTTTATCCATGGCAGACATGGTTAATCGGTGACAGAGCTCTATCCCACTTGCATATATACAGCTTTAAAAACCTCAAAACAAAATTCCAAGGAGTCACTATTACTGATAGGAACTGCCAGAAGAAAGGAAACTCTAATGTTATCAAAGTCCTAAGGCCTTATCAAGATAACTTAACTAGAACACAATCTAATAATATACTCTGTATTTGAACAGCTGATGCAGGGGGTTGAGCAGACAGCAGCAGGAGGGTTGTTTCATTATACCCATCTGGCCCTTACCATTCCTAGCCCAGACAATCAGACCAAAGTTGAGTGCTTGAGACATCAAAAGATAGTGCTGCCTTGGCACTGGATTTGCTGCTTCATGCTAGGCTGACTTTTTTGGAATCTACACTGCAAAGCTGCTCACAACAGGCATCCCTTTGAGGCAAATTTAGATCCTCAGTTGTTTCTTCCCTTTTCCCTCCATTCTCTTTTTCTTTTTTTTTTTTTTAAATAAAAAATACATGACATAAAATTTACCATCTTATTTTTAAGTGTAGAGTACAATAGTGTTAACTATATGTACATTGTTGCTTTCTGCTTAGATATAAGACACAGAAATTTGTGTTTTACTTTACAATTACAGATGCAGTTGAAGACACACCAAGTATTGAGATATTACCCCCTTTAATTCCTATGATGGTGCCCCGAAGGCCAACTGGAACTGAAAAGTACTCTCTCACATTTACCACACGGTCAAAGAGACGAAATTCTGCATCTCGATCAGGAATGACTCCATGTTGCTGTTCTAAAGGCTGAAGAGAAGAAAGCTTTAATTATTATTAACTCTAATTTGAAATAATTTTTCTATTACTATAACAGAAATATTTTGTTCCTTCTATACTTTTGAAATACAGACTTTGAATTCTTTGATAGGAAACTTACTCTGTACAGCAAATGGGGCTTCACTGTCACTCGTACCTTCTTATTATTCTTTCTTTGCTGAAGAAAGAAAAATTTTTAGATATTTAAAAATATTAAATTATAAAATTACTGTCATTTAGATTTACACTAAAAATATAAGATTATTATTATTCAGTTGTACATGATTATTATTCATTTTTATTTTTGTTATTTATTTACTTTTAAAAAAGATATTATTTATTTATTTGACAGAGAGATCACAAGTAGGCAGAGGCAGGCAGAGAAAGAGAGAGGGAAGCAGGCTCCCCACTGAGCAGAGAGCCTGGTGCAGAGCTCGCTCCTAGGACCCTGAGACCATGACCTGAGCCGAAGGCAAAGGCTTAACCCACTGAGCCACCCAAGTGCTCCTATTCATTTTTAAAAGCCAAATGAAATGAGTAATTTAAAGAATATTTGAAGTTCTTCAGGTGCAGCAGGGAGGGATAATAAATTCTTACTTAAAAAAATTTTTTTAAAGATTTTATTTATTTATTTGAGAGAGAGAGAGACAGTGAGAGAGAGCACGAGCGAAGAGAAGGTCAGAGAGAGAAGCAGACTCCCCGTGGAGCTGGGAGCCCGATGCGGGACTCGATCCCAGGACTCCAGGATCATGACCTGAGCCGAAGGCAGTCGTCCAACCAACTGAGCCACCCAGGCGTCCCACTTACTTAAAAATTTTTTTAAAAAAGATTTTATTTATTTATTTGAGAGAGAGAGAGTGTGCACAAGCATTGGGGAGAAGCAGAGGGAGAGGAGGAAGACTCACTGCTGAGTGAGGAGCCTGACCCAGGGCTTGATCTCAAGACACCGAGATCATGACCTGAGCCCAAGGCAGATGCTTAAGCAACTGAGCCACCCAGGTGCCCCTTACAATTTTTAAAGGGAAATTTTTTTGACATTTATGGCATAGAAAAATAAAATAGTATGCATAAAACTTGATGGATTTTTATAGTATAAGCTTATCTATGTATAACTATGCTGAGTTCAAGAAAGAAAACTTTACTAAGCACAACATAAGAACTCTTGTATTCCTTCCCAGTTATTAATATCCCCAAAGTAACCTTACTGCTAACAAATGATTAGAGTTATCTGTTTAGAACTTTATGTAAATGCTATCCTATTCAAATGCCTTTTTACTCTAAAAAGAATTGTATATGATGGTCAATGAAGATCTGTATTAAAAGAAAAAAAAGTATAAAGTACTGATCTATGACAATACTAGGGTTTTATGGCTACTTAAAAAAATTAAGGTGGCATTGATTTAACAAAGCCCTTGCTTTTGGAATCTATTATGAAATTGGCTTTGATATTTGAATTTTTTGATCATCTAACAAATGCTGGAAGAAGAGTTCTGTCCCATCTTTACTCCTTGTTAATTTTGTGAACTCACATTCAACTTAAGCATCAGCCTCCTTCTACTGTAAAACAGAAATAACGTTACCTGTTCTACCAATAAAACCATGAGGACAGTTTATATCCATTGCAATCCATAACTACCATTCACATTAAATATCTTTTAAGTGAAGTCTTACCAACTAAGAAAAATGGCAACAGTTTACTTAATTTGCAGCCACCCATCTTTAGAACACACCTTATGGAAATAAGTACAAAAGAGAGTAAAACAACTCCAAGCTATAGAGACCATATACCATAGAGTTCATGTATTTATATACTATAAAATGCTCAAGTCTTTAAACAGACCCTATTATCTTTTATTATAAAGGTATTTCATTTATTCTTTCAACAAATCTTTACTGAGTTCCATTTATGTGCCATGTAGTGATCTAGGTACTAAGGATAAAACAGTGACCTGTTCCTTTGCTCTACTTAGGGAGACATACATACAAGCAACAAATGTTTGACGGTAAAAAGCAGAGAAAAATAAAGCAGGTAAGGGGGGATCAGCACTGTGGAGAGAGATCGTAATTTTGAATAAAATGAATAGTGAAGGCAGTACTGACAGAATGTCTACGCTTGGGGCGCCTGGGTGGCTCAGTGGGTTAAAGCCTCTGCCTTCGGCTCAGGTCATGATCTCAAGGTCCTGGGATCGAGCCCCACATCGGGCTCTCTGCTCAGCTGGGAGCCTGCTTCCTCCTCTCTCTCTGCCTGCTTCTCTGCCTACTTGTGATCTCTGTCTGTCAAATAAATAAATAAAATCTTAAAAAAAAAAAAAAAGAATGTCTACATTTTCAGCCCACAGCAGACTAGGACTAATAGGGTACAACTGGTGCCCCCTGAAAACAGCAAGAAGGAGAAAAAAGAAGTATTTTAAGTAATTTTAAAAAGCAATCCCCAAACTTGCACCTGGAGTACTGTATATGAAAACAACAACCTATATGCTTTAATATATCTCTAGGCATTACTACATTATAGCACTGATTAGAGGACATGGCAATCAAGCCTGATTCACTAAGCAAATTAATAAACTTAGTAATTTTCACAATAAGCCCTAACCCACATATACGAAATGAAAATTTCTGGGGTCTGGCTATTCAAAATGTGATCTGGGAGCTTGTTAGAAATGGAGAATCTCAAATAAAATTTAGGGGCTTGGAGTAATAAACCTTTATTAAGTGAGAGACTCATTTCAAAAACAATGCTGTACAAACGGATTTTAGTCTAGATTGAAAGACAAAAAGAAATGCAGGTTAAAAATGAAATGCAGGTTTCTATCGTTATCTGAGTATCTATCAAAAGATAGTGATAGTGATTGATAGATCTATCAAAAAATCAAACTCTTGGCTCTAAGAGTTTTTTCCTAAAGAGAACAAGAATCATCCAGTAGTAATTTTTCAGACTGTCTTCACAGCTCTTGAATATGTGATAAGAGAATTAAAATAATAATAGCCAAGCATCGTTAGGCATTAAAAACAGACATTATTAGAAGGAGTTTACATGATTTAACTTAGTTAATCCTTTTGATGACCCTGTGAAGTAGTACTATTTGACTCTCATTTTATTAATGAGACAATAGAGGCATGGAAAATAAATATCTAAAGTATCTGGCCTAACGTTAAAAGTATTGAAAGAGAAATGGGGGAAAATGGCTTCAGAACCCATTTCTTAACGTAGTTTGCTGTTAGACTGCTGTGTTAGCAAAGCAACATCATTTTAATAAAAAGGCAAATGTGTGGAAAATAAAATTAAAAGTTAAAAAAAGGAATATAATCAATCCATTTTCCATTACATCAAGACAGAGATCAAAATAAATAAAATAGTTAAGCCTACACAGAAGATTATGGGTTTTTATTTTTCATTTTATTTTATTTTTTTTAAGATTATGGGTTTTTAAAATCAAGATATAAGGGTGCCATGGGTGGCTCAGTTGTTAAGCCTCTGCTTTCAGCTCGTCATAATCCCAACATCCTGGGATCCAGCCCCAGGGTCATCTCTCTGCTCAGCAGGGAGCCTGCTTCTCCCTCTCCAGGTCCCCTGTGCTTGTGTTGCCTCTCTTGCTATCTCTCTCTGTCATAAATAAGTAAAATCTTAAAAAAAAAAAACCTCAAGACATAAAAAAATAGGGAAGATTAAATAGGATTTCAAAAATACTGAATATGTTTAGAAGTGATTCTGTAAAAGTGAATTAAACACAATGTTTATGTTCTATAAAAAGAACTATGCCTTTAAAGAACTTAGAATAGGAAGGAATAGGGGACGGACTTTATTTCTTAATCACAAACTTTGTATTTTGGCTAGAATTACAGAATATTGATTCCTAAAATTAGAAACACCATTAGAACATAAAATTTAAATGTTATAGCTTTTATATATATTAAAGTGCATTTTTAAAAATTCATATAAACTTATTAATGGCCACTGGAAGTGGCTGGAACATTTTTTTAAACTATAGGATTACCTGACATAAATTAGAATCATTGAGTTCACATTTTATTTGGTTGAAACAAAAATAATCTGTCAAATTATATACAATCCATTTAACTTCAAATCTCATCAGTCATCTTGGTTATTGAAAATTAGTACCTTGCACTTTTCGACTTCTTCCTCAATTTTCTCAACAATAGCTGCATCCAGAATTTGTAAATCACAAGAAGAACGAGACAAAGTACTGACAGGATGTCCCTTTAGCCAAGTAATAATTTCTTGAACTTTCTCAGCACTACATTAAAAACAATTTTTTCACAATAATTAAAACTTTCTGAGGGTTAATACAAAAGGTCTAATAAATTTCTGAGGGTTGTGAATTACAAAAGATATCAAATACATAATTAATAATTAATCACTAAACTTAATTGGGACTAATTATAAATCTCTCAGTAATTAAAAAAACCCCACAAAATTAGTTTAAAAGTACTTTACTGATATAAGTGAAATAAATTATATTACGATCTTAAAGCAAATATATAAAACCCTCCCCACAAGATTAGTATAAATTGTTGATAAACTAGCTATTGTACCCGTCATTAGAACTACTAAGCTGAACTATGAGCCAATAAATACCACAAATTTTGCTTACCCATTCTCATTTTCTCCAGGCCAAATGTCATCTTCATAGAATACATCCTCCTGGCTGTTTTTGGCTATATAACTAAATAGTTCTGGAGCCCTAGACAAACAAAAAAAAATACTGCTTAGAAAATATATATGGCTAACTTCACATAAACTTCCTATCAAATAATTTTGGATTCCAAGGGAATCCTCAGTATTGAGGACTGATTATTACACACAGAGTATTAATAAAGGATAGAGCCTAATGATTTGAAAGTATTCGCAGGTCCTCAAAGAACTCTCAGTAGCTAAGGGAGAAGTGATTCAATTCATAAACTGTAATAAACTTCAATTACTTATAAATTTCAATTACTGACTCTAACTGCTCTCAGATCATAATGATAGGTGATAAATGACAAAAATAATATCTATACATTCCTTTTCTAATTTTCACAACAAAGCTGTGTACAAGAAAGGCAATGCAACCATAATAATCTACAAGGTCCACCTGTGACCATTTACATTATCTCAATCAAGTAAACTTTAAATCAAGATTTAATAACTAAACTAACCTAAAAGTTTCTTCTGATACACCTAAAAATGCCATTGCTTCCAAAATAGTGCAGGACTTTTAAATACACATAGCAGATTGAACTTATGTGCTTAATATTTGCTCACTTCCCAACCTACTAAAAAAAGAGTAAAGTATAAAATAGGGCATAGACCCAGAAAGGCATGAAAAGAGAAACGTTAGGTCTGAGAGCATATATGAATTGTTAACAAAATTTTAGAAACTGGAAACTGTATGGGTAAGTATTAACTGGTTTGAAAGACAGGAAAAAGCTACACCCTAAGCAACCAGGGTGGGAAGTCAACAACAAGCAAGATGATTTAAACTGTGCATGTCTGCAAAAGCTCTGCAATTAGGGCTCCAGGTACATTTTAATGCTGTAATATGGGCAGGGTGAAGTTTACTAGGCTTTTAGCTGAAAATTTTGTATAATAGCAGTTGGTTGATCATGTGCTTACTTACCTTCACCCCAGCACAAGACCTGTCTGTAGTTTATCTTTTGGAGAGGTTGAATAGAGGATGCTCTAGCTTTAGGAATACAAGGCACAGGGAGATGTGTGGGTAGGACATAAAGAGATGATATGGAATTGAAACTGTAACTACTACATAACATGTTGCTAGAAAGCAGGCTAGGAAGTGTAACTTCTTTAGGAAGCACACTTTTGAGATGAAAATAAGCAAGAAGGAAGTTTATCAGAGGGCTCTTGTGGAATCAACACATGTAGAAGGGAAGGAAAAAGGGAAGGAAGCAGAACTGGGCAGAGGGAAAAGCTGGGCTGTCATCCACTATTAATGAACTCCTTGGTCAGTTCTACAGAGATCTCAAAATAGGATGGTCCTTCAGAATTATCCTGAACTAGGGCAATCAGGTCCGCTGGGTCTTACACACCTCCTTGTAGATCATGTGTTGGATCTATGGCTGTTGTGGGATGAGGACATAACTTTAGGTGAGGCAGTTCTCTTCTGTAAGGCAATTCCTGAAGAGAGCTCATAGCTGAGGGCTGTCTGACAACAGCATTCTAGCTGCCATAGAAATAAGTCCTTTAAAGGGAGGTTTGGAGGGATTTCATAGTATCCATTCCATAATAAGATCCCTTTTTCCCAGTTAATAACCAAAACACTGGAAGTCAGTTTTGTTCCTCACATCTGTTCTCCAAGGAAAAAGCTGGAGGAGCCAGCCTGAGAGAAAATATACACACATAAGTAGTGATATTTGGAGGGCCTCTGTGAAAACAGCAAAGTCCCACCTGACAAGCCCCACAAAAGCACACTAAATTTCCAATCTGCTTTTTAGTGCCTCATTCTTAAATATAATTAGACACCAAAGAAGTACCAGACAAGTTAAAAAAAATCTTTAATATGAAAGATCAAATCAAACAGAAAAAAAAAAAAGAGCAATTTGGAGAAAATAGAAAATACAGAGAATAGAAGAAAAATGAGAACTACCATCTTAAGAGAAAAAGACACTATAGAAAACGAATGTCAGAGAATAAGGACACACTTTGAGAAATTAAAAATGATTAAATCAAATAAAAATAAAAATGATAGGAGATAAAGTTGAAGAAATCTCCCACAGAGTAGAACAGAAGTATAACAATATAGAAAATGGGTGAGAAGAGATAAGAAAATTAAGAGGATTAATCCAGAGGTCTATCATCTAACAGAAGTCTCAGAAAGAACAGAAAAAAAGAGAGGAGGAAATTACCAAAGAAATAATACAAGGAATTTTCTCATAATGGAAGGGCATCAGTTTTAAGTGTGAAATGACTCAACAGCCAAAGGAAAGAATACTCATACCAAGGCACACATCATCACATTATTAAAACAGCACTGGTAAAGGGAAGATTCTGAGAAGATTTCTGAAAATGAAAACAGATCACACACAAAGATTCAGAATCACAATGGCATAGGACTTCTTACCAGCAAAGGAAACAAAAAGAGAACAGAGTAGTACTTTTCAAATTCTGAGGAAAAACTTCTCTAATCTAGGATTTTACACCCAGGCCAGCTATCAACCAAGTCTAGTCAGGGAAGAATAAAGACATTTCCAGACACACAAGCTCTCTTAGGAAACTCTTGGAGTAAGTGCTCCATCAAACTGGAGACATAAAAACAGAAAAAGGTATGAAAGCCAGGAAATAAAGGAATCCTGTAAGGCAGAATGGTGAAGGGAATTCCTAGGACAACAGTAGAGAGAAACCCTAGAATGACAGCTGTGTGATAGCTCTAGAAAATAATTAGTTTACATCGAAGCAGGAAGATAGAAGGTTTCAAGGAGGAAGTCTATACGAAAAAAAGGAACTGAGAGATCTCCTGATCTGTTTGACCATACAAAGTCTTCCAGCTATGACAAAGAGTTTAGGGTTGAATTAGTTATGTGAATATAGACAATAAGCAAATGATCAAAAAAGACGGGGAAAAGAAAAATGTGTACCAGAAAGGACATGCAACCATATTAATCTACAAGGTCCACCTGTGACCATTTACATTATCTCAATCAAATAAACCTTAAATACAGCTTTAATACAACTATAATGAAAGGGGTAATACACACACACACACACACACACACACACACACACACACACACACATGCAGGAAGGTGAGGAAATAGAAAGGGAAGAGAGCTAAAGCTTCATCTTTCATGGTACAAAATCAATGCATATGCCAAGTTGAAAAATCATGAAAAGGTAGGGTAAATACAACATTTTAAAGAAATATGGAAGTGAAAAAAAAAAAAGAAATATGGAAGCGAAGAAATAAATTTTCAGATGATAACACAAGATTGAGTCATGTTCCTTCCCCAAAAAGACAGATTAAAGTCCCACTCCTACTACCTTCAGAATGTGACTTTATTTGAAAATAAGGTTTTTACTGAGATTATAAAATAAAAATGAGGCCTTTAGGGTGGGCCTAATCTAACATGTCTGTGTCTTTATGAAAAGAGGAAATTTGGGACACCAAAACAGGCATTAAGAGAGGAAAAGATGATGTGAAGACGTAGAGGGACAACACATGTGAAGATGGAGGCCTGGAGTTAAGAACAAATGTGTGAGGCTACAAGAAGCTAGCAAAGAGGCATGGAATGGTTCCTTTCCTACCACCTTCAGAGGAAGCATGGTCCTACCAAACACCTTTGTTTTGGACTTCTGGTCTCCAGAATTGTGAGACAATGAATTTCTGTTGTTTTAAGCCATCCAGTTTGTGCTACTTTGTTACAGCAGCCCTAGTAAACTAAGATGATCCTCAAATACAGGGTTAGAAACCAGTAGAAAAAAGGAATGAACATTCAATTATGAATAAGAAGTAAACGTTTCCCTATAAATCTTTGTCACTGAGTAACTCAGTTAATCTCAGTACACAGTTTTCTCATTTTTAAATGAGGAGCTGAGATTTATTGATTTCTTAGATCATTTCAGCATAAGATTCAATAATTTTAGGACAGTAATCTATTATCTGGTTGGAGTTTTAAGACTCAGAAAATCCACTGTGTGAAGAGTTGCTTTGTTTTTCCATACCAATTCTCTTACTACTAACACAGACATGCAAAGTACTGAATAATTTATGATAGCGAGTTAAGGAAAATTTTCAGTAAAAGGAGGCTAAAGGGCACCTGAATGTCTTAATTGGTGGAGAGCACAACTCTGGATCTCAGGGTTGTAGGTTTGAGCCCCACGTTAGGTATAGAGATTACTTAAAACAAAACAAAAACTTTAAAAAATTTAAAAATTAAAAAAAAATAAAAGGCCAATTCTCATCATCCTTTTTCATTTTAAATAATATACAGTATTTTTCTATTTTCTTTTTGCGAATAGCTATGATGCTCCATGATACAAAATTAAGTTTTTATGTAATACATCACATTTTACCAAAGGAAACATTTTTTTGTCTAAAATTGGTATCAGCAAAGTAAAATAGTTACTACATTCCCACATTTTTGGATGCTTAGTAGGATCTTATTAGGCACTTACCTCTCTAAGTACTCTGCAAGAAGTTGTTCTGCTGCAGATGAATACATCCACTCACTTCCAACTTTCTTAGTATAGCCAGGTACCTCCTCATTTTTTTTGTTGAATTTGAGATTCAAACCCACATTTGCTTTATGGTCTCCATGAGGGCTGAATTTAAATCACACACACACACACACACACACACACACACACACACACACACACGTTTTAAAATTTTGTTCAAAGAATACAAAGTTTTGCTTTCAATTCTTAGAAAAACTTAATTTTGATTGTTCTTCTATAGTTTTCATGGTTATTTCCAAAGTAGCAGTTATTGAAAGACTAGAGGAAAGGCTTTAAAACCCAAGTTAACAAATCATATAAATAGATTATATAACTAGAGAAGAGAATGAGATAAGAAAATGCAGGGAAATATATTATTGAGATTCACACACACCTTCTGATACCTTTTTTCAAGGTTCAATTTGTTAGCTGCTAAAAATAAGAACTGTCTTTCCAAACACCTAAAACATGTGCCATTTAGATGAAAGATCACCATCAGAGGAATTTATGCATAATTTTTAAAGAAAATTCAGAGCAATTAATAAAAGAAAATAAATACTAAAGTATTAACCAGTTTATCTTTATCATTTAATTTTTTCTGCCACTTTAAGTAAATTTCTCTAACGTAAACTTACTTTCTCCTAGATCCTCTTCCAATAAAAATACTTCCTGTAAACCTTGAAACAAGGTATCCACTCACTCCAAGGCGACTGGCCAACACATATCCTGGGTTGTACTTTATAGAATATTTCTTCAAATATAAAAACAAAAAGGTCAATTATGGAAACACAAAGCATCAAATGTTATTTCTTTACCTTTAAAATCTGGAGATAATCAAGACATCACTAACCATTGGAATGTGGCAATATAAGGATTCTCAAAAGTAAGTGATCCATTTCCCTTTTTATTTTTTTGAAAGGATCTGTAGGCAGAATTTTTCTGCTCCTCTCTCTCCTTAAAGGACAGAATTCCCAAGGATGGATGAAAGGGGGAGGAAATATACAATTTGTGAAACTGTCTCAAGAAATAAAGTCTACTCTAAGTCTAAATGGCAAACTCTGCAGACAAGAGCTATTTTTTAAACATTAATTTTCATATTCCAATTAGGGACTAGTAAAGCACTGGGACATAATGAGGCCTTGATGATTATTAACATTGAACTAAAACATGAGTATGTCATCAAAACAGTTGCTACTGAGCACAATTAAAAATGTTCTTCATTATATTTACTATGATATGAAAGTAAGAAGTATATATAGGCTTATAGTTAATACAGTCAAAGAAATATAACCTAAATTTATGTATATAAGGGAAGAAACTAAGATTAAAAAAAGGTATCAGATCATATAATTTTTAAATTAATCAGGAAGCAAATTACAAATCCAGTACCAAAAAAGGTAAGCTACCATATAATCTTGACATAATAGACATAATAATAACATACTTATTTTATATGGATTTCATGTACTATATTCATATGAATGTGTATAAATATAATAAACACTTATGAATTAAATGCATATTTTATGTCTACAATAACCGCCAAACGGATAAATTTTTTTTGGTGCATGGAATATATAAATTCATTATTAAAATATGTTAATATCCTGGGTAAAGAATGCAATATAGTTTTTCCATCAAGAGCATTATTAGGATTAGAAATAATACAGACAATTCAAATACACTTTCCAGAACAGATAGGAGGACTTAAGGTAGTAGTTCTCTTATCATAGGTAGTATTACTTATTTTTCTAATAAGCATCTGGAAATGTATAGGGCCACATCATTCAGTTACTGGCATGGGCCACTACCTCTTAGTCTCCAGGGGACAAAGATGCCAACTACACTATCATATACTGGACAGTCCTATTTTATACAGGAATTGTCCTACCCAAAATACCAATGGTATTGTTTTTGAGAAATATTTGATTATGATATAATTAAAATTGATGAAGATCATCACAAATATTCTAGAAAATGTAAAGTAAAAAGCAGAGAACATTGGGGGTAGAGAAAAAAGATGAGTAAAAGTTAATAAGGTATGCAAAGAGAAAAAGCATAGAGGAGAAGGCATGCCTAGCAACACTGTACTTAAAAGGTGGGCAGGCTCTTTCAGATCTAGAAAAAGCTAGGGATAAAGGAACATAAATAATTTTTTCCCTCCACTGACTCCCAGAACAGAGAGCTCCAGCATCTTTATCAAGCAGGACACTCTCCTGGTTTCCTGACTGTGCTTTCTGAATCCTTTCTCCAAAAGATGCCTGATGGTAAGAATTTAGAGACTTTTCTGCCTTCCATGAAGTTTGTTCAAGTATATGCTGATGTTCAATGCCCTCAGTTCATTTACAGGATAAAAAGCTTTAGAATTTACTATTAGAGAAATAAAAGTATAAGTATCAGTAGCTGGCTGATTGTGAATTAAATTCAGCTGAAGTAATTATCTAATCAATCATTAAGAATATACAATAGATATCAGAATCCTCCTCCTATTGAAATATAAAAGGAGGCCAGTGAACATCTTTGGAGGAAAAAGGTCCTAAAAAAGGATGCTGTGAATTTAAATGCAGTTTCCCATTTTTTTCTAGTGATTGTTCATCTTTAGCTTCCATTGCAAAAAGGCCACTACTTGTAACTAAAAATGTAGGCTTTGATTATGAAAAGTTTATTTAAATAAAAAAAACTAAGCCTATTCCCAGAGGGTAGGCTAAGACACGTATCCCTTCTTGAGCTTGAACATGAACCCATAAAAACTGTTACAGATTAATAATGAGATTTCAGTGATATTTTTCCCCCTGAACATTTGCATGAAGTTTGAAAACAGATTCCCCACACTCATTTTTAAGTACTAGACATAACTGTGAGAGAATTTAATCAGTACTAAATAAAGTATTTATAATATATTCAGAGGAGGTGGTAAAAATATGCTTCTAACACTTTTAAAAGTTTATCAGTTCTAAATTAAGCAATATGGACTATGGTACTCACATGCTGGTTCTGTATTAAAGCATCAAGATTGGGTTCACATGGAATGCTGAAAATCACACGAATCCTACCTTCTGTAATCACATCCCCTGAATCCTGAACCTTGGAGGGAAAAAGAAAATCACAATGTTTTAGTCTCTTTCACCACATTTTATTTACTTTTCTAATTATTTGAACAATGTTTATTTCTGAAATACAGCAAGACAGTAAAGTTGGATACTGGAGATTCTCTTAGAATTCATAAATGAATGTGATTACATTATAAATTTGAGCCAATACACATTGCTTTAATAGCTGTTAGCCAGTTTTTTTCCTTTAAATTAACTTTTTATTTGCAAATAACTTTAAATTATCAAAAAGCTGCAAACATAAAAACAGGTCAAAGATCACTTATAAAACATTTACCTAGATATTAACATTTTACTCAATCTGCTTTAACATTTGTACTCTATGCATATACATAATTTTTTTTTTAAACTTTTTGAGGGTATATTACATATATCATGTCCTTTACCCTTTAATATTTTGGTGCATACAGCCTAAGAAGAAGGATATTTTACTATATAACCACAGTACAGTTACTAAATACACTCATTTACATTGATAAAATAGTTCAATCAACTGTCCATATTCCAGTTTTGTCGCGGCTGGCCCCAAATTTTTCCTATATTATAATAAAGAAAACCCTTTTCTCCCTCTACTACAGAATTCAGGCTAGGATCAGACATTACATTTAGTTATCATACCCCCTAGCCAACTTATATCTAGACTATATCCAAAGTCTTTGTCTTTTATAACATTGACATTTTTGAAGAATAAGGTCCTTCTTCCCTCTTCATCCTGCCTTTAAAAACAAAAGTGCCAAAAAAAAAAAAAACAAAAAAAAAACCAAAAGTGCCTCATTTTGGATTTGTCTGATGCTTCCTTACAATTAAGTTAAGCTCATATATTCTCAGCTAGAATAGTGCATGGGTGATGTGTCCTTCTTAATACCTTGGTATCACATATGGAGGTGCATGATATTGCTCAATTTCTTCACTGTCCAATTAGGTTTTTTTTCTCTTATAACTAATTAATGGTCTGTGGGAAGACACTTTCTAAGGCCATGAAAATATCCTACTCAGATAAAAAACTCCCCCTAGATTTAGTTTCCGATGGAGATTGTTACTTGATTCAATCTTTATTGTAATGCTTATAAAATGGTTTTCCAACTCTAGCATACTCTCCATTTACCTTTGACATGATACTATAAACAAGGGCCCTTCTGTTCCCTATTTACTTATCATCACTGTGGAATCATTAATTCCTATCCCCCACCCCCGTCCAATGGTTTATAATCCACTAGTGTACTTTATTATTTTGGTACTCCAACTATCCCAGATTTGGGCAGTTTGGTAGGAGCTCCTTTGACCCGGTTTCTGTGTTTATGTGATATGGTCCCATCACTCTTTTGAGCACTTCCTTATTTTCTGGCCTAACCGGTGGTTCTAGAAAATGTAAAGTAAAAAGCTTATCTTCTACCTACCCTGCCCCAGCCTAGTAATGGGCCATTTCTCTCAAATGCTTTCAGTGGGGTGTATTATTAGAGGTCAAACCTGGAGAGATTATATGTATTCACTGTTACTAGATTATCTTTGTTTCTTAACCCTTTGAGCAAATACAGCTAGAAAATACATGTATGTATAGGCATATATGCATTCACACACATACAAATATACATATATATCTATATACATGTGCCCATATACATATGTGTAAATACACGTATGTATTTTTAAAATCATAAGTTCACATTAATACCTTCAATTCTAATCTGTCCCCACAGATTCTTCTTTGCATTCTTCCATTTCATATTTACATGTATCTTTTTCCATGTGAGAACTGGAATTCCTCAAACATCAACACATTTACAAGTTCATCAACCCAATAATACAACTAAAATAATTTCATAACTGCTTCATCCACTACCATAATGAATAAACCTGCTAAATAAGAGATTAAGATTTGAATTCTTTCTCCTCTGCCTCTTAACCCCAACCTGCTCAAGATTAAAGACATATAGTCAAATACTGTGTTCATAAGTTAGACATATGAATTTTTCCCCTTTAGTATTACATTTTATTTTATACCTAAATGAAGAGAAGTTAAATAACTATCACTTAGAACTAGAAAGAAATTTAATTAGTAACAATAACAGGAACTAACTTCTCCAGTGCAGCCATAATAGGGGGTTCCCAGCATAAAGACCGTACTTCTAGGAGGAAACAAGTCATCCAATGTTTTGATTTTGGAGAAACGGGAGTCAAAAGCTCGGATGTCCTATACAGAATGAAATATAAAAGTAAATTATCACAGTCAAAAGTCCTATGGATTGGACATCAAATTTTTCTTCCTATGGGGTTATTACTATGCTGTCTGCAAATGCAAAATGTAAAGATTTTCTACATAACAATACTGGCAGCTAAAATGTATTGACTTTATATGCCATTTTTCTAGGTATTTCGTACATTAGTTAATTTCATCCTCAAGACAACCCTGTATAGCACAGATCATTATTAGCCTCACTTTACACATGGGGAAACTAAGGCACCAAAAGGGGGTGAAATGTCACCCAAGATCATACAGCTAAAAAGTCAACTCAGGCAGTCTGCGCTCTTAATCACTACACTATACTGTTTCTCAAAATTACAGGATCAGTACATGCTTTAAAAAAATTTTGTCTCAGGCGCCTGGGTGGCTCAGTTGTTAAGCAACTGCCTTCAGCTCAGGTCATGATCCCAGTGTCCTGGGATCGAGTCCCACATCCGGCTCCCTGCTTGGCAGGAAGCCTGCTTCTCCCTCTCCCAGTCTTCCCACTTGTGTTCCCTCTCTCACTGTGTCTCTCTCTGTCTAATAAATAAATAAATAAATCTTAAAAAAATTTTTTTTGTCTTGTTATCACACCCAAAATTACCAATACAAAAGCAAATACTTTTATTTATTTATTTACTAATTTATTTCAGGCAAACATTTTTTGGAGAATAAAAATCTAAAACTGTAGGCTGTTAAGCTAATGCTAGGCTTTTTCATTAGAGATTAAGTTTAAAAAATAAATAAGTAAAAAAGACAAGTTTCCTAATCATACACAGAGTGAGCATATAACAACCTTTTCAAAAACTACAGTTTTTGCGGTGGTTCAAGACGGTTCAAGATGGCAGCACAGGAAGATCCTGAATGCCTCTCCTCCCATGGACACACCAAATCTTCAGCTACATATGGAACAATTAGTTCCCTCTTAAAGAGGCCTGAAAACTAGTTGAACAGCAACTCCACAACAAAAGATTAAAAGGTACAGATTGATTTGGGTAGGAGAGGCAGACATACTATCGCCAAAAACCCCACCCCTGATGTGGAGACCCACAATCAGGAGAGATCTCCTTCTTGAGGAGCAAGGGGTTTGTGTTCCGTATCAGGCACCCCAACCCTTGGAAACTGCACTGGCGAGACAGGCTGCCAAAGTATCTGGCTTTGAAAACAAATGGGGCTTATGTCTAGGAGACCCAAAAGGCTGCAGGGAATGGAGATTCTGCTTTTAAAGGGCTTGTGTGCAGACTTACTAGCCCTGAGATCCAGGGTAAGAGCAGTGGTTTGAAAGTGCCTAGACCATATGGGGAAAACATTAATTTGCTAATCGTAAAGTTTCTGTCAGGGGGACAGGGGACTGTTGGGACTTTCTCTGGACACAAAAGTGCTGGCAGGTGCCATTTTTTGTGTTCTTCCTTTACTTTGCTAGCATTAGCAAGTGTGCTCTACTAAAGCTGGCAGGCACATCCTACCCCCATGTATATATGGGGTCTCTCTCTCTCCCTCTACACAGACACACAGACACACAGACACACACACACACACACACACACACACACACACACACACACACACGGTTATTACTCAGTCATAAAAGATAATGAAGATCTTGCCATTTGCAACAACATGGATGGACATGAGGGTATTATGCTAATGAAGTAAGAGAGAGAAAAACAAATACATGACTTCAGTTAATATGCAATTTAAAGAAACAAAACAAACAAATAAAACACAACAGATACAGAGAAATGACTGGTGGCTGCCAGACAGAAGGGGTTTGGGGAGATGGATAAAATGCATGAAGGGGCTTAAGGGGTACTAGTTATACTAGTACTAGTTATACTAATACTTAAGGGGTATTAGTTACACAATAAATAAATCATGGGGATGTAACGTATAGCATGGTGACTTTAGTCAGTAATAATGTACTGCGTATTTGAAAGCTGTAAAACAGTAAATCTTAAAAGTTCTCATCATAGTGCTCGCTTCGGCAGCACATATACTAAAAAAAAAAAAAGTTCTCATCATAAGAAAAAAATTCTGTAACTTTGTATGGTGATAGATGGTAATAAGACTTATATTGGTGATCATTTGCCAGTGTATACAAATACTGAATCATTTTGTACACTTTGAAACCAAATAGTCAATTATACATAAATATAGTTTTTTCAAATGATATTAAATCATAATCTCCATAATGCATTGCTGCATTAGTTTTCTATTTATAAATAAATATTAAATATGATATAGTTTTTTCTTTATACAGTGGGAGTAGTGCACATTTAGATACAATTGAGATTTGATGGAGACTTACCTTTACAATAGTTTGATAAACAAAAGGAAGAACTTGTTTCGACCATTGTTTCTCTAGATGGACTTCGCCATTTTGATTTATTTGATATTTACGACCTGTGAGTAACTGAGCATATACAACTGCGGATGTTTCATTTATTATTATTCCTTTTCTTCTTAGGTAGCTAAAAGAAAGAATAAAAAAGAAACGTAGATATGTATGAGTATGTTGAGTATGTATATATTCTAGGATGATAATCAAACTACCAACTCATAATCAAATGTTTAAATAAAATTTAAATAAATATGCTAGCAGTTCTGAGTACCTAACTTAAGGTTTTTTTGCACTAGTTTTTTACTCTATGGATACCTCTCCCAATGTCTGTGTGACTAAAGGAGAACTTGTTTAAGAAATTCTTGTGTGTCATAATCACTAGGATGGGGATAACAAAAAAAAGTGAAAATATCAAGTACTGGAAAAGATGTGGAGAAATTGAAACACTTGTACGTTGTTGGTGGGAATGCAAAAATGGTACACTCACTGTGAAAAACCATTTAGCAGTTCTTCAAAAAGTCTACAAATTCCACTTCTAGGTATATACCCAAAAACTGGAAAGGTACTCAAACAAATATTTATAAATGAATGTGCATAGCAGCATTACTCACAATAGCAAAAAGGCAGAAAGAACCCAAAAGTCCTCCAATAGATGGATGGATAAACAAAAGGCAGTATATCCATAAAATAAAATATTTGGCCATTGAAAGAAAGAAGTACTGATATATGTTACAATGTATATGAACCTAAAAATATGTTAAATATAAGAAGTTAGACACAAAAGGCCACATAGTATATAGGATTCCATTTCTGCAAAACATACAGAATAGGTGAATCCAGAAAGACAGAAAGAGGTTAACAGGGGCATTCAGTGGTCCTTTTCTTTCTTTCTTTCTTTTTTTTTTTTTTAAGATTTTATTTATTTATTTGACAGACAGAGATCACAAGCAGGCAGAGAGGCAGGAGGAAGCAGGCTCCCTGCTGAGCAGAGAGCCTGATGTGGGGCTCAATCCCAGGACTCTGGGATCATGACCTGAGCCAAAGGCAGAGGCTTTAATCCACTGAGCCACCCAGGTGCCCCCAGAGGGCCTTTTCAATCTCAAGTATAGGTCAGCAAACTACGGTCATGAGACAAATCTAGACTGACTCCAGTTCTTGTAAATAAAATTTTACTGAAACATAGTCATCAATTTATTTGCTGTCTATGATGGCTTTTGTGTTACAATAGCATAGTTGAGTAGTTATGACAAACACTGTAAAGTCTGCGAAGAAGCCCAAGATATCTACTATCTGGCCTTTACAGAAAAAATTTGCTGACCTCTGATCTAAAGATAAAATTATTCTTCATCCAAGGATATTTTCCTATCTCCTTTCCATTTGCTCTTCCTAGAACTCCTATTTGAGAAATATTAGAAATTCTGACTATACTCTTTTCATCTCTTCATGCTTTTGTACTGTGTGCTGAGGGAATGAATCCCTCAGCTTCATCTTCTAGCTGATTGAATTTTTTTTTTTTTCAACTAAGCCACCCAGTAACCCCTCACTGACTGAATTTTCAGTATCACTATATTACTATTCAGACCATCTGCTCAGCTCATTATATAATTTAAATTTTTGTATTTGTGTTTTATATAAATAAATGTATTATATAATATAAACTATAGATATATATAGTATATAGATGAATGACATTATTATATATAACACACATATATATATTTTTTTCCATAGCAGCTGATATATATATGTTGTTGTTCTCAATGGTAGCCTTGGTCTGAAATAAATCACGCCATCTTAAAAAAAAGAAACAGAAGTCTTCCAACAAATTTTTGAAATGGAGCATTCTGCTTTTTCTTTCTTTCTTTCTTTCTTTTTTTTTTTAAGATTTATTTATTTGTTAAAGAAAGAGAGAGAGCACAAGCAGGTGGAGTGGCAAGCAGAGGGAGAAACAGTCTCCTTACTGAGCTAGGAGCCTGATGTGGGACTCAATCCCAGGACTCTGGGATCATGACCTAGGCCAAAGGCAGACACTTAACTGAGACACCCAGGCGCCCTCTGCTACCATTTTCTAAAAATCCAGTGGGAAAACCTACTAATTTTACTCAAAAGTTATTTAGCCAGTAATCTTGCTACCAATATGACAAGGATATCCCAAGAAAGGAAAATTATTTGCTAATCTTTCTCATAAAGATAAAAGCAAAAATTCTAAACAAAATGTAACAAATCTAATCCAATTACATATAAAAAGGAAAATACATCATAGTCTAATAGGATTTACTCCAGGAATTCAGGGATAAATTTATATTTGAAATTCAATCAACATAATTCACCAGATTAAAAGAAAAATCATATGGTCGTTTTGACAGATACAGGAAAAAACCTGACAAAATCAGTACTAATTAATAATAAAAACTCTCAACCAACTAGGAATAGAAGGAAATTTCCTTTATCTGATAAAGAATATCGATTAAATAAAAACACTCTAGGGGCGCCTGGGTGGCTCAGTGGGTTGGGGCCTCTGCCTTCGGCTCGGGTCATGATCCCGGAGTCCTGGGATCGAGCCCCGCATTGGGCTCTCTGCTCAGAGGGAGCCTGCTTCCTCCTCTCTCTCTGCCTGCTTCTTTGCCTACTTGTGATCTCTGTCAAATAAATAAATAAAATCTTAAAAAAAAAAAAAACTCTATGGCAATCATTATATTTAATAATGAATCATTTAAGGCTTTTCTCTGAAATTGAGAATAACATCACACGAAAATCATAAATAAGAGACTGTGGGGCACCTGGGCGGCTCAGTGGGTTAAGCATCTGCCTTCAGCTCAGGTCACAATCCCCAAGTCCTGGGACTGAGCTCTGAGTCAGCCTCCTGCTCAGCACAAGCAGTCTGTTTCTCCATCTCCCTCCAACCCTCCCCCATGTTTGTGCTTGTGCTCATGCTCTTGCTCTCTCTAAAATAAATAAGTAAATAAATCTTAAAAAACAAAACAAAATTAATGTAAGACTGGTAATCAACTCAGAAAAAGGGCAAAATATATGAACAGGCATTGCACAAAGGAGCATATTCAAATGACCAACAAATATGAAAGGATGCTCAACTTTTACTGTCATTGGGGAAATGCAAATTAAGCCAAATGAAATACCACTATATTACAATGGCTAAAATGGAAGAGACAATAAGTACTGAAGGTAGAGATAAAATAAATTCTTATAAATTTCTAAAAGAATGTAAATTGATACAATCACTTTGTAAATCTTTTTGGTAGTATCTACTCAAGCTGAGCTTAAGCATTATCCTATGAAGCAATAATTCCACTCTTAATTATGTACCTAACAGTAATGCATATATACGTATTCACTAAAAGTGCCAAACAACTCAACTATCTATCCACAAAAGTATGGATAAATTGTACTATATTCATACAATGTAATGTAATCATTAGTGAAAATGAACAAACTAAACTATATGTAACAACATATGAATATTAGAATCACAGTACTGAACAACAGAGGTCAGGTTCAAAAAGAATACATTCTGTATGAATCAATTCTTACAAAGTTTGAAATAGGAAAAACTAATCTCTAGAGTTACAAATCAAAATAGTTACATTTGGAGGAGAGGAGAAATAGATTGTAATGGCTGGAAGAGGGCATAAGGGGCTTTGTAGGATTATGACAACTTCTCTGTTGGTTCTATTTTTTTTTTTTTAAGGATTTTATTTATTTATTTGACAGAGAGAGTCACAGCAAGAGAGGGAACACAAGCAGGGGGAGTGGGAGACGGAGAAGCAGGCTCCCGGGGAGCCCCATGTGGGGCTCGATCCCAGGACTCTGGGATCAAGGTCTGAGCCAAAGGCAGATGCTTAAGGACTGAGCCATCCAGGTGCCCTTCTGTTGGCTCTCTTTCTTGACTTATATTCTAGTTATGCATGTGAAAATCTATCAAGTAAAATATTTATGCATTGTATATATTCTCTTCTCTGTATACTTCAATAGAAACTTTCTATTAGAAAAAAACCTAAAATAGTAATTTAGAATAATAGCTTTAAATTTTCAAGTGGTAGGAAGACTTTCCTCCATTTACTTTTTAAAAGAAAAATTTATTTATTTGAGAGAGTGAGAGTATGTGCAAATGCACACATGGATAAGGGATAAGGGCAAAGGGAGATGGAAATCCTCAAGCAGCCTCCCGGCTGAGAGTAGAGCCTGACCTGGGGCTAGATCCCAGGACCCTGAGATCACAACCTGAGCCAAAATGGAGTCAGAGGCTTAATGGACTGAGCCACCCAGGCATCCCTCTCTATTTACTTTAGCTTTTACTTTACACTTTTATTGCTTTGGGGTCAGTGTTGTGGTCAGTATTCTCTTTCTCTCTTTTTAAACACCTGTGTTTATTTATTTATTTTTTATTTATTTTTAAGTAAACTTTACTCCCAATGTGGGGCTTGAACTCATGACCTTGAGATTAGAGTCCTGTATTCTATTGACTAGCCAGGTGCCTCTAGTCTGTATTCTTTCTTTCTTTTTTAACCGAAGTACACTTGGGCATACAACATTAGTGTTATTTTACTATATAGGCTGTATAGTGTTGTTTTACTAAACAAAAATGGCACCTGCCAACTTTGGCACTTGCAAGGTAGAAAAAGAATGCAAAAATGGCACCTATCAATGCCTCAGTCCCTGAAAAGAATTCCAATAGGCCCCTGTTCCTCCAATAGTTACCTAAGGTTAGCAAATCAATGTCCTTCCCATATGGTCTAGGCAGTTTACAGATTTCAGCTTTTACCCTACCTGAGTCCTCGGATAATTGAGTCCATGTGGGAACTCTTTAAGAGCACAATCTCCATTTCCTACAGCTCTGTTTCTCCTGGTCACAAGCCCCACTGGTTTTCAAAGCCAGATGTTTTAGGGCTTGTCTCTCTAATGCAGATTCCAAGGGTTAAGAACTGATGTGGGGCATTAAATTTTTAAAAATACTTAACATATCTCTTCTTTTCTAAAGTATAAACAAAACTATACTTTAACTTTCTCTTATGTAAAATGTGAGTTAGTACTTAAAAAATAATTCTGTATTTTAATAATTTATTAATAAACTGGCGTTTATCACCAATGATTTGGTAACCACATTTTTTGGGGTTGATTCATCTCTTGCTTGTTTGAGGTACAAGGTTTTGGAACTTTTCTCCAAATTATCTTCTAAATGCATCATCTTCTTCATAGCAACCCAAAAAGTACTTTCTTATGTCTTTCTTTCAGTCTTCTTTCTCCAATTCCCAATCCTTTTCACTCTATTATATCCTCAATAGCAACCTGTTTAACTGAAGTATCATCAGTTCTCCGTGTAGCTCTCTCAAGGAGTAGCCATTTGTTTTCATACTATATATGGGCTAGGATAGGGTGTTCTCCTTACAACCTACTGTGACATTCAAATCCCTCATAGTAAACTACTCTGCTCTTTTCCATTCTATCCTTATGCCAACTATCATCCAGAATGCTCTCAGAGTTTACATATATAACCTACCTAACACCACAGGAATTTAGTTTCACTATCTCCTTACCACCAATAACCTTTTCCATTCCACTTCAGCCATCTAGTCCTATAGCTATGACTTGGGTCATGACATCACCCATAATAGATGTACCTCCAAAATCATTAATCCCAACATCTTATTGTCTAAAAATTTTTCCAGCTAACTTGCTTGTTCAACCCACTTTATGATTTTTTTAAAATTTTGTTTGACAGATAGAGATCACAAGTAGGCAGAGAGGCAGGCAGAGAGGCTGGGGGGAAGCAGGCTCCCTGCTGAGCAGAGAGCCTGATGTGGGGCTCGATCCCAGGACCCTGAAATCATTATCTGAGCCGAAGGCAGAGGCTTTAACCCACTGAGCCACAAAGGCGACCCTCAACCACTTTATGATTAGCTTAATTTGGGATCTCTAATCCACTGATCCTTCTACTTTCTCTGAAACTATTAACTTAACCTATTTTTTTTTACTTCTCCTACTATCCCACTTAGATTCCATTGTCTACTTTTTCAGTAACATTCCTGCCAATATCCTTAACTTCCTTGCCTTTCTGTCTTTTCATTATATCCATCTAGCAAAATCCAGTGCTTGTTTAATCTCTGCTTTTTCTAGGCCTGTAACTGATCAACAGAGCTCTACTACCAAAAGATAGGGCAGATCATTACATTATAAATTAATGTCATTCAACTTCAAAAAGGGCCCTCAATATTGCCTATAATTCAACCACGTTCTTCTGATCAACTGATACTCTTCCATTTTCTCCAAGGACTTTTTTTTTTTTTTTAAGTTTATTTATATATGTAAGTAATCTCTACACCCAATATGGGGCTCGAATTCATGACCTCAAGATCAAGAGTATACAAATTCTTCTGAATGAGCCAGCCAAGTGCTCCCCAAGCACTATTTTCAAACCTTCTCTACTTTACTCAAATTTAAGATCAATCTCTCTTTTCCTGCCTCCATTCTAAATAGGTGAATTCAATATTCACTTTACAAAGAAAACAAAGGCAACCAATGAGAGCTTCTCATCTGCTCCATGCCAAACACACAAACCAACCTGTATTTGTATACCATCTTGTTAAAACAGAGGAGCTACCTTTTTCCTCTTTAAGACTCTATCTTGTTCCATCTTCAAATACATTGTTTTCTTTCTTTTGAAAATTGCACCTCTCTTCTCATTTTTACACACGATCCTATCTCGCTGAATAAACCAAACACCAAGTCCATTCAATTCTATATCCTTCTTCAGCTAAGTCTTTTTTTTTTTAAAGATTTTATTTATTTATTTGACAGAGAGAGAGATACCACAAGTAGGCAGAGAGGCAAGCGGGGGTTGGGGGTGGCGCGGAAGCAGGCTTCCTGCCAAGTAGAGAGCCTGACATGAGGCTCAATCCCAGGACCCTGAGACCACAACCTGAGCCGAAGGCAGAGGCTTAACCCACTGAGTCACCCAGGCGCTTTTCTTTAGCTATGTCTTAATGGTAGTTTTCATTAGAAAGGAAATCTGCTACACAGGAATACAAAAAGGTACCAACATTGTCATATGTACTTAGAGAGTTTCTAAAAATAAAGTTGCATAACTTGGTACTCCTCGAAGTATTTCATGTGTTATGTTCACACAAAAAAGGATGTACTGAACTTAGGAGAACAAGTCTTGGTTAGTAAGATATATGGAGATAAGTGAAATAAGTAATAGGTTCTACATTCTTGTGTAGAAGTTTTAGAGTTAAGGATGGTCTGTGCAAGCATTACTCTTAATATTAGAGCCATGAGATCCTCATGTTGATATAATGTACAAAATCACAAGTAAGTAAGATAAACCCTCAGGGGCAGAGTACCACTGGCTGTATGAATTTCACCTTACAAGACAGATTATAGAAGTGCTGGGGAGGTATGGGAAGAGGGGACAAAATGTGAGGTGATATGAGAGAGGAATATGGTGGTTAAAAAAAAAAAAAAAAAAAAGCAGTCTAAGAAAATGGTAACCAGAATAAATACACCTAAGTGTTTATGAATCCACACAGCCTCGTCTACCCTATTTGGTTAACCAGAGATCCTGAACAGGTAGGCACTAAAAATCATTCTTTTGTATGAACCAACACACATTGCCATCAACTTCAGCAGTCTGCTGCCTTGATTATTATCTCTGCTCTTTGCGGCCATCAAGAAGTTCAAGTCCATCCATATGGGAAGAACTGACAGAACAAGGAGTCAAGAGCTTTTGGTTTACTTCACAACTGAAGTTTTTGAAGTTGTTTACTCCTATTATGTCTCCATTTCTGTTACTCTCAATCATTCTTCCACCCATACTAGTCCAGCTTGCAGCCCCACTGTTCAAACAAAATAGCTCGTTTATTAATCTTCTTCATAATATTTGACATGACTTATTCCCTTATTCTTCAAACACTCTTTTTTTTTTTTTTTTAAATTTGCATAATGTAACACTTCCCTGGCTGTTCTCCTACCTCTCAGATTGCCTTGTTTTTTTTTCCCTTTGTTGCCTCATCTTCCTCATTAGGGTTCCTTTTTGGTTCCAACACTCCAGCCACATTGGCCATTATCATTAATGTTATACATGCTACTTTTCCATTTGCCATAGGAAATTTATATGTATCTTTTTCTCATCCTGAAACATGCTCCCTTTTCATTCTTTGCCTAACTCCTACCCCACATTCAGATAACCAGTTTCATCAACATTTTCCTTTGGTAAATTTTCTCTAACTAAGGCAAATGGCTCCTTAGCTAAGTCAAACTCCTCTATTACATGGTCTCAGAGCACTACTTCTTCAAAGTAATTATCATAATTATAGTTTGATCAAAAATTGACACAAGATGGGGCACCTTGGTGGCTCAGTTAAGTGGCTTCTTGAATTTGGCTCAGGTCCTGATCTCACAGCTCCTGAGACTGAGCCCTGCATTGGGCTCCAGGCTTAGCTGGAGTCTGCTTGGATATTCTCTTCCTCTGCCCCTTCCCCCACTCATGTATGTGCTCTCTCTCTCTTCCAAATAAATCAATCTTAAAAAAAAATTCACACAAGACATTAATGCCCAGTTTTCATCTACCAGCCGTAAGTTTCATGAGCATAGGGACTATGTGATTTTATTCTTTATGGTATCTACAGTACCAACCACTAAACCTAGCAAGTATCAATAATTGTTGAACACATGAACAAATGTCTAAACTCTTGTAGTGTTCTGAATGGAGTTTCTTGTCAATCAAAGGAGTCAAACAAAACAATCTCTGTTCATTTAAACAAACAAATATTTATAGGCTGCTTTAGCATTAGCCAAAGAATGAGGACAGAGTGTTAACAAAAGTAGATATGTTCCCTACCCTTATGGAGCTTACTATCTAAGGAAATGGTCATTAAAGTAATCACACAAATAAATTTATTATTGTGATTTTTATTTATGAACTATAAAATAAAATTCAGTATAGTATGAACTATGACAGGAGTATTTAATTTATACTCTCAGAAGGCAAAAAACAGCTCTACCTCCAAAGAGCTGTTTATCTCCTTGTTTTATGCTAGATGGGTTTTTGTTGTTTTTTTTTAAAGATTTATTTATTTATTTGAGAGGGAGAGAGAGAGAGAAAGAGAGAAAGAGAGTGCACACATGTGAGCAAGGAGAGAGGGAGAGAGAGAATCTCTAGTAGCCTCCATGCTGGGTGGGCACAGAGCCTGATGCAAGCTTGAACTCACAACCCTGAGATCACAACCTGAGCTGAAACCAAGAGTTGGATGCCTAACTGACTGTGCCTCCCAGGCACCCCATGCTGGAAGGTTTTTTATGGTCTCTTTATATTTTCCCTGTTTACTCATTTTTGAATAAGGATATTATAGCCTGGTATTAACTCCAAAATTGTATAAGAGGCATCTCCTTAAATTCCCATTTACCAACGGATGTTATTAGTTTTAACAGGAAGGGAGATGGATATACATTTACAACACAATTTCATGTGCCATTGCCAATATCTATTATCCTGTTTTGGTTTGGAGAATTCTAGTATTTGGATGAAGAAAGAGAAGTCATGGTGGGAACATGTAGGAGGGCCAACTTCTTAGTTACTTGGCTGGTTACAGACCCTGCATTTCTGAATTCAGGGGCGTAAAGGACTTAGATGTAGAGAAGGTAGGAAAGTGATCAGAGAGTGAGGGTGAGGAACAAAGGAAAATTTTCCTTCCTATTTTCATTACTTACATGCGGCCAAGAAATTCAGTGGCAACCTATTAACTATTATTAACTGTTATTCCTAGTATTATGTGATTGTATCTTTTCTTTCTTTGTACATCATGAAGTATTTTAGTGACAAACTGGGCAAAGCTATCACTGCTGCTAACCAGGTATTATTTTAAACTAGCATTGTTGTTTTCTTTAGAACATAAAATGAAGATGTAGTCAGTATTCATAGTGATTACTATGTTAAGTAGGAAATAACTAGAGAACAAGTACATTAGATCACATTCTAGTTCTATGACATTAAATACATTTTGACACTCACTATTCTGAAATTCCTTGTACTTCTTTTGTCCAGTTAGATTGCTCTTTGTCTCCAAGATGGACCACTTTAGATGGTGGGGCAGTTCTTCCCAAATAAAGCTTCTGTGTTCCTGGAGGTTCTTCCAAGTAAAATCTTAAAAATTAAAATAAAATTAAAATTATATTACCCCCAAATTTATGGTTTAATAAGGTGTTCTAGCAGCATAAGTCCTCAAAGTGAAAAGGTTTCTACATGATATAACAGCAAAACACCAGACATCCCTTTTTTTTTTTTTAATGGACAGAGGGAGATCACAAGTGAACAGAGAGGCAGGCAGAGAGAGAGGAAGGGAAGCAGGCCCCCCTCTGAGCAGAGAGCCTGGTGCGGGGCTTGATCCCAGGACTCTGGGATCATGACCTGAGCTGAAGGCAGAGGCTTTAACCCACTGAGCCACCCAGGTGTCCCCCAACATCCTTTTTTAAAACTGTAACATGAAATTTTAGAACAAAGACTTGTAAAAAATTTCAAATATAAAAATTTTATTTTCTCTGAAAAAACTAAATATACAATAAAATATAAATTTTTTTTAAAATTTATTATTATTTATTTGACACAGAGAGAGAGATCACAAGTAGACAGAGAGGCAGGCAGAGCACAGAGAGGAAGGGAAGCAGGCTCCCTGCTGAGCAGAGAGTCCAATGCAGGGCTCGATCCCAAAACCCTGGGATCATGACCTGAGCCGAAGGCAGAGGCTTTAACCCACTGAGCCACCCAGGAGCCCCTAAAATATAAATTTTTAAAGAATTAAAAATACTCTCAAATTCAATAAAGTATATTTGCTAAAAATTTTAACTTGATTCTCATTAAACCATTATACCTAAATTCCAGTTAGCAGGAAATATGTGGGATGGAGGACCAAGTTAAATGACACTAAACAGAGACAATCAGGTAAATCCAGAATTATACAAAATAACTGGCCTGGACTCTTCAAGAAAAGAGGCAGGGAAGTAAACTTAGTTTGCCAGATCCCAGGATATAAAATCAACATACAGAAATCAACTGTATTTCTAGATACTAGCTGGGAAAACCAAAATTTAAAACATAGCATCATCTATAGTTGCTCCAAAATAATTTAAATACTTAGATGGAGCAATTCCTTCTGCCTTATTTTTATTTTTCAAAATTATTTTAATTATTTTTGTTCTTTGCCTTTCCATATAAATTTTAGAATACATTGTTCTGCATCCATAAAATCTGGGAGAGATTTTGGTAGGAGTGCTTTAAGCCTACAAATTAATTTGGGGAGATTTGGTATCTTTACTATGTTGAGTCTTTTGATCCAAATGGATCTCCATTTACCTCACCATTTATTTCAATTTTTGATTTCTTTCCCCAGTGGTTTGCTTTTTTTTTTTTAGCATACAGATCCTGTATGTAATTTGTTAGATTTATACCTAAGATTGAGACATATATAGCTACAGTAAGAAGACAGTGTGGTACTGGCATAAAAACGGACATACAGATAAATGCAACAAAATAGAAAACTCAGAAATAGACCCACACAAGTATGCTCAACTGATTTTTGACAAAGGTGTAAAGGCAATCTAATGGAGGAAGAATAGCCTTTTCAACAAATGGGGCTGGAACAACTGAACATTCATTCATAGGCAAATATATGAACCTTGACCTAATATAAAAATTAATTCATAATGGGTCATGGATTTAAATGTAAAAGGATGAGGTAAAATTATAAAACTTTTTGAAGAAAATATAGAGAAAAGGTATGGGACCTCGGGCTAGGCAAAGTTCTTATACCAAAAGCATGATCTGTAAAAGAAAAAACTGATAAACGGAACTTCATTAAAAAGGGAGGGGAACTGCATTCTGATGATTAAAAAAGAAAAGAACCCTCAAGATTTCTCAAGAGCTCCTCAACAAAAGCAGATACCCACAGAAGAAAAAAATCATAATGGGACTGATCTCTTATCAACAAAATTTTATGACAGAACACAACTGAAGTATGCTCGCAGAAAACTAAGGAAAAAGGACTGGGCCTCTAAAATTCTAAACCTATGTGTGAGGAAAACAAAAATGATCTTTTGGATATGTAATGGCTCATTACATCAGAGAAAATGCAACATTTTCTCTGAAAAAATTACCTTTAAAGGTTCTAGACACATGAAAAATAACAACAATCAGACTAAATTTACATGAAATAAAGATACAAAATGACAAAGAATAAATTGTCTAAATAATCATTGACAAAATGATCATGAATTGAAATAAAATAAGAAACTATTTCTTAAATTGAAGCTATGTACTTTTAAAAATTGATGTATTATTTAAATGAAACCTGGAAGGGGCATGGAAGGTCAGGTTATATATGCTATTCATTCTTGTCAGAAAGAGAAATATATTTGCTAAACAATAACTGCTAGCAAAAAATTAGGATACAGGGCTTTCAGATAATTAAAAGGAAAAGAAAGCAAAAGGGAAAAGATAAATGCATTTAAAATATCTCAGTGAGGTACTATGGTTGAACATTGAATGATGTGATTAAAAGACTTTCATTTTCACTACAGAGTGTAAATATTTTTACAGTCATTCTATCAGTTTTTTTTGTAATTCTTTCAGTTTTAAAAAGTATCATTAAAAGCCATCAAGTAAGCAAAACAAATATAAATTTTAAAAATATACATCAAATCTTACTTACTTAGTTTCTCCATCTGATATACCAACAACTCTAGCTTCTTCAAGATGAGGCCAATTAACAAAGACAGACTTTCCAAGCACGGATGAAGCTATATTTTCTACACACTTAAAGTAAAAGCAGAAAAGTTCACTCATATTTCAGGTCCAAGAGGTAAGTGTACAAAGGCAAAATTAAATAATTAAAACCTGGCTTGTGTTTACAAAGGTCTTTAAAATCAATAAAAACCTCACCTTAATAATTAAGACAGATATAAAATACCATTTGCTCACTCAAGCCATTTATTTCCTACAGTTCCTCCTCTTTTCAACTTTACTCTCCAACTAATTACTCCACCCACTTGAATTCAGTTAGTTTTCCTAATTTGTCTTCTTTAAGTTGTATCTTTATTGCTAACTACTCTTTTTCTTTTTAGTATGTTTCCCAGGATTTCTGGTTGGAGTCTTAATTTTTTTTTCCCCTTTCCTTTATTTAAAAAAATATATTTCACTTGTTTTTACCCATCTGCCTTTCTTTAACCCTTTATTTTAGTATGAATCTATTAAAGTTGACCAAGTTTACCTTCCCCTCTCCCAATCCCTTCTTATTAGAGAGGCACTATGACCAACTTAAAGTACTGTTCTACAGTATAAACATTATGACACCAGGAAGCTTGCCTTCTTCTCATTTTCTCAACAGCAATGGCACTTATTAGTAAAGGATGGCCCACTGACTTTAATCCTGAATGAAATTACTTGGTGAAAAAACAGGTTCCAGTGAAATTACACTGAAGAGCACCGACATATAATGTATTACTGTCCCTAACAATAGCCAACATTACTAGAAATAATGTTTAGCAAGAAACCTAGGTTCTTAGTTCTGCTGCTAACTCCATTTAAGTTTCTTAATTTGTAGAATTAATGATTTCGAATAGATGCTTTACAAAATTCTACCCAATTGTAAAATTCTATGATCCTATTATTCTCATTGTTATTTTTCTGATGGAAACTGAGAAAGGTGGTAAGAATAGCAGAAATGTCTAGAAAAGGGCTATTATTCATTGTTTCATATCAAATAATCAGATAACAGAATCTAAGAAATCTGACTTCATTTCAGTTTGTAGTTGGTATAATGAAATAAGAACCCTAGACTTAAAATTAGAAATCATGGGTCCAAAGTTGAGTTCTATGTCTTTCCAGCTATAGAATCATAGGCAAATCATTTAAATCCCACTGAGGCAGAGTTTTCTTATATGAGAATAAGAAATAACATCTACCTCACAATGTTTATTTGGTGATAAAATAATACACACAAAATCTTTTGTAAAGTGTAAAATGCTGTATAAATATTCTTATATATATTTTTTAAAGATTTTATTTATTTATTTGTCAGGGACAGAGGAAGAGAGAGCGAGTGAGCACAGGCAGACAGAGAGGCAGGCAGAGGCAGAGGGGGAAGCAGGCTCCCTGCCGAGCAAGGAGCCCGATGTGGGACTCGATCCCAAGACGCTGGGATCATGACCTGAGCCGAAGGCAGCCGCTTAACCAACTGAGCCACCCAGGCGTCCCCTGCATAAATATTCTATATGAAATAATATCTTAGGTAAAAATTCTAGTTTGTTTACAACAACTTTGTAGTAGCAACTGAAATTTAAATACAAATTTTCATTCAGTTCTTTTCTGTTTATTATGTTAATCATTATTAGCAAATTTTTTTGAAGATTTTATTTATTTATTTGACAGAGAGAGAGATCATGAGTAGGCAGAGAGGCAGGTAGAAAGAGAGGGGGAAGCAGGCTCCCTGCTGAGTTGAGAGACCAATCCGGGGCTCGATCTCAGGACCCTGAGATCATGACCCAAGCCGAAGGCAGAAGCTTAACCCAGGTGCCCCTAGCAAATATTTCTTTAACAATTACAGATGACTATTTTTAGACTTTTTGCAGCAACTTTTAATTAGACATTTCTTAATGTTTAATTAAATGTCTAATTATATGTCTAACATATAAAGCAAAAGAATGACTATTCTGATAAATAAAACAAGTTTCAACATTAGAACAAGGAACCCATAATTATCCTTTTCCCTTCTACACATGTATTTCTTCTCTCATTTTCCTTTAGTTTTTGAAGGAAAAGTTGTCATTTCTCAAATTAATCCTCAGACTAAGCCTAAATCCTCAAAGGCCAATAATGATCCCTGAAGGACAAATTCACAGACCTTGTTTCAGTTTTTATTCTTGCACTACATGTAGTATCTACTCCATGCTTCTGTGGTATTACTTAACTTGGAAATCATTTTCTCACCTCTGAACACTATAGTCAATTTCACTGGTTCCTTTTCCACCCTTTTAACTATGGGTATTTCTTCATGTTGAGATTTGAACTCTCAGAGTCCATTTTCTTCAGGAAAATGAGCCCTAAGCCCTCAGCCATCACTCCTTGTAAATGACTCATATAGCCCTACCTCCTTCCAAGCTCTAGCTCCAGGTATTGTGTATAAGCAGACTTTCTTCACTGAGGTTCTTCATCTGAACCACAGAACACAAAAAATAATTTGACTATTTTTTTCAATTCTCCAAAGGATGGTACATAATAGTCCCACTCTAAATGTACAGAAAATTAATCTACTACATTCAAATGGATGACTTAGGGCGTTAGGGCTTAAATTTCTTATGGAACTCTTGTTGAGAAAGTCTGGCAGGGCAGCGCCAGTTAGACACCCTGGCATCACCTTAAAATTCCATCATTACTTATCATTAATCCCCTCAAGCCAGAGACTTTCCCACTTTAACTTCCTTATTCCAATAAACAACAACTATTTACTAGTTAACTAGGCTTGACATCTCAGTCATATTTAGTATTTTCTTCCTCTTTTCATCCTCTATGTTTGAACGAATGATGAAACTTGTCAATTTTAACAGTCTTACTCATCTAGATCTATTACTACTTTCAGTTTTTGTCCTTATTACCTAACACTTCTAAACCACAACCTCTTAACTTGCAGGCTTTTTCATTTTCTTCCATTTCTCTTTTGTGCCATTTAGTCTATTATACTGCCACCAAATTAATCCTTATGAAAATACGATTTCAAGGTAACAGTTACGGGAAAACAAAGTCCAAACTGCTTAGCCTGGTATTCAAGGTCCTCCATAATCTGGCCTCAATCTGTTTTTTCAACCTTATCTTCTACTACTTCCCAACACAAGTCCTCTGCTTCAGTCAGGTTTATCTATTCCTTCTCCTCAAATACATCACATTTATTCTAAAAAAAGAAAAAGTATTAAGAAAAATTTCAGACATACAAAAAGGTTAAAAAGAATAAGATAATGTATCACACATTTATTTCCAGCTCATGTTATTCCTTTCAACTAGAATACCCTTCCCCTACTTTTCTCCTCTCTGTGATAATCTTTTCCTTCGCACCCAGCTTAAGCCTAGTCTCATTTATAAGCTTGTACTTAATCTTCAGCTTACACAGTTTATCTTCTTTCCAAAATTCATGGAGTATTTCTTGCTCATTACATCATAATTATATATTTCCTTTAAATTTTATGTAAATGTTTCTTTATTTTATCCTTATTTACTATGAATTTTTGGAATTATTACATGTTATACCTCTTTGGTAAACACATTCCAACTCGAACAGTTTAATGCATAATAAGCACCTAATAAATATGTAACAAGGAAAATACTTACAAATTCATCTGATTCTGCATTCACTAAGATTTCTAACATCATGTTTTCTCCACGACTGCTTTGCTGGAATACTTGAACCCCACTCTTCTTCAAAAAAAACTTTAAAAGAATTCAGAGAATTTAATTTCAATCTTTCCCCATAATCATGTTATATTCAATAAGGTGGAAAATTTTTGAACTAAACAACCACTGACTTTGTGTTTGATGTGTTTCAGGGTAGGAAATCCACAGAAATACAACGCCTTCTGGTCAACCCTGGTTATTTTGTTCTTGCTTATGTCTACACGCCAAGCATCTAATGATATTATTTTATACCTAGAAAATAAATCAAGGCATTTAATTCAAAATTCACACACTACAAGCAATCAGTTTTTCAGTATTCCCTTGAATACTTACTTTGCAAGAGTCATCCTTGCTTTTAAGCAAGGGAATGACAATTTGTCTTTTAAGACAGAGACAATATGGAGCAGGACAACCCATATTCTGTTATTATAATTGACTAGATGCAACTACATGTGTAGGTTACTGAATGGACGTTTTCACCATTAACTTAAAATAAAACTCCCCCTATATACATATACATATATATATATATTTAATTTAGAAGTAAAGGAACATATAAAGCATGTTACAAATCTCCATATCCTCCATGTTCTATAACCCAGATGGAAAAGCAACATTTTATAATGTCTATTCCATCTTTCTCTTTGCATTAACAAAAAGAAAAAGCATAACTGGGATATGTTCATTTTAGGTTCCATCTGGGTAAATTATTTGCAGGGAAAATGAGAAAAAAGAAAAAAAAAAACAAGGACATTTTAATGAGGAAGAGAAAGTAGAAATGGGTTTGAAGCAAGAGATTATAGGACCCCTTTAATTCTTTTTTTCTTCTTTCTGGTTGGGTGGTTAGGAATATAAGAGGCAAAGTCACAGCACATCAAATAATGCTAGGAGCAGACACTGACAATGGAAACAAAATTCATACATCCTCTTAAAGTGGGGACGGTACAGATATACACTAGGGAGGAAAAACTAAAAAACAAACAAACAAAAAACCCAACTTTAACAGGAGAGAGAGAAAGAGAGAGAGAAGCAGAATCTGACCACAGCAGAGAACTACAGAAATAACTGTGAGAGGGAGATGCTATGGTCTCTGGCAAGTTGGATATAACTCATTAGCAACTGACTGTAACTATCAAAAATTATTTGTTAATTCTCCAAGTAGATATTCAAAAGCTTCCCCCTCAATGCCCCCAAAGGGAGCTCTTTGCTATAGTTGAAAAATTACCAAATAACATTACCTTGTGCAACAATGTTCTATGGCAGGGAACTTTTCTGGCCATGGTGAGGGGTAGGTGAACTCTGTGTCTCTATCATACCAGCACATTAGGCACTCACTATGTTGGTTTCTTTTCCTTTCTTCCTTTTTGAGGGAGTGGTTACATGTTTCCATGGCTTCCAACAATCGCTTCTGCATTGAAAGATTGAAGAGAAGAGTTAAAAGTATAAAATTTCTGGCGCCTGGGTGGCTCAGTGGGTTAAAGCCTCTGCCTTCGGCTCAGGTCATGATCCCAGGGACCTAGGATCGAGCCCCGCATCGGGCTCTCTGCTTGGCAGGGAGCCTGCTTCCTCCTCTCTCTCTCTCTCTGCCTGCCTCTCTACTCACTGCCTACTTGTGATCTCTGTCTGTCAAATAAATAAATAAAATCTTAAAAAAAAAAGTATAAAATTTCTATAATCTCAACATACAGAATAGATCTTTTCCCTCAGTACGCAGAATCATTATTTGTGTTCTTGAAAAATAAAAATCTTAACTAATGGAATTCTTTTCCATTTTATTATATGAAAAACTGTTTCAAAGGCCCCTAGAATATTGTTTGCCACTACAAATTATTCTGAACCTATTATTCCAACAATAGGAACTAACCATGAATAAGAACAGCAGAGAATTGAGGCGCTTGGGTGACTCAGTTGGTTAGGCATCTGTCTTCGGCTCATGTCATCATCCCATTGTCCTGGGTTTGAGGTTGGGCTCCCTGATCAGCGGGGAGTCTGCTTCTCCCTCTGCCCCTCCCCCTAGCTTGTGCTTTCTCTCTTGCTCACTCTCTCTCAAATAAATAAAATCTTTAAAAAAAACAGCAGAGAATCAAATTTTATTATTTTTTTAAGATTTTATTTATTTATTTGATAGAGAGAAAGAGTGAGAGCAGGAACACAGGGAGAGTGGGAGAGGGAAAAGCAGCTTTCTTGTCACTGTGCATGGAGCCCGACACGGGACTCAATCCCAGGACCCTGGGATCATGACCTGAACCGAAGGCAGACACTTAATGATGGAGCCACCTAGGCACCCGAGAATCAAATTTTAAATGTGAATTTACCACAATTATTATAGTTATCATAATTCATAAAGGATTGATCTCTTACAAATTTTGCCATGGTATAGAAAATGTTTACCTCTCCAAATTATCTCATATATTTAATTAATTTAATTACATATATTTTAATGGCATCCATCAACAGAATGGCCAAAATTAAATAAAGCAGTAATATTCAGGTCTGGAGAGGCAGAGAAGTAGGCACTAAATATTGGTTGAATTAGACTAGTCTTTTTGAAAAAGAATATTCGCTAAATATAAAAATATACATTCCCATTAGCCAAGCAATCCTGCTTTTGGCAATCTATCTTAAAAAAATAAAATTTCCAATACCTAAGACTGAATAAACAAACAAAAAGAATACATGAATACACAAGTAGTTTATTATAGCATTACAAACAGTGGCAAAGAACAAGATTCATAAGAATTTACAAAATTAGTACAGATTATTCTCATGTACCTCTCACCCAGCTTTCCCCAATAATATCCTACACGTAGCATCAGTAAATTACCAAAACCAGGACACTGACATGAGTACAATACTATTAACTATACTTATTCAGATTTCACTGGTTTTTGTATGTGATTTTGTGTGCATACAGTGCTATGAAATTTTTATCAAAGTGTATAGATTCATATTAACCACCACTAAAACTGGAATACAGAATTGGTACAACATCATAAAGAAATTCCTTATTATTCCTTTATAATCACACCCTATTCCCAACCTTAAACCCTAGCAGTCACTCCATGTTTTATATCATAGTAATTTTATCATTTTAAGAATATTATATAAATGAGGGGCGCCTGGGTGGCTCAGTGGATTAAGCTGCTGCCTTCAGCTCAGGTCATGATCCCAGGGTCCTGGGATCAAGCCCCGCATCGGGCTCTCTGCTCTGCGGGGAGCCTGCTTCCTCCTCTCTCTCTGCCTGCCTCTAACTGACTTGTGATCTCTGTCTGTCAAATAAATAAATAAAATAAATCTTTAAAAAAAAAAGAATATTATATAAATGAAACAATATAATATATAACCTTCTGAGACTGATTTTTCACTCACTGATTTTTTTCACTTAACTAAATTGTTTTCATCCAAGTTGCTTATATCAATAGTTCTTTATATTGCTGAGTAATATTCCACCATATGGATATACTACAATTTATCTACTCACTCATTTAAGGGCATTTGCATTTTTTCCAGTTTGGGATTATTACAAATAAACTGCTCTAAACTTTCGTGTATAGGTTTTCCTGTGTGGACATAATTTTCATTTCTCTGGGATAAATATCCAGTAGTGTAACTGCTGGGTTGAATAGTAAATGTATGTTTAACTCCATTAGAAACTGATAAACTATTTTCCAGACTGGCCTCCTAGACTTTTAGTTCAATAATGATCTATGCCATTTTCAGAACATTTACAGAAAAAGTGGTATAAAGAGGAAAGAAGTAGCAAAATCTAGAAAAGATTATAGAATAAAACAGATAATATTATACCATAATTTCTTGATTCTAAGATACTACTGATATTGTAAATATCAATACAAAAAAATCAGTAACCGTTTTTCAGGAAATACATAGTAAATTGAATTTCTATAATTACTGTTCACTGACAGTGGTATTTACTTACATCCTATTTTCTTCTCCAATGTCACATTCAAAATTTGAGTCTAATCCTTCTTCACATTCAAAATATAAAAAGTTTTCAAAAATAGGGGCGCCTGGGTGGCTCAGTGGGTTAAAGCCTCTGCCTTCGGCTCGGGTCATGATCTCAGGGTCCTGGGATTGAGCCCTGCTTCGGGCTCTCTGCTCAGCAGAGAGCCTGCTTCCCAACCCCCCGCCTGCCTCTCTGCCTACTTGTGATCTCTGTCTGTCAAGTAAATAAATAAAATCTTCAAAAAAATTTATTTTTGGGGGGGCCCTGGGTGGCTCAGTCAGTTAAGCATCCAAATCTTGATATTGGCTCAGGTAATGATTTCAAGGTTGTGGGAGTGAGCCCTACTTTTAGGCTCTGCACTCCATAGGGAGTTTGCTTGAGATTCTCTCTCCCTCTGTCCCTCCCCCACTAATTAATACATCTTAAGGAAATACATATAGACATAAAATTTTCTAGGTTACTTGGCTCTGTGAATGTATGCATCTTTATAATCTTATAATCTTGAACACTTTAGCATCTTTAGGATAGACAGCATAATGTTAAGGTAGAATGATGTAATGGCTGTTGTAATGTGTTGTGACTCCCATTAGTACTGAAGGACTTATTTGCCCAGATGCTGAAAGTGCTGCTGGCTTGCAACCCTTCCTCAGCTGTCAGCTATCTCTTGGAAATATCTGTAGATGAAAAGTTACCTCACATAAGGTCATGCACCCTTCTGAAATGAAGTCTGGATCCAAGACTGACAGATGAAGGGTATAAAGTCTCAGGCCCTTTACAGCACCTTTGGAGAACTCAAATGGGCCATTCCAGCTTTAGAGTGACTTTTAGAGTCAGTTAAGGCTTTTTTGAGACAGGACTGTAGTGTAGCTTGTCCTTTTAACCAATCCTGTTTTTTTCTCTACTCAACATCTTGAGGGTAGCATCAAGAAACTAGAGTAGGGGGCCAAAAATCTAGAAGAGACTGCAGAGACACTCCCAGAGAACAGATTTAGGCTCTAATTAGGCTCTATTCAAGGAACAGTATGTGTCTCTGGATATAGGGATTTGCTGCATGCTATTTAGTTGGGATTTCAAAATTGTTATGGATCAGTGATTGTTACGTGCATCCTGTTCCTGCCCTTTTTTGATAGGAGCTACTTATTGTGGTTATCCTGTCATTGTCTGTCCAATATAAAATTGGGGATGTTGGCGAGTATAGATAATGTTTTTCTTTTTTTTTAATTCACAGGTGTCTGAGTCAGGAGAGCTGTCCCTGGGGAGCTGCATTTGAGGCGCTTAATCTACAACTAGACTTGATTTGAAGATGAAATTCTAGGCTTTGAGCCTAGAATTGAGATGAAATTTTTGGGAGAGGTCAGTGTTTTATATTTGAATGGGATACAAATTTTAGTCAAAGGGGGCAGACTAGAGTAGATGGTTTGCAAAGATGGCCATAATAATTCCTCCTATCTCGATATGTAAGCTCCTTTAAATGTTAAGAAAGTGGTCTATTTCCCTACTTCTTAAATCCAAGTTGGTCTTATTATTTGCTTTTTTCAAAAGAATGTAATGAAGTGACACTATGCAAACTCCAAAGCTCAAGAGGCTTTGTAGCTCCTGTTCTGAGAATAAACTTGAGTTAGCCTTCTAAAGGGTGAGAGATCACATACAGGGCTCAGCTCACAACTACCACCACCACCAATCGTATCAGTGAGATCATCTCAAACAACCAACTCCACTAGACTGCAAGGGTGAGGGTGAAGGCAAGGGTGAGAGTATGTATGCCAAACAGCTCAAGTCTGCAGGTAAACTCTTTGTAACACCAGAGTTTGAGTAATAATTTTTCACGAGGCACAAGTAGGTCCTATCAATCTCTCAGTTCTGAAAATTTTATCATGTATTCCTATTTAATAATTTCCACCACCATATACTTTCACTGACTATCTTATAATAGGAATTTTTCTTTTTACATCTTATATATCTATTTTTAGGTAACTTCTTGCATATATTTTGAACTTTTGTTTCCAAAAAATATAGAAGAATATGGTAGTTCTGCCACTTATAAGTTTTGTTTCAGTGGTAGTATCATAATGCAATTTTGTTGAAAATCCCATTGAGGTGTCCAACCTTAAGTTAAAATTCAATCACAATGAACTAAAGTGATAACTGGATGAATAACAATAACTGTCTACATGGAACTAAGTCTGTACACATGCAGGCAATAATGGCTATGTCACAACTTAATCCTGTCTGGTGGCTAGCAAGTGTCTTTTCACATATAACAGGTATTCCTGCTTAAAAACTAATAAGGTGTGAATAAACACTTGTTTCCTCCACTCCATAAACATGTCAGGTTTTTTTTCCTCCTGAGAGGACACTTTTTTTGATAAATTTACTTTCAGAGCTTTTGGTTCCATTGATTTTTCCTCTATTGTTTGTTCATTTTCTATGGATTTCTGTTCCTATCTTTATTATTTCCTTCATTCTGTTTTGTTTGGGTTTAATTTCTCTTGCATTTTCTTATGGTAGGAAGCTTAGGTAATTTATTGTGAGACTTTTTTTTGTTCAGTATAAGCATCTAGAAACTTAAATGCCTCTTAAAACACTACTTTAGCTTCATCACACAGATTATGTTGTGTTTTTATTATTATTTAGATCACAATATTTTCAAATTTCCTTTGAATTTTTCTTTCCTTTCAATTCTGACAGCTTTTGCTTTATGTATTTGAAGCTCTGTTATAATGTACATGTACATTCAGGATTTTTATATCTTCTTGATGAACTGACTTTTTTTTTTTTTTAAGTAATCTCTATGTCCAACATGGGGTTTGAACTTACAACCCCAAGATCAAGAGTAGCATGCTCTACTGATTGAGTTAGCCAGGTGCCCCAAACTGACTTGACTTTTTAATCTATATGAAATTTCTTCTTGATCTCTGGTAATACTCCTTGGTCCTGAAGTCTTTTTTTCTAATGTTAGTAAAGCCACTCCAACTTTCTTATAATTGGCATACCGAGAAGTTTTTATGCACATAATGAAGAAGGGAGTAGTGAAATCTCATTAATAAAACATAAATGATGATTAAAACCCATTGCTCATTAATTTATGTGAAATAATATGATTTAAAATATATGCATATAAATGGAAAGATGTTCAACATCACTCATGATCAGTGAAATACAAATCAAAACTATAATAAGATATCACCTCCCACCAGTCAGAAGGGCTAAAATTAATAACAAAGGAAATAACATGTGTTGGCAAGGATGTGAAGAAAGGGGAACACTCTTACACTGTTGGTGGGAATGTAAACTGATGCAGCTACTGTGGAAAACTGTATGGAGGTTCCTCAGAAAGTTAAAAACAGAACTACCCTATGATCTGGTAGTAAATATCTTTAGGTATTTACCTAAAGGATATAATAATACTAATTTAAAGGGATAAATGCATCCTGATGTTTATAGCAGCATTATCAACAACAGCCAAACCTTGGAAAGAGCCCAATGTCCATCGACTGATGAATGGATAAAGAAGATGTGGTATATATATAATATGGAATATTACTCAGATAAAAAGAATGAACTCTTGTCATTGCAATGACATAGCTGGAGCTAGAGTATTATGCTAAGTGAAATAAGTCAGAGAAAGACAAATACTATATGGTTTCACTCATAAGCAGACTTTAAGAAACAAATGAACATGGGGGAAAAAAGTCAAACCAAGAAAACAACTATTATAGAAAAACTGATGTTTACTGGAGAGGAGGTGGCAGGGTGTCGGGTTAAGCAGGTGATGAGGATTAAGGAGGACAAGTGTTGTGATGAGCATCAGGTATCCTAAGTGATGAATCACCAAATTCTACACCTGTAACTAATACCACACTAACTGGAATTTAAATAAAAACTTGAAAGAAAGAAAGAAAGAAAGAAAGAAAGAAAGAAAGAAAGGAAGGAAGGAAGGAAGGAAGGAAGGAAGGAAGGAAGGAAGGAAGGAAGGAAGGAAGGAAGGAAGAAAGAAAGAAAGAAAGAAAGAAAGAAAGAATATACGCATATATATAACTACTTCATGCACTGACCTCATCAATAAAAGGTATTAGTACCACAGCTTCCCATTCCTGTTGTTTCCCATTTAGGTCAGTTTTAAAATCAGGTGGATAATATTCTATAATTGGTGAGTCTTCACTGGTCATCAAGTGCTATGGAAATATAAAAGAGTAATAGAAATTTAAGAACTAATATCAATATAACTTTTTGTTAATATATTTACAATATTTACTCATTACAGTTTAAAATTCCTAAGCATAAGCAAAACTAAATTTTTACATCTTAGAAATGCTGCAATATACTTGCTATATTTTGATTTTCAACTATGAGACTTCTAATTTCACAGCTACTCTTACTTTCCCATTGTAGTGACCTAGTTATGTAGCAAAACCATCTTTACTCTGAATTTCAAGTTTACCACTTCTATCTTTCATTGTCTTATCACTCTATAAGGCCCACTTAAATTCTGTTCTCAGACTTAAATTCACAGGTTTCCAACAGTCCTCCATTTTTAACCTTAATTTACTTATGAACTTTCGAGTCCTCATCCGTTGATTTTGGCAAGTAATGTAAGAACTGTATCTAAGATAATTTAAAAAGAAAAAAATTTCTAAAATCCAAGAATCTGGGGTGCTTTGGCGGCTCAGTTGTTAAGTGGCTGCCTTTGGCTCGAGTCATCATCTCTTATATGAGGAACTCCTAAGTATCAAAAAGGACATACAAACACTTAATTTTAAAACCCACCTGGTAGCATGTAGGAAGTAAATTTTTGCTAGCTGCTGGAAGTACAGCAAGAAGCTGTTCGAATGGCTTAAAAGGTTTTCCTAGTTCAAAATGGATTTTGAGTGTACTGATGTTACGGATATCAGACAGGAAAGGTGCATAATGGTAGGGATAATACCTGTAAAACAAAACTGAGTTTTAAACAATTGGCAACTTTATGCAACAGGTCAATATTAAATATAACCTTTTCCTTTTTAACAACAGAGCAATAACTCTAAAGAAAAAAAAAAGATCACCCATAGTACTATCACTTGATTTAAGAAATCAGCATTAGCATATTTAGATCATATGATGGCAACAAATGTTGTATTTCCTTAATTTTTTTTAAAGATTTAATTTATTTATTTGACAGAGAGAGAGAGCACGTGCGCACAAGCAGGGGGAGCGGCAGGTAGAGGGAGAGGGAGAAGCAGGCTCCTCGCTCACTGGGGAGCTTGATGTGGGTCTCGATCCCAGGACCCTGGGATCATGACCTGAGCCACCCAGGCGCCCCTGTATTTCTTTAATTTTTAAGGTATAATTTCACATTTCCAAAATTGGGATGTATCGTGTAACTGAAGGATAGAAATACACACACAAACACACACACACATATATTTATATAAATATATATATATGTGTGTGTATACATGTATGTGTATGTATATATAAAATATAATGGTCTTTTTAGCTTCTAAGATATTGAGTGTGAATCTTCCAATCAACAGACTCTTAGAATGAGGTACTGGGAAAAAAAAAAAAAAAAAGAATGAGGTACTGAGGTAGTCAGAAGACTTTCAGTTAGAACACATGAACTGGAGCCTCTCTCAAGAGCACAGACAGAACATTGAGTCTGAGCTCGTATGGTTGTTACTAGTTAGCTCTAAGAATTTTGTATCTTTGAATTGGTATATATATATATATATATATATATATATATATATATATATATAGGATTAAACCATTTATCAATCATACACACTATTTTTATTTTTAATGCCTTCCAATCTACAACTACAGGTATAAATATTTTTTTACAAAGCTCCGAATATAACAATTAAAAAAAATTTCATTGGGGATGCCTGGGTGGCTCAGTTGGTTGGACAACTGCCTTCGGCGCAGGTCATGATCCCGGAGTCCTGGGATCAAGTCCCGCATCGGGCTCCCAGCTCCACGGGGAGTCTGCTAATCCCTCTGACCTTCTCCTCGCTCATGCTCTCTCTCACTGTCTCTCTCTCAAATAAATAAATAAAATCTTTAAAAAAATTTTTCATTTTTTTTAATGTTTGACTAAGGATGCTAAAAAATAAGTATATTATCTCCACAATTATGACATATTCCAAAAAGATGAGAAAGTTTAGGAAGTAGAATAGCATTTAGAATGGAAAATGTGTAGACTTTAGAATCAGACAGGCTTAGACATGATTCTTGGGTGTATGACTTTATAAAGATTACTTTCTGGGGTTCCTGGGGAGCTCAGTTGGTTAAGTGTCCCTTGATTTTGGCTCAGGTCATGATCTCAGGGTTGTGAGACCAAGCCCTATGTTGGGCTCCATGCTAGGCATGAAGCCTGCTTAAGATTCTCTTTCTCCCTCTCCCTCTGCCCCTCCATGCTGCTCTCAGAAAGAAAGAAAGAAAGAAAGAAAGAAAGAAAGAAAGAAACAATAGATAGATTGATTGCTTTCTAAAGTAATAAAGATGACTGGGCCTCATCTGTTAAAGTCAGATAACAATACTTACTTTAAAGTGGTGAGGATTATATGAGAACATGCTTTTCAAGTGCCTGGCCTTATGCATGATACATAATAGGATTAGTTTACACTCACCCTATTAAGAAATGGCAAATCAAGGATTTTTGTCATTAGAATGCTCTTCAGAGAGGCCCTCAGAATTAGGTTATGTCTTGCTAAGTTTTTTTTAAAGATTATTTTTTAAAAGATTACAATCTTTTTGTATTATAATCTTTTATGTATTAATGTACATAATTTGTACTGGTGTGTTTGGATGTATGGTGCTTTAAAACAAAGCCTAGTAAAGGTTTTAGCAAAGCAAAACAAAACAGAACAATTTTCATCACTTAAAAGTCTCTACTTTTCCCTGCATCATATTTTGCTTTGTTATTTTTCTATTCGGATGGTTTAGAAATGTAGACATAACTTTCTGGAATAGGAAACATGGGAGAAATGGAAAATTATTACTATTTCTAGGAAAAGTAAATAATTCTTCTTTCTTCTTCTTTACCCTTCCCAGTCTTACATTCAAATAACCCATTCTTTAGTAATCACTCTTGACAGAAAAATTTCTTCAAATACACAATAATGTAACAAAGAATATAATGAACAGCCCTATATAACTATTACTCAAACCTAATAATTATCAAGACTCTGTCACAGTTGATTCATTATGAGAGAGAATTTTAAATCCTTCGATTGAAAGAGGTTTCATCATTGGTCATCTGCTAGGGCTGGAAGTATCTTTGTACACAAAGGTCTTTAAAAAGTACTTTCATATAAGAAAAGATTACCTATATTTCATTTAAACTTGGTTGTATGTATCTTTTTAAAAATGCCACCGTAAGTAGGAATAAAGAGAAAAGAGATCTCCAAATGAGATTACAGGAGAACAAACCATTATTTAAAAAAAAAAAATTAAAAATTAAAATTAAAATTAAAACTTTATTTTTGTTTGTATTCCTCACCAGCTCCAGGACTGAACTCCATGATAGTAATAGTGCAAAATCCACTGTATTGCCTGAACATAACATGCAGCTTGATCAGCCAGAAAGTCACTGAAAATGGAAAAGAATATTTTCATTATAATGTTAATTTTTGAAGACAGGCCATTTGTCTTTAGAGCATGATATCTGCTAATACACTCTCCCTCACATGTTTTATATAATCAATGAAGAAGCTAAAAATTGTAATCAGAAAAATTCCAAAATAGTATTTAAAACAAATTCCATCCTGTCAGGTTAAAGGTTTGCCTTATAGTTTTCCTAAACTGTCTATCACAATACTTAAACCTACTGTGCATATTTATTCAGTCAAGGTACTATGCCTGCAGTTTAAAGTTTGAGGATTTGGCCCATGAAGCTTTCAATAAAGCGGCACTACTACTGTCCTAAATAGTTAGGGTGTGATGGGAAACAGGAATGGGAAACTTTAGCTGGGAGGATGCCTAAGAAAAATCATAGGAGGAAATCAGGAAGATCACAGAATCTGGTTATAGCAGCTAGAACACACTTTGAAAAATGCTGTATTTACAGAATATTATTCCCTGTAATCCTTTCTTTCTCAAAGACCATCATTTAAGGTAAAATACATTAACACACACCCACACACCCATGATACTTGGACGAAAGCCAAAAAGTAGCCATAAACCTGCTGGTGGCTATTACCAAAATTTAGGTAGAGATGCCAGCTAGAAATTCCAGATCTCAATATTTCTAGGAGGTACACTTTTGAAAATGAAACATATTAAATTTTCATTAAAAAATGTTTTCATTATTAAAAATCTAGATAATGAAGATAAGCATTTTTTAAAAGATTTTATTTATTTATTTGAGAGAGAGACAGTGAGAGAGAGCACGAGAGGGGAGAAGGTCAGAGGGAGAAGCAGACTCCCCATGGAGCTGGGAGCCCGATGCGGGACTCCATTCCTGCCACTGAGGGATCATGACCTGAGCAGAGGGTAGTCGCTCAGCCAACTGAGCCACCCAGGCACCCAAGAAAAGCATTTTTAATCACCTTAGAGCAATCACTATTATATTTGGTATGTTTCCTTTCAGTCTTTTTTCTATGCCTAGGTTGGTTGGTTTTTTGTTCAATATTAATGAGAGTATACTGTATACATGATTTTGTGTCCTGCTTTTGAAATTTGTGCTTAATAATATACTATAAGTATCTTCCTAAATTGTTACAAACTTCTTATAAATAACAGTTTAGCAGTTCTACAGATTCTGAAGACAGAGTAATGGCAAGATGGTATGATACAGGGGAAGCAGACATGATTATGAGGACAGGTAGATCATTTCTAATTTTGTACTATTATAAAAAACTGCAATAAACATCCTTGTGTATAAGGATCTTCTGTGTTTAAGTTTATATTTTTAAGACAGATTAATAATTAGAATTATTGTGTCAAAGGGATAAATATATTTTTTTCATAAAGATTTATTTATTTGACAGAGAAAGACACAGCTAGAGAGGGAACAGAAGTAGGGGGAATGGGAGAGAGAGAAGCAGGCTTCCCATGGAGCAGGGAGCTGGATGTGGGGCTTGATCCCAGGACCCTGGGATCATGATCTGAGCCCCAGGGCAGACACTTAACAACTGAGCCACCCAGCAGCTCCAAAGGGATAAATATTTTAAAGACTTCTGGATATGTACTTCCCAAAATAATTTTACCAATTTATATTTTCACCAGTAAATGGTAAAGAATACTACCATCACTGCTTCTGGACCAACACTGAATATAAGAATTTTAAAAGATTTGCTTATTTGTTAGGCAAGCAAATGGTATCATTATTTTCATAAGTCTACATTTTAATATATAAAAAGGAAGGGAAATAAAACAAGATTTGTTAGCTATCAAATTAAGGATTTAGTGCCTACAGCAGGTATTACAGTGCTACATAACTGTAATCAAGGAAATATAAGGATTAAGGAATAAAATATTAAAAGCATAACTATTTTAAATATTTTATTTCTCAAGTCTTACATGCTAATGGTACTTGACAAAGCTTCAAATGAGCTGGTGAACTGTACTAGAATTCCTATACCTCTAGTTCCTGGAGGTCAGTATGAAAAGAGACAAGAAATACTACGTCTAGACTAGAATGGAAGACAGTCTGAGCGTACATAAAGCAATGTCTGGAAGTCTATCTCTGGGCAGATTACAGAAAAGATCTAATATTTAGTGCTTTATTATATTAAAAGAAAAGTAAAAATTATAGTATAGAAAATATCTAAGTATAATATCTAAGCAAGTAAAAGGGTACAAAGCATTTCATGAAACTCTTATCTCTCTTAAGGAGAAGCAGTCTCATCCAGTGGTTAAAGAATATTAACTGGGGGCACCTAAGCTGACTCAGTCAGTAGAGCATGTGACCCTTGATCTTGAGGTCGTGAGTTTGAGCCCCATGCTGGGTGTAGAGATTACTTAAAAAAATAAACTTAAAAAAGAGAGAGAGAGGATTAACGCAGGAGCCAGATCGCCTATGTTCAAATTCTGGTTCTGTCTCTGACTATGCCACCTTGGGCAAGTCACTTAAGCTTCTCAAATCGTTGGGGTGCCTGGCTGACTCAGTTGGTAGAGTATAAATAAATAAATAAAATCTTTTTAAGAGATTTTATTTATTTATTTGACAGTGAGAGAGGGAACACAAGCAGGGGAAGTGGGAGAGGGAGAAGCAGGCTTCCAGCGGAGCAGGAAGCCTGACATGAGCCTCGATCCCAGGACTCTCGGTTCACAACTTGAGCCAAAGGCAGCCACTTAACGACCGAGCGACCCAAGCACCCAGCATGCAACTCTTGATCTTGGGGTTGTAAGTTCAGGCCCCATACTAGGTGTAGAGACTACTTAAAAATAAAATCTTAAAAAATAAAATGAACCTGCCTTAAAAAAAGCCTTTCCATTCCTTAATTTCTTCTATTGTAAAATAATAATAACTTATTTATCTTAAAGAATTGTTGTGAGAATTAAGTAAGTCAATATTTTTTAAATGTTTAGAATAACACTTGGTACTTGGTAACTGCTAAAGATTTTAATTAAATAAATACAAACATACATAGTTCATACTGTGGGTTGCAGTTTAAAAGTATGAAATCTACCATTCTAGAGGTCAACTTCTTAAGGAACTTTTTTCTTTTTCTTTTTTTTTTTTTTAAAGATTTTATTTATCTATTCAACAGACAGAGATCACAAGCAGGCAGAGAGAGAGGAGGAAGCAGGCTCCCTGCTGAGCAGAGAGCCCGACGCGGGGCTCGATCCCAGGACCCCGAGACCATGACCCGAGCCAAAGGCTCAGCGGCCCACTGAGCCACCCAGGTGCCCCATTCTTAAGGAACTTTTGAGCTAGATTATTAACTTGGGGCTAAGCCAGGTAGCTTTTGAGATGAGTTTGACGGGAGTCTAGAAAATGGAAGGGGAAAAAAACAAATTGTTTTCTACTTGCCAACTTTTTTTTTTTTTTAGATTTTATTTTTTTAATTTTTTTTTTAAGATTTTATTTATTTGACAGACAGAGATCACAAGTAGGCAGACAGTCAGGTGTGGGGTGGGAATAGGCTCCCAGCTGAGCACAGAGCCTGACACAGGGTTCGATCCCAGGACCCTGGGATCATGACCTGAGCTGAAAACAGAGGCTTTAACCCGCTGAGCTACCCAGGTGCCCCTAAAGATTTTATTTATTTACTTGTCAGAGAGAAAGAGAAAGCGAGTGAGAACAAGCAGGGGGAGTACCAGGCAGAGGAAGAAGCAGGCTCCCTGTTGAGCAAGGAGTCTGACTTGAGACTCGGTACCAGGACCTTGGGATCATGATCTGAGCTGAAGGCAGACATCCAACTGACTGAGCCACCCAGGTGTCCCTACTTGGCAACTTTTTTTTACTACAGGAATATAACACATGTCAGTTATCACCTATTCCAAAACCACAGCAGTTGAAAGATTGACACTACAATAATTTCTATAACCAAAAAATTCTCCTCGCCCACTACCTTAACTATCAAAATTATGCTGTTTTTTGAAGAACCACAAAATCTAATTTTTTCTATTTTAAAGTAAAAGCATTGGTAAAAACGTACTCAGACACTACATCAACTCCCATCTTCGTCATGTAATATGTTCTTTTATATTGTCTAAACTCAGTTTCAAATAGGTCATCATCTTCAGTCTCATCTTCTAAATTATCTGGAAAAAAAGCCAGAAAAATAGTGGCTTAAAATTATAAATATTCTGTTTTTCTACCTATGGTCTGGTAAATATTTATCAAAGCAAATGCTTAAAAACTAACATAGAAATCTATTCTATCCAATATTATTGAATTAGTATTTACTAAGGAAAGATAATTAACTATCCTGTCAAAAAAAAAACAAAGAATACAGAGTTTGTACTCACCCTTAGAAGTTACCACTTCTTCTCCACTTTTGTCTAAAGCAGCCCAACAAATGGCATTTTCCTGGCCCTACAAAAATTACAAATCAACATAAAATTAATGGCAAGATAACTGAATACAGAGATTTAAAAAATACTAGAAAGAACTGACTGATCCTTAAGTGACAACACTGTAAAAGTTCATTCAAAAAATAATCTGCAAATGCTATGTAAGTGTTTTGGTTTTATATCATTTGTTTTCTAAATCTTTATCATGTAGAACTTAATATTCAGGCCTATCAAAAATATGTAATAGGTAATTCTCACCTACTGAGTTAATATAATCTATTTGTTTACAATTGAATCCAATGATTACAAATATTACATGTTTTCTGTATCTCTGGATTTCATCATTCTTTTTTTTTTAAACAATTTTTTTTTAAAGATTTTGTTTATTTATTTGACACAGATCACAAGTAGGCAGAGGCAGGCAGAGAGAGAGAGAGAGGAGGAAGCAGGCTCCCCGCTGAGCAGAGAGCCCAATGTGGGACTTGATCCCAGGACCCTGGGATCATGACCTGAGCCAAAGGCAGAGGCTTTAACCCACTGAGCCACCCAGGTGCCCCTGGATTTCATCATTCTTATAACTGTTTTCTATCTCCACTTCTAAATTTTTCTCTCATGCAACTCATTTGCTTTTCTATAGTTTTCCCATCTCATCACATTCTTCATATTCCTGCCCAGCTGTTTTTCTGCCCTTGTGATCTCAACTCTTCTCTTCTACTTTCTGATTGCCTATCTACTGCCAGTGACTTTATTAGTTCTTCCTACTCCCTTATTCCCATTTCCCTTTGTTCATCCAAACTAGAGTCTCAGCTAACTTCCTGTGCTTGGGCTCTTCCTCTAGTTCCTCCCATTTTGCCAATGTCTTTAATAGTAACTACATATGCCAGAAGTCTTGTGAAGATTAAGGACTGGGCTGAGATGGGTGGAGCCAGGGATTACTGATGTGTAAGTTTTGTGAGTAAAGTACAGATTCCCAAAAAGTTTCTGAGACTATTTCCTTAAGAGCAAAAACACAGTAGAATTCAAATGGACTGCTCCTAAGCTTCACTGAGAAAAATCTAATCAAGTAGAAGGACTACACTAGAGAAAATTAGGATAAATGCCCTTTTGGAGCAAGAGTTACTAGCCTTGAACCTAAATAGAACCAGTATGGCAAGGAGAGTGCAGGAAACTCATCAATTTTATCAGAACTCAATAGGCTGAGGAAAATTTCAGAAGAGGTTTATTTTCTGAGCTAACACATATAAGACATTCTTTAGAGCTTATTAGTGATGTTTTATAGGGTATTAGCATATTCTGATTCTATTATTTATTTGTTCTAACAATAATAAAATAATAAATAATTATTTAATTACTGAGCACTAGCATTAGCTATTGTGCTATTATTTACTCTTAAACTAGCCTATTGCTTTTTTTTTAAAGTTTTATTTATTTATTTATTTATTTATTTATTTATTTATTTGACAGACAGAGATCACAAGTAGGCAGAGGCAGGCAGAGAAAGAGAGGCAGGGAAGCAGGCTCCCCCCTGAGCAGAGAGCCTGATGAGGGGCCTGATCCCAGGACCCTGGAATCATGACCTGAGTGCAAGGCAGAGGCTTTAACCCACTGAGCCACCCAGAAGCCCCTTTTTGTTTTGTTTCTTAGATTTTATTTATTTACTTGACAGAGAGAGACACAGTGAGAGAGGGAACACAAGCAGGGGGAATGGAAGGCTTCCCGCTGAGCAGGGAGCCCCATTAGGGGCTGGATCCCAGGACCCAAGGATCATGATCTGAGCTTAATGGCTGAGCCACCCAGGCACCTTGTATATGATTTTATATATAAATTATTTCTAGAGAAAAATCACTGATCTAGTTGATGTCTCACTATTAAATGCTATAAATACCTGCATTTTTTAAAAAGATAACTAATTTTCTGGGCTCTTTTATTTAGAAGTTTTTCTACACTTATTAATAGGATGAATGAACAAAGAAAACACAATGTTCTTCTTCAAAAGTAAAAAATAAGAAGTTGGTTTTTAAACATCAGATTTAAATGACAGGATCTAATAGAGAAGAAACCAAAAAAATCTTTTTAAATGTTCAATAGGAGAAAATAAGAAATGAAAATGAAATAAGGCAACCCTAAAAACCATAAGAAAGAAAATGAGGAACAAGGAATATCAGCTTTACTTTTATAGCTAAAAAATTGAAAGGACACCTAAAAAAATGAACACCTTTGTTTTTTTCTTTTCCTTGTAGTTCTTGGCTTCTTCTGCTGCAACACCTGCTGCTTCATTGAGGTACTTGTTACCAACTTTGCTTTCAAACCACTTTAGGTCCACAAAAACTTCACTGAAGTGCTCCCGATCAAACTGTACAGAAATATTTAAATTCATTTAAAAATAATTTGAGTATGCCTGGAAAAATACAACCCAAACTTTTACCAGCTGCTACTTCTGGGGCATAGGAAATCAAAGAATGTTACTTTTTTGTGTACATGGGGACCTCATCTACTAGTCTGAAAATGACAAATAAAAAGCAGATAAAAATAAAATTAGGTGAAATTATAAAAGAATGATCAATTGGAGTAGAAGTACCAAAACTTTTTCTTCCGACACTATGTAACTGGTTTCTGACCACTTATCTCTACCTGGGACAAGAAAATAAAAATATCTAGTTACTTACATCTGATAGTTTCACAAGGTATTTCTCAAATCGAGGTAAGTTGAGATGCCCACTTTCATTAATATAACCTAAAAGGAACAAAATCTAAATTTGTACTAAAAGCTGACACTATTTTTTCTAAACAATTCTATAAAACTCTTTTTATAAAATGTTGAATACTGGCACTCGACTAATCAAGAAAAAACTATATAACTGACTCTAGTTTCTATGAACTTGATGTTATTATAATATAAAATATGTAACAACTAAAGCAAAATAAAAGAAATTCCAGGTTCACATAATAATCCTCCCACATTTCCGACATCTGCTAATAGTTAATTAAATATGTTCTAAAATCTATCCAGATTATTCATTTAATATGTTAACTTGAGAAGAACTAATACCCTGCTATTCTGCTATCTGTTTTATTCAGCATTCACCATTGCTTACCGATTCCTCATTTTAATTGAAAAAGCTTTCCCTATTAAATACTTCAATACCTATCCATTCAGAAAAATGAACTTCTGTGCTTTAATAAGTGAAATCAACAACTTCTGATGGCTTTCTTAAACAATCAAAGGCAGAGATGAGTCAGATATCAATACATGAGGCTTCCTAACTTGTCATTTTCTTTGCTTGTGAGCCACTGAAAATTACAATCCCAGAGCTTGGTGCCTTAGACCAAAGGAAACCCCCAATTTTTTCCCTAATATAATTGTGCATGCAATAATCTAATAAACTGAGTGAAATTTTTAGGATTAGCTGAGTGCTTAATAAAAGTAGCCTCCAATGAATATTAAACTTTTCTTACCACCAAGTTCTGGCAGGATGGTAATATATGTTCCATAAAGAAGAGGCAGTGCATCATGATTAATATGTAAATGAGGTAGATGAGGGATAAAATCATTCCCAACAAGAAATCCCATCAAAATCCAATCATCTATTATCCTTTCAATATCATATTTAAAAGTGATCTTGTCCTATAGCAAAATGGAGAAAAAATCAAATCGTATGGAAATTCCTTCTAACACATCTTTGGTTCACAGCTATATTAATACTTACTTTCAGTACTGAAAACTCATAGTCAATATACTCTCTCATTAAAGACAAGTGTAGGAGGTGAAATGTGGTTTCTTCTGGTGCGCATACCCTGTAATTAGTCAGATGATCAACAAAGAATTAATTATATCTTTAAGGCTCAAATTTTAAAATGCAGCAATGCTTAAAATAAAACTTATCATTAGAAAATAATTAATTCGTGTAATCTAGGCATGTAATTTATATGAAATCTCCAAGGTAGTATAAACATAAAAGTATAATTATAATAGATGTAACATAAAGTTCAAAATAATTTGTCTGCATTATGCTTTCTGTGGAAACATGCTCAGAATTAAGAAAGCCTAAATAAGATACAACAGATATGAGAAACCATGGGATCTGGCCCATTTAAGGTTGGCCACCAGCATAAAGCATACAGATAAGTGAGTATATATACTTTTCTGCCTACTGAAGTACAGTCTAAGGCTTCAATGGTGAGGCACCATCATTTCTTTCCTCTTATCTTTCCCTGGCTTGGTTTAGGGGTCTATATACCTTAGCTATTGGCCAATATTCCAACTTTAACCAGAAGTAAGAATATAAACTGACAGTTGTACTTTAAAAAGATCAGATACCAGAGCAAGTGGATTAGCCCAGGAATACAAGGACAGCTCAACATAGGAAAATAAATCAATGTAATAGATCACACTAATAAACAAAGGAAAAAATACCATACAATCAACTAGCAAAGAAAACATTTATCAAAATCAATACCCTTCTATGATAAAAGTACTCAGCCAAGTAGGGATAGAAGGGAATCTCCTTAATATAAAAAAGGGAATTTATGAAAAATTCACATCTAATATGTTGATGGTAGAAGACTGAAGGCCTTCTTCCTAAGAACAGGAACAAGACAAGGATGCCCATTTTCACTATAGCTATTCAGCAGCATTGTACTTGAAGTCCAAGCCAGTGCAATCAGGCAAGCAAAGAAATAAGAGATACACAAATTGAAAAAGAAGAAAACTATCTCTATTTACAGACACCATGAGTCCATATACAGAAAATCCCACAGAATCCACAAAAGCTACTAGGACCAAAAAATGAATTCAGTATAACTGTAGGAAGCAAGATCAACACATAAAAATCAGCTGTGTTTCTACATTCCAGCAACAAATAACCCAAAAAAGAAATTAAGAAACAATTCCATTTAGAATACCATCCAAAAGAATAAAACACAGGAATAAACTTGACCAAGAAGACAAAAGAAAAAAACAGAGGCAAAAAACTGAACTTAGGGAGTGAGGAATAGGGGAAGGTGGTCATAAGATGGAAGTTTTCAGTTATAAGATAAATAAGTCCTGGAGATGTAATTAATGTATAGCATGGTGACTGCATTAATTTTTTTTAAATAAAAGGAAAAACAAGTAAGAAAAAAAAGCTGGCAAAAGACTTATATACTAAAACTACAAAATGCTGCAGAAAAAAATTAAAGAATGGAAAAACATTCTGCATTAATGGATTAGAAGACTTATGACGAAGCTGTAAATAGTAGCCAAAAAATCTATATAGTCAATGTCATCACAATCAAAATCCCAATGATGTTTTCCACAAAAACAAACAAAAAAAATCCTAAAAATTGTTAATCTCACAAGACTCCAAATAGCCAAAATAATCCTGAAAAAGGAGAACAAAGTTGGAGGTCTTACCCTTTCTGATTTCAAAACTTATTACAAAGTTTCAGTAATCAAAATACTTTACTACCAGTGGTACTGGCATAAAGACAAACATAAAGATCAATTCAATAGAATACAGAGCCCGGAAATAAACCCTTGCATAAATGGTCAGGCGATTTTTGACCAAGGTGCCAAGACAATTCAATGGGGGAAAAGACAGTCTCTTCAACAAGTGGTTTTGGGAAAACTGATATTCACATGCAAAAGAATGAAGCTGACCCTTACCTTACATCATATACAGAATTAACATGGATCAAAGACCTAAGTGTAAGGGCTAAAACTACAAAACTCTTAAAACGGGGAAAAGCTTTATAACATTAGATCTGGCAATTTCTTAGCATTATATTATAAGTACAAGAAATAAAAGAGAAAAATAAACTGGACATTGGCATAATTAAAAAAATTTCGTACATCAAATGACATTAAAAGTAGAGTAAAAAATCAACTGTGGAATGGGAGAAAATTTTTACAGATCATTTTTCTGTTAGATGATTACTGTCCTTAATTTAATTGCTGTTCTTTCTTTTCCTTATGTGCAATATAATTTACCTTTGTGTCTTTTTGCCACCAAACCGAACCTCTTCTCTTAAAAGAGAGAAATGTGCCTCATGACTTGTTAATCCAAGCATAATCTGTTGAAAAATGATTAAAAAGTTTCTATTCTCTAATTTTTATATTATCAGGTTTACAGAAACAAACTAAAAAACATTTCAATATAGAAAAACAAATGCTTATTTAGTAAAAAAAACAATTTATTAGCACATTAAATATACAAATTTCAAAATCTGATCCACTTATTAGTTATGGGATAAAGTGTGTTTTTCTAAGAAAAAATGTTTACCTTAGACTCACATGACCTTTATAACTGCCATTCTGTCCACACACAACCCCCAACACACCAAATCCCCAAAACCTTCTCTTGGTTTTCACACCTTTCCATTTGCCAGAGGGAGTGGATAAGAAATTAGAGACTGTAGCTCTTCCATGACAGATGAATGTAGTATTCTTCTAGAGTCCAGAATGCCTCTAATATGTGAAAATTAAAAAAAACTGGAAAAGGGCATTTTCATTTAATCTTCTCATATAGTATTCTAATGCCCAAAGAAATCAAATAGTCTAGTGAGACATATCAACCACTGCGACATATATTGTTTATTTTATTTCAATCCTGATTCAAACAAAACAACATCAAAAATTTACGAAGCCATCAGGGAAATGAGAATACCAAATGGTTATTTGTATATAAAACACTGATTGTTAATTTTTATTTTATGTAGGATAATGGCATTATGGTTATTTTTTTAAAAACAATCCTTCTCCTTTAGAGAAACATTACAAAATATTTACAGACCAAGTGATACAATGTCTGGGATATACTTCAAGAGTCAAGGGGAGTAGGAAAAAGGAGAGAGATGGTTAGGAATAAGAAAATGAAAATTAATATTAAGGTAAATTATTTAAAGCTAAAAATTATTTAAGATGGATAAAGGACATAGGAAGTTTCATTTTATTGTATTCTTTACTTTATGTTTGAAAATTTCCATAATAAAAAGTTAAAACAAAAAAAGCATAGTAAATTTATCTGGGTCTTGGAGTTATCAGATCAGGTATTATTGAAAGTTATATATCAACATGAGGGTAAAAAGCGCTCTCTACCTGATCTCGAAAGACTATTCACAGCACTAGGATCAGTCAAGTATGAAGACCACAGAGATCTGTTGATCATAAACTATAGCAAAAGAGTTCATTTTCCAATTGTTTTAGAACCTTGCTAATGGCAGAAGTAGCAATCCTTATTATGTCTAAAATATTTGTTTCCACAGCGAGAAATCTTCTTACATAAGTCTCTTAGAGATTTAATTATAACGGCATAAGGTTATAATAACAATAAACATCATACCTACCAAGTCAGCATCTAAACCATAAAGACAATGTCTGGTGTTGGGATCATGATCTGGCTTTGCTTTCTCGGATCTGATAAATTCCATGATTTTATGCTCTCCTTCTCCGGGGGTCTAAATATATGTTTAAAAAAAATGTGGTAATAATGCTATGCTTTAAAATATTAAATTTTTTAAAAATCCCTTTAAATAAAAAAAGATAATAACCTCATGGCCTGAGAAGTAGATGGTAACTCCTTGCCACGACTTATCTGTAGAAATTTTCATATTTACAAAATACTTCAGATGTTCATGTAACCTGGCCATGAATTCAGTCCCTATAAATAAAAAGTTTTAAAAAGTTTATAATCTGAGAGAGACATAAAAAGAGTGAGTTCCCAGGGACAACATGAACTTGGATCTGAGTATGCAGGAAATAGCTAGGTGTAAGATTTCTAAAGAAGTCAAAATCCCTCATGCTTATCTTGAAAAGTAAGTAATTTTGTACCTTTCTCTTGCAAATATTACAACTGTTTCTCATTTCTCTGCTCACCCTAAAATGAAGTTAATGTCACATAGATAAGTCAAGAAATTTTACTACTGCCTCAAACTATGCTTCACACATTTTCATACCAGTTTCAACTCCCTAATGAAACTTAATCTTCTATCTCCTCTGCAGGATTCTGAACTTTTTTTTTTAAAGGCACGCAGGTTTAGATTGCTAATAATAACAACTATTATTATTACTATTATTTACCTGGAAAATTATTATTATTCTAGAAACTGAGTCTATGGTGATTATGTTTCAGAAAAAGTTTAGATGGTCAAGAGTCAACGGCAATGCAGTCTTAAACCATAATTAGGATAAACTGGTTACTAAATCAAGCAATTATGATAAAGGCACTTAAATGAAAGATAAATTACCACAGTTAGTAAAGAATTCATGAGTAAATAAGATTTTAAGATATTTTTCCGAAGTAAAGGAGTGCAATGATGTTAGACAAAGCTCTAATAAGTACAGTGTATGTTGTTGCAAAGTTAAATTAAACTTATTATACTGATAAATTCATTAAAATCCTAGAATTTTTAACTATACTTTAAGAAGTACAATAGTAAGTGCTCTAGACTAGGAGAATGGGTTTCTTATCCTGAATACAATAGCTAGCTACATGAAGGTGGGTGAGCCACAACCTCACTGGATCAGTTTTCGTACAAATAAATGGTGGGAGTACAGGGGATCTTTTAAGATCCTTCCAGGTTTGGAATTCTATGCATCTGGGAGAGTCCTGTCCACAACTGCTCTTATCGACCTCTGTAAATCTCTAGAGTGGGTCTTCATAGGAGCACTTATAATCAAGATGACCAAAACATCTCCTGAGGAGACACAACTGGGAAAATAGCAATTGGAATTTTAAGGACAAATTAAGCAAAGGCTATAATACATTTGAAAAAAAACAAAAATAAAAACAAAACCCTTACATTTACATTTAAATCTCTCTGAATTTGAGGTGCCTGGGTGGCTCAGTTGGTTAACTGTCTGTTTTATGCTCAGGTCATAATCCTAGGGTCCTGGGATTGAGACTCATGTCTGGCTCCCTGCTGAGCAGGGAGCCTGCTTCTCCCTCTCCCTCCGCGCCCCCCTCCTCTGCTCATGCTTTCTCTCTCAGATGAATAAATAAATAAATAAAATCTTTTTTTTTTTTTAAATCAATCTCTCAGAATTTTTCTCTCAGTGAATTTACCTGGTGTAATACAGTTGGAATCAAATCTGGCCTCTGTAGGAAGAGTTTCTCCTTTTTCTAATGCCTTTTTAATTTTGTCTTCTGCCTCCTTTGCTGACCTTAAATGTTAAGGAAAAAAAAAATCTCAAGGTTTCTGGGAAAAAGTATAGTTCTTTATATAAAGTAAACTGTTACTTAGATGCTTTTGTAACTAAAATACTAATTAATCAATTTGAGGTTCAACACAGAATATAAGTTTTAAAATTACTATAATTGATAAAGATGGGCCTCAGAATTGTTCATTTTTACTAATTTAAAGAATTGAGTTTTTTAGAAAAAGGACTATAGAAGTAGACATTACAACAGTATAAAACTGACACAGAATGTTAGGAATATTTATAAAGTAATTCTCTTCTTATCTTAAGTATATAGCAAGTCGATTCTACAAACAAGCTCAAAAGTTGAGCATTAAACATTCATTATATATACTGCATTTTACATTTAATAGTAACATCAAACAAGAAGTACATTATTACAATGATCTAAGAATATTATATAAAAAATAACTATAAAATTGCAATGGATATCTTTGGGGTTCCTCATAAAAACATTTAAAATATAAGCCAATAACATTAATGACATCATTTGCCATAATACCTCATTTTTTAGGCAATAGGACCTACTAGAAAGACCATGTGTTTTAGAGTTGGACAGACCTAAGTCTGAATATAAGGCCTCTCGATTCCTATTCTGCTTCTCCTAGTACCCATTTGTGGCATACTGTATGCCACTGGCATGTAAGTTAATAAGCTCTGCTTTATGTACATTTTCTACAGCTTTGCTACTAGCTCTACCTACTGTGCCCTGTGGAATTATATTTCTATGATAAACAAAATCTTTTTCATATGTAACCTCTCTCTTACCAAATTCAATATAACAAAAACTCTGAAGATATCAACTTATTTGTAATTTCTCCAACAGAAAATTTTTTTCTTCTTTTCTCAGCTTCCTTCCTTTGATTGAACAAATTCAATGTTATTATTATGTGACAAGTTTGGGGAATATAATAGAAATGATTCCCATTTTCACAGAGCTTACACTCTAGTGGGGAGAAAGAGAACTTAACAGCCAGAATGTTTAATGTGGCTGCAACACAGAGATATTTGGGGCAGGGACAATGAAAGACTATTAAATCAATGTAGGTGGAAGGTTTAGAATACCAGCAGTAAAGATGAAAAGTAAATATGTATGTCAAATTTAAGAGACTGGTAAGTAGGATTGGGTGTGCAGAATGAGGAAGAAGAAGTCCAAATTACTCTTGGACTTTTGGGTTGAGCAGCTATTTGCATGTTAACATTCACTGAACTAGGAAACAGAAGGAAGGCAGCTTTGAAGTGGTCTTCAGTTCTGAACATGTTAAACCTGAAATGTATCTGCGGTATCCAAAAGGAGATATTTATGAGACATTTGGATATTTAGGGGTTCTGGAGAGAGATATCCATCAGGAAGATAAATTGAGGAGTCATCAGTATAGATACAGTAGTTAAAACAACTAGATAAGATCACTCAGGACCAATGATAGAAACTTAAGTAAAATCAATACATAAAAAAAAAGGCAAAGGAACAAGATAACAAGGAGACCAAGAACGTGCAGAGAGAGTGTGGTTACATAAAGATCACGGAAAGGAAGTTTAAGAATGAAAGAATCGTCACACTGTTAAATACTATAGGTAAATGAAGTAATTTATAGAGAATAATTCTTTAGATTTAGTCATAAGGAGGCTATTTGTAATCTTGTAAGGAAGTTTTAGTAGAGGGGTGAAAGCCAGATGGCAACAGATTTGAAGTAAGAGATGCATAAAGATTATAATTAAAGATTATGAATGGAGAAAACAGTATCTGTGGAGAATGAGAAAAAGCTGACTAGGGGATTTTAGGGAAACACAGAACACTCAATGCCAGCACAAAATATTTAGTAAATGCTTGTCCATTCTCTTAGTTTGTCTTCTGATACTGGAGAGGTTAGAAACCTAAAAAATTAAGATCTCAGGCTTCCTTGCAGCTAGGTGAGTGGATATAACTTAGATTCTATCAGATGCCTCCACAAAAGGTTCAGAAGGTAGAAGTGTGGTAAAGTCATACAGACTTCCCCACACTGAAGGAAGTTGAGGAAGAGGATTTGTGGGGTGTGTGTTTCATTATAGTAGAAGGGATCTCAATATTCAGCAGTTTTGTAGATGCTGAGAAGCAAAGTATAGGGCAGATCTACCAGGTACACTGGGGCTCTTGTGCTAACAGAGTGGTGGCTTCTTGATTGCTGAATTGTAACTAAAGTGATACATTTTTGGAGCCAATAGTTCAGGTAATATCTTCTTAATCCCTGGATCACAACTAAAGCAATAAATTCCTGAACAACCTGTTCTGGTGGGGGCCTCTGAATTCACCTTCTTGAATGTTGCAGTAATAGTGCCACTGGTGGGTCAATTCTGTGGTGCTGTTCTGAAGTCACTCTTGAAGGCTCACCTAAATTGCCATCCTTTTGGCTCTTACAATGATTTTTATAAGCACCTAATTCTTTGTAATATATATACTTAAAATAGGTAGGCTTCTATTTCTGCAAATGAACAGTGACTGATATAGTGGGCTTAAATAATCCTTTCTTAACACTAGATTTTCTAGCCCAGTAGCTCCCCCAAACTAGTTTAACAAATACCAGGGGAATCTAGTAAAAATCGTTTCCAGGTTCCAATTTTTGAGATTCAAATTAATTAAGTTTGGGTGGCACCAGAGGTTCTGAATTTTAATAAGAGATGGTCCTTGTCTTGATGGTCGTTTTATAGTCGTTCAAGTATCTTCAAGATCTTTTCTCTTTTGGTGTTTAAATCACTACTTTTTACTATTCTTTTCTCATTTTCACTGCTAGCCTTCCCTATGGTACCCTCCCACTTTCCTTGATGATTTCTGTATTTGATTCATAGGTGCTCTATCCACTCCTTTACCTGCTCTTGTGATGAAACAATTCATTACGCTAACAACCCATCAAACGTACTGGACTCAGAGTCTTCCCAACAATTCTAACAACCCTCTTAACTTTACTTATCCTACTCATAAATAAGGACACAGCATGATCTCATTGTTTTTTAAAACTATTCCACATGCCCAGGATTTTGACTTTAAAACTTTATGTGCCTCTTCTCATTCTGTTACACCCAATGCAACACATTGGGGATGATAGTATCTCAAGTGTCCTAACTCAGCTCTCTTCTCATATTCCATCAATCACCTTCTAGTCTCACTTGCTTTTCTGTCCAATTTGGACCCATGTTCACTCAGAGTCAGCATCTGGCCCAGGGTCTGGGCATTGAACAAAGTTTGTTGAATTAAACTGTCAATGTTTCTATTAGAACAATCTCTCATTTCACCCTGTAGTTCTCTAGTTCAGGAAAGACTAAGAGCGGAGCTTTCTCTACTACAGTTGACCCTTGAACAACACAGGTTTGAACTGAGTGGGTCCACTTGTACATGGATCTCTTTTTTCAATAAATACAATATAGTACTGTAAATCTATTTTCCTTATGATTTTCTTAATAACATCTTCTTTCCTCTAAGCTTACTATAAGAATATGGTATATAATACATACAACATACAAAGAATGTTTTATGGTTTAAGTTATTGCTAAGGCTTCCAGTCAACAATAGGCTATTAAGATTTGGGGGAAACAAGATGGGATTGGGAGGGAGACAAACCATAAGTGACTCTTAATCTCACAAAACAAACTGAGGGTTAATGGGGGGGTGTGGGGGGTTGGGATTATGGACATTGGGGAGGGTATGTGCTATGGTGAGTGCTGTGAAGTGTGTAAACCTGGCGATTCACAGACCTGTACCCCTGGGGATAAAAAGATATTATATGTTTATGAAAAATAAAATTTAAAAAAAAAAAAAAGATTTGGGGGAGTTACATGCAAATTTTTGACTGTGTGGGGCCTGGCATCCCTTACCAGTGCATTGTCCAAGGGTCAACTCTACTGCTATTTCTAAATTACCATGGAGAAGTTTGAAAAATTTATGACAGAGAGCAAAAGTAACTACACAGCCCAACATATGCTTTGAGAAGGACTCCTCACTTCAATGAATTACTAATTTGTTTATTCAATTGATAAAATGTGACATAACCAGTTATTTCCTTTTCTGGAGGAATTTAAGCAGAAAAGAAACATGAACAGAAGATGAGGTCATTAAGTCAATTATCTTTAAAATAAAACATTTTATTAATCTAAGTAGTATTCTAAAATAAGCCACAAATGTTTTACCTAAAACGCCTCCCCCGCTGCTGGTTCATTTTTGCTCGAGGAGCCACACCATCAACAGCCATAAAGAACACTTTCCTAGGTTTAATAATGCGAAACAACACCTCCAAGTAGTGAAAAATATCAGTAAAGATTTTATCATCAGAAATTCTGAAGTGAACATCATCATCATTAGGATGGGAACATTGATGTATGATTCCATTCATATCCAGGTACAAGTTGTCAAATTCAGGAATCTAAGAAATAAAGAAAAATGACCAAGATTGTTACTATAATCAATGATGAATATTTAAGCAGCTGGGAAAAGCAGCTGATAAAAAGCAGGATATAGGGGCATTATTATATAAGAACTGAGAAAATAATCACAGTTGCATAAAGAAAGTAAAGAAAAAATGCATAGGAGAAATTGGTAAGATGGAGACATATTATGTAACTATATAATGCACCAACATTTTGATCAAATTTACTGTCGGGAAATTATCTACTTATTTAAAATGCCCAATGGGAAAATGAAGTACTTGGTTCATTTGGTACTCAAACTATTAGTTTGACATCAACTTCTTAAAGTCTCAATTCCCCCTATAAATGGGTAACATAATGCCCATTTAAAAGGCTCTTTGTACATGGTCATTAAAAGATTTTACAAATGATTTAAACCCTTGTAAATTTGGTTTCACTGAGAGTCACCGATTTGGTCGTATTAATTAAGAAAGCTTAGACTATGCCAAGAAATTAAGGAAATTTTGAAAACAGATTTGTTTTTGACATGTGGATTAAAAATTTCCTAAACTTTGACTAACAGGTGTCTAGTTTCATAAATAACAGGTGTCTACTTTTATAAAAAGACTTTATGGCTTGGGCTCTCTTGATCTTTCCTTTATTTAAATGTTTATAATCAAGTAAGGGGAACACTATGAAAACAAATCTACACTAACAAGGAAATGAAGTGGGCACAACTTAACAGTTATAATATCTAATGTAATTAAAGATTTTGAGTCTGTCTTACATACTAACTGAAGAAAAGTTATTTTAAATTTTCAGACATAGAAACATAATGAACTTTTCTTATATAAACTTAATGAAAGCCATCTCTGAAACAATTCAAATTTTACCATAGGTACAGAAATGATACATTTTCCTCTTACTGAGAAAATGGCAGGCCTTTGAGTTTGGGGAGTGAAAAGTTTTGGCCTCTGAATCAATGAACACCATAAAAACATACTGACAAAACACTCATTTTATGGGATGGTACCAGGCACCACATAAAAAAATGTTAAATGTCCTTACTGAGTAATAGGCTCAAATGACATGAAAATTGTGATAATGAGGTTTTAAAAGTATATTCAAGATTTACTGTTTGCTTCAAAAAATCTGAAAACCTCAACCAAAATCTCTAAGTGAGAACTTTACAAAATGATTCCAAAGTTTACCTAGGAGAATAAACATGCAAGAAAGAATATTTTAAAAGAAAAGTAAATGAAGGAATCTACTTTATATGATATTTAAAATTATAACGGTTTGACTGAACAAAATAGTTTACAAATAGTAAAAGTATGGGATGTCTGGGTGGCTCAGTGGGTTAAATGTCTGCCTTTGGCTCAGGTCATGATCCCAGGGTCCTGCGCTCTCTGCTCAGCGTGGAGCCTACTTCTCCCTCTCCCTCTGTCCGTTTGTGCGTACTCTCCCCCCTGTCCCTATCAAATAAATTAACAAAATTCTCAAAAAAGAAAAGTAGTAGTTCAAGTGTATATAGAAATTTAGTACCTAAGAGGCATTTCAAACCAGTGAAAGGGATGGGGCACCTAGCTAACTATCTGGAAATAAAACTGTATCTCATCTTATAACACAATAAATTCCAGAAAGATTAAAAATGTTAATGTGAGAAATACAAGTAAAAAATTATATACAAATATTTTGGTGATTTTAGGATGGGGAAAGCCAAAACTCATAAACCAAACAAATGATGGACTTGGCCATCTATATTTTTTACATCTATAGGGTTAAAAAAAGTTTCAAAAACAAGTTTAAACTGAAAGTGACAAAATGCAGGGAAATGCTCGCAAATTAGGATAAAGTCAGCATTCCCAACATACAAAAAAATCCTCAAATAAAAAAGAGCAAATTTTAAAAGTAAGCATGGAAAATGCACAGCAATTCAAAAAAGAGACACAGAAGTCTGATAAACATATGAAAAGATGTTCAACATTCCCAAATTTCAAATTAAAATAATATGTCATTTCCCCCATCATGTTAGCAAAGATTAGAAAAAATGATATTACCCAGTTACTGGCAAGGTTTTGGGAAAATAGATATTTCCTATGTTATCAAAAGTGATAGTTGGCATTTAATAAGCACTCATTAGGTGCCAAACATTGAGCCAAACATATTCATTGTCTCACTAAATTATGATAAATTTAAAAGAAAAATATTTGGATTCTCCATTTTGCAGAAGAAGAAAATCACAGAGATAGAAAAGAGAGAAATGGCATTTACAAGCAGTAGTCTGGATGGGAATATAAATTGGTGTAATTAATTGAAAGTATATATCAAAACCTGAAGCATTTTCTTTTCTTTTCTTTTTCTTTAAAGATTCTATTTATTTGAGAGAGAGAGAGAGAAAGAGAGAGTGAGAGAGCACCAGCAGGGGGAATGGAAGGCAGAGGGAGAGGGAGAAGCAGACTCCCCACTGAGCAGGGAGCCTGACGCAGGGCTGGATCCTAGGACCTGAGATTATGACCTGAGCTGAAGGCAGATGCTTAACCAACTGAGCCACTCAGGCACCCCCCAGGATTTCTACTACTTAAAATTTATTCTGAGAAATAATCAGAAATGTGCACAAAGATGTAAGCACAAGAATATTAATGGCAGTGCTATTTACAAGAGATAAAAAATGAAATAAAAATGCCTAATAGGAAACTGATGATTGTACATCCATACAACAGAATACTACACAGTAATTACAAATTATGATATACATTCATATTTTACATTAGATAATGTGTAAAATACAGATAGTCAAATGACAAAAGTAGGCTATAAAAGAGGGGGCATATTATTATTCCATTTACAGTAAATATTTATCTATATGTACATCTACATATAAACATTAGGAATATACAGGAACAAGACATTACTGGTAGTTAACCATTGATGCTGGAATTTCAGTTGTTTATTTTCCTTTGGAAGATATAAGAGCTTTTACAGCTCTCAGTACTATATTAATTTTTACATAATAAGTACATACTTCATAATCTGAAAAAATAATTATCCTTTTAGAAAAGAAATTTTAAAAATTCTCTTACATTTCAGATTAGTAAGAAAAATACAGGATGAGTAACCATTGACTAATTCAGTGAAGAAAATGAGAACATGCAATAAAATCTTGCTCCTTCACAAACATAATACTGGGGGGAAAAAAAAGAAAGAGAGGCAAACCAAGAAACAGACTCTTAACTATAGAGAACTGAGGACTGCGGGAGGGAAGGTGGGGGGGGTTAAATAGGGGAAAGGGAATAAGGAGGGTACGTGTTATGATGAGCACTGGTTGTTGTATATAAGTGACAAATCAATAATTCTACACCTGAAGCTAGTATTATACTGTTTGTTAACTAACTGGAATTTAAATAAAAACAGGAAAAAAACCCCAAACACAATACTGAGTTATTACATCTGTAAAATAGAAGTTCTAACATTATTTTATACTTTCACCTCTCCTCAACCCCTGTATCTAATTAGTCACTTAGGTTTCATTTATGGTTTTGTTTTTTAAATTTAACTTCCAAAATGTCTCTAGAATCCTACCCTCTTAAGCATTCCCATTGTGTTAGGCAATCTCATAATTTTCTCCATCCCCAGATTTCCTGTCCTAGTTCAAGCCCTCAGTTTTCCAACTAGACTGCTTGCTTTTTTTCTCTCCCACCACAGTGTAGCTAGCCATTTTTCTAATATATAATCTAATCATGTTGCTTCCATACTTAAACCCATATGATACTAAAAACCTTTAATACCATAAAATATTCTGTATGACTTGGCTGTTATCTCTCCCACCAATTCCATGTTCTTTCCTGTTTGCATATACAGTCTACAAGCTAAATATACAGTACATTACCTAGAAAGCCATAGATGTACTGGGCTGTTCCAAACCTCTATGACTTAACAGATACTGCTACTACTTCCTGAAATGCTTCTCTTTCCTTTATGCTCTTTCTTCCACTGATCTTGCAGATTTTGACTCCGCTTTCAAGATCCAGCCCAGTATCTTTGGAAGCTTTCCTATACTTACCCAAGGAGAAATGATGCTCCCTTCTCTATGTTACACTCTTATTTGTTTTTGTGTGTTCCCAATGCATACAAGAATGCCAGATATATATATATATATATATATATATATATATATATATATTATATACCCTACTCATTTTTATTGAACACTTAAGTGTGATGTCTGTCCTTTCCTACTAAACTGTGAGTTCCTCAAAGCAAGGTCTCTGATTTGAGGAATTCACAGTTTAGCAGAAAAGGACAGAAATTACACTTAAGTATTTGGTCATGTTCAGAACTCTTTGTATACTACCTGACACAAAGTAGTGAGTAGAAATATTTAATAATAAACAGTGAAGTTCTTCCTTTATTAGATGTGATAGCACATGTAGGCTATAACACTTACTTTGAATATGCATTCATACTGCTTTAAATTGTGGTTAAGTATTAACATTTCGTATCTAATTTTCTCAAAACAGTTTCTTTTAGCTAGTATAACTTTGTATCCTACTTAGTGCTGCTGCTAAATGTCTTTTTCATTAAGACAATATGTATCTGACTATTAAAGAGAGCTGCTGGCAATTCTTTTGTCCCAGTTCTTTAATCCTATTTATCTTAAACAATCCCAAGATTTTGTTGCTTCAGTTCATTTTTTAATATGCATGTTTTGTTTTATTTTTTTAGAGAGAGGGGAAGGGGCAGAGGGAGAGAGAATCCTAGCAGGCTTCATGCCCAGCATAGATCTAGCTCAATCTCACAACCTTAAGATCATGACCTGAGCCAAAATCAAGAATTGGAAGCATAACTGACTGAGCCACTCAGGCACCCCTTTAATATGCATGTTTTAAAACATACTACATATACAATGTATATTTTAATATGCAATGTTTTTATATACTATGTATTTTTTATATGTTGTATTAGTATGCTATGATTAATAAATTCATTTGCCTAATAAATATTTACTGAAGACCTATTATGTACCACAAAAGTAGGGATTAAGTTTGTAATGAGGAACATATATATCTGAAGAAAACTTAACCTTTACAAAACAAAGGTCATACAATTAAGATTATAAACTCTTACAGCATATGCAGTTCTCCTGTGATTAAAATCTAGTACAGTGCTGTGGGGCTCCTGGATGGCTCAGTGGGTTAAGCCTCTGCCTTTGGCTCGTGTCATGATCTCAGGGTCCTGGGATCGAGCCCCTCACTGGGCTCTCTGCTCAGCGGGGAGCCTGCTTCCCCCACCTCTCTCTGCCTGCCTCTCTGCCTACTTGTGATCTCTGTCCACTAAATAAATAAATAAATAAATAAAATCTTTTAAAAAAATCTAATACAGTGCTACTATAACAGCTAAAATATGGGGCACCTGTGTGTGCCTGAGTCAGTTAAGCATCTCAGTCTTGATTTTGGCTCGGGTCATGATCTCATGATTGTGAGCTCGAGCCCCACTCCACCCTGGGCATGAAGCCTGCTTAGCATTCTCTCCCACTCTCTCTTCCCCTCCTTGCTGGTGAGCGTGCTCTCTCTCTCTCTCTCTAAAAAATAAATAAATAAATAATAATAATAATTACAGGTAAGATCTGTTAAGCACTTGCCATGTACTAGACAGATTTAAATGCTTAATAGTCGACTCTGAACAACCCAAGTTTGAACTGCATGGGTCCATTTATATGTGGATTTTTTTTTTTTCAATAAATACAGTACAGTACTATAAATGTATTTTCTATTTTCCTATGATTTCCTTAACACATTCTTTTCTCTAGCTTATTTTATTGTAAGAATACAATACACAATATATAATAACATATAAAATATGTGTTAATTGACTGTTTATGTTTTCAGTAAGGCTTCAGTCAACACTAGGCTATTAGGAGTTAAATTTTGGGCAAGTCAAAGTTATACTTGGGTTTTTGACTATGCTGGGGTTGGCGGGGGGTCGGTGCTCCTAATACCCACATTTTCAAGAGTCAACTTATGTGCATTCACTTACTTAACTATAGCAATCCTAACATTATTATCTCCATTTTGTAGCTGACAAAACTGAGTCACAAAAAGATTGAGTTACTCACCCATAGCTAGTAAAGTAAGTGCTGGGGCTAAATTTGAAACCAAGCAGAACTGCTCTAGAGCAGTATTTCTTAATCTTTCTTTCACTATTGTCCTTCTTCCAGGTAGGTCTTTAGACTTGTTTTTTTTCCTAATCATCACTCTCCAATGGAATTTCAATACCACAGCTATACTGTATATCTGTTTACATACTGTGGCACTTTAATATGCAAACCCCCACCCTCTCAACAATTTTGGTCCCTTAAGGAACGATATTGTTCCTGTTCATAATTTGTACTCTTGTGCCTGCATTTTTAAAAACTATGGTAAAATGTTCATTAAAACTTTCCTATCTTAACATTTCTAAGTGTACATGTTATTTCAATGCCTGCACTTTTAAAGCCAATCTTCTATGCATTTTGCTACAAATTGCATAGAAGGAGACACAAGCTAATATTTCCGTTTTAAAGTGTTTGCTCTTGTATAGGGAGCATATCTGTTTCATCCTTTACTATATCTGCCTCAGAATGATGCCTTGGCAAGTCAGTTATGTGAGTTCATAGGAGGCTAGCTACTCCTGCCCTTTAAAACCCCTTAGCTATAAATACTACTACGTAACTGGTCTACATAGTCTTTTAGTGAATATTCTGCAGTTCTCCTGTTCTCAGGTCCATCAGATATTGCCACATTGCTTCCTTTTTCCTCTTGCAGGGATGCCAACACCAACTGGGTCTAGAGGTTATTGGTAGTTTGTCCCTACCTACTTGTATTTGGGTGTTCACAGGGATATATTACATGGTTTTTTCATAAATGTTCTATGGATTTCAAACATTGCTATCAAGTTGTTCCTTTTTTTTAAAGATTTTATTTATTTGTCAGAGAGAGAGAGAGCACAAGCAGGGGGAGCGGCAGGCAGGAGAAGCAGGCTCCTCACTGAGCAAGGAGCCTGATGTGGGACTTGACTCCAGGACCCTGACCTAAGCCAAAGGCAGACACTTAACCGACTGAGCTACACAGGCATCCCTAGTTGTTCTGTTTTTGTGCAAGGAATCAAAGAGACCAAAAATGATGTTGTTGTCTTTACCACCACCATCTTCCCACAACTTACTCCTCCTCCCAATCTCTTCCTCCCAGGACTAGCTTTTGAATCATGGTGACTTAGGTTTACCAGCTTTTAAATACTGCTTAAGAGAATAGCTGCAAACCCTTTATTATATTTGCTCTCTTTGTTGTGGTGGTCATTGTTAACTACAAGAATCAAACATTTTTGAAAGACACCGTTTTGATAAGCCAAGTTTTAAACCTATCCTTTTAAACCTATCGTATGACTGCCTTAAAGAGATTATTTTTGTTCTTCAATAAAAAAATTCCTCAGGATGGTGAGAAGCCAAGACAGCTTTACCAAACCAAATTCTGCACCAAAGAGTACAGAACAAAAATATTAATGAACAAATTACATGTTGTCAAGTCAATCCAAATAACAATCACACTTTTTTCACTTTGGAGATAATAGTGACTGATACATGGCAGGTGCTCAGACTTTTCTTGAATGAATGACCCAGGAAAAGCCAAAGTTGGTTGTCTCTGTTTCTGAAATGTACCAGACATCTTTTTTTACCCTTTTCTCTGGAAAGAACTATCTTCCTAAATCTGACTCAACCCATGTTTCAAATAAACGAAAAATAAACTACTGTTTTGGAATTTTTGGTAAGATTTTCTTCATTTACCTAATCTGACAGGAATTCAACAACAAAGTAACCCTTCTGGAAGTTTCACCCTATCTTCATGCTTATTGTACTTTAAAAAAAAAAAAAAGATTAAACCCTAATTTAATAAACAGCATGATGGTGTTGGCCAGATTGTCTCCCCTCACTACTAATAAAATGTTATCCATCAAAACTGATTCATTAGCTACACAAACATCAAAACTGATTTTCCTGTAAGATATAAAATGGACAAGAGATCTACCAAAATCATTAAATGTGACAAACACTAACGTATCACCCGAAGTCTAGTTTACCTAATAGATAACTGCTTACTATTTCTCCCCACAATTCCTATACATAAACATTTTTGGAATCCACACAAAACCCTTGCACTGGGATATTACATACCGGATTACAAGCCAGATAATATTATTACTAGTATTATGCTCTAACAATCAATTTCTCTTTCTCTTTCTCTCCCTGTCACACACGCACACTCGCACACGAAGTCTCCAAATAACGGCCCCTGCCCGTCCAAGTGTATTATTGTTTCTCCTGGAACACGGTATTCGTACGACCTTTGAGATAATCGAAAAAGAGTAACAAAGGTATCATAAATATGAACCATCAGCTACGTCAAGAAGTCTAGGCGTTGGGGGTGGGGTGGGCTGCAAGTCCCGATAAGAGAAAGTAAACAAGGTGACTCAACCGCGGAGGCACTGATTATATTGTTCCTACGCGGGTCTGTTGCTTTTGGGGGGGAATGGGGGGACTTCGAATACCTGCTCCGGCTCTGCTGCCTCTATAAGGGAATATGCAGCTCCCCGGGCAGGAAAGGAAAGAACTCACTAAAATGCTCCTGCCCTGGACTTAATTTCCGAATCGCGGACGGCCCTACCCCGCAGCAGAGCTGTCAGAACTGCCGCGATGCCCACGGCTCTGCCCACAGAAATGAAACCCACGTCTTCGCCCCCATTCTGATAGTCGGGGTATCTTCAAACCTTCTCCTCCCTTCCCTTCACCGATCATGGGGCAGGCGACGAGCAGAAAGAGGAGGTTGGGGAGCCCTGTCCCAGGAAGAGGGAGGGCCGCGGGGCCTGGGTTCTTGGCCTCCTAATCCGCTGCCTCCTAGCTCACCCACCTGATGCTCTTTCACCACTTCACTGAGGCAGGGATACCGCTCCGAGATCCATCGGTAAAACTTGGGGACTCCCATTTCGACCGTCAACGCTAATTCCAGTCAGGGCCAAACCGAAACCAAACGCCCCACCGGGGCCTAAGCCTCTGCCTCCGGCCGTCGCTCCGCGGATGACAACACACCGCCCGCCCGACCATAGAGAGCAGTCGCCGGGGCTAGAGCGGCCGATTCTAGGCCGCTTCCCCGGGGCGGGGCTCTAATCCCGGTTCTCGCTCACCGCCTAGCTCCCCGGTGGCTGCGTTTAAGAGCGCGGCGGCGTGTGGGTTATATTTAGTTCTGGCAATGTCGGTTGACCGAGCTGTGCTTTATAAGTAGACGTGGGAATGGTATGAACACCTCACGGACCTGCTGGAAGAGTTTGGGAACAGGGTATTTGTCCTGCTTCTGTGCCCTGGCATTACTAATCTCAGTATTTTTCAACACAGATTTGGAAAGATCTGGTGATTTCTTTGGTTTAGTTTATTTTGTTTGGGGACGGGGAAGTTTTTTTTTCTGAGGAATATAACCCTATATCAAAACTTCTTTTAAAAACTTTTTCCCGCAAATTATTTGTTGGAAAAAATGTCTAATTTCCTTCCACCCCATCCAGCTTCCTCCTTAAGTCAACATTAGGCGCCCCTCAGAACTATGGTATACTTTCACATTCTTGTCTCTTGGTTTTCATGTTTTTCTCCCATCACACTCTAAGCCCGTACAGAAAAGCACAATATCGAGAACTTAAGTGAAATTGTTATAATTTTTCCATTTATTTGAATAGCCTCATTATTTTGTAAATATTGTGAATTATTTTACATCAGCAAGAAAATTTACAAAAAATGAGACATTAAAATCTTTAATTTCAAAATCTTGTGAAATTTTAAGTGTCTTCTAAGACTACTAGATTCTGTTTTCTGGTAAACTGTCCGTATGACAGATCTTTAAAATTATTTAGTTTTCATATTCATGCCCCTTGGTTTATATTTTTTTCTATTACATTTTCAACCATACAAAAGTTTTATTAAGTGAACTTTATGTGTGCATTATGTTTATATCTGTTTTATTAGACTAGACTGTCAGTTCCTAGAGGGCAGGGAAGGTAGCTCTGTGCAGGAATCTATCATAGTGCTGTGCCTACAGCATTTATTCAATGTAATTTTCTGTTCAAATGAATCCTTTTGCTAGCTAGTACTTAAAAGAAAACTCATAGAAGTTATAAAATGAAATTAGGCTGGCTTATTTCTTGTAAATACATCTTTCTAGTACAGAAAAACATAAGATGTCCCATTTCTCCAGTTATAATGAACAATATATATTAAGAAAGTAGTTTAGGGGTGCCTGGGTGGCTCAGTTGGTAAAGCATCTGCCTTCAGCTCGTGATCTTGGAATCCCCGGATGGAGTCCAAAGTTAAGCTCCCTGCTCTATGGGGAGTCTGCTTCTCCCTCTCCCTCTGCCCCCTCTACTTGTTCTCTCTCAAATAAATAAATAAATCTTAAAAAAAAAAAAAAGGCAGTTTATTTCTTAACAACATATATTATTTTAAATATTATTAACAATAAAGTAGTTAATACCAGTTGCTCCAAGAACATAAACTTATGCTGTACTTTGGAACTGAATAAACAATCACAGGTAATACCAAATGCACTAATTTTAGATTATTTGCATATTCTTTGAAGTAATTTCATTTCACATATATGGGGTCCAACCAAGGTACATTTGGCACAGTAAGTTTTCATCAGTAGCTTCTTGTATTAGGTAATGCACATGTCCTTCGATAGATAATGGCAGCCCTGTCACTCTGTTTCGGGTCTTGATTACACCTTGCAGTCGCTGCTCGATGTCAAGAACATGGGTCTTGGCCTAATAAGAAGAAATTGAAAATCATAAGTGCTAAGAACCTAATAACACCTGAATGCTGATAATTTGAAATTACTACTTTTTGGGTGTTTGACAAATGTTTATGTCATTTTGTGAATCATTACCCCTTTTTAGGAGCAAAACAGGCAAAAGAGAGAAGAAATGAAACAAATGCAACTTGAGATACTGATTTTGAGGCTTGCAATGTTGATTTAGCATCAACTGCATGGACATTTTTCTGGACTATGTGAAATACCTGGGAATCTCTTCAACACTACAATTCTAGAAAAATAATAATTTAAAAAATTTACCCCAAAATATTAGGACTAAAACATTTGAATGAATATTCTAGTGATAGCAACAATACTCTAAATGCCTAATATTTAGATTATGTTACTAAGTGCAAATAGAGTTCTAAGCTACCTGGAATGGTACACATTTCTCTCAATAAGAAAGCTTATCAAAATGCAAAAATAAGAATGTTATTAGAAAACCAAAACTCAATCTATTCTCACTTAATAAAAATGATTATCTGCAAACTTTGAGACTTCAACCAATGTTAGTAAGGAGTAAATTGCCATATATTAAAGTTGATACCTGCTGCTTTCTAAGTTCAGGCAATCTATTCGCAAGCTTTTCCCACTGTATCTCATAATTCTAAACCGTTTGAAGTTAAACAAATGTGTCTTGAACTTTATTACACAAATTATAATAATGTTAACATTAGTAATGACAATAAAGAAAACTTATTGGCACCTTCATACTAAAGAACTACATTTCAGGGGTACCTGGGTGGTGCCATTGGTTAAGCGTCCAACTACTGATTTTGGCTCAGGCCATGATCTCAAGGTTGTGAGATCTGAGTCGCATTTCAGGCTCAGTGCTGGGCATGGAGCTTGCTTAAGATTCTCTGTCTCCCTCTTCCTCTGCCCCTTCCCCTCCCTTTCTCTCTTAAAAAAAAAAATAGTAATAATAATAAAATAAAGAACTAGGTTTTCAGAGTATTCAATGGCCAGTCCCTGACAGTATTTTGAGTCAATTCTCATTGACAGAGACATACTGTGTCACCTCATATCAAGCTACACCTTCTACTAACCTTTTCATTGACAACCTCCCCAGTTTCATTCAGTGGTGCTTTGGAATGTCCTTTCACTGGTTTACTCCATTCCACAAGAGGATCATGTAGAAAAGTTTTTAAGACACTAAAATGTAAATAAATATAATACAAAGTTATCTTTATAAAAAGAATTGTCACTACTAGTCAACATTTAGGTGAAAAATAAGGATGAGAAGCTAATGGTAATATTCTTATAATACACATTAGTACTGCATCATTAAGATGTGAACTGTTTTGGACTGAGGGGTTGAAAGGAAAGTGAGGAAAGGGGAAGATAGAGGAGGATCTGAGGTGCTCTTGGAGAGTAGAGCAAGGTGAGTTCTGTGTGCCATTTCTAAATGCATACAGTACACTTCATATAAACTACCTATGGAAAAACCCACTCAGATTTCTTGTAGGCACCTCAAATTCAGTATTTCCAAAACAAAACTCATTACCCTTTCCCAAACTATTTCACCAGTATTCCCCAAATCAGTAAAGAACAACATTATTCACTCATTTGTCCTAAACAAAAGTCTAGGAATCACCCTTGGCTCTCCTTCCTTATAACACTTAATTCTACCTACTAAATCCCTTTAGAATCTATTTACCTTCATTTCTACTGTCACTACCTCATCCAATGCACCATCATTTTTTTCTGAGTTACTCAAATAGTCCACTAACTAGTTTTCTGGACTCTAGCCCAGACTGCAATTGTAATTTTTCTACAGGGTAAAATCTGATGACTTCATTTTTTTTTTTTTTTTTTTTAATTTTCTTCTTACCCCAACCCCCAATGCTTCTGGTTGTTTTCAGGACTAGGTGTAAACATGTAAACCGGCCCCATGTGGACTTTTCATAATCTAGCCCTGCCCACCTGTGTGATTATCACAGCGCCTTCTATGTGAAGTGTATGCTCCAGAAAACAGAATTACATTTTTTAGGCAGTCCATGCTTTCACTTGTCTTGATATTTCTATCAGAACACTCGCTTCCCCTTTGTGTAGTCAATTCCATTTATCATTAAGGTTTTAGCTACTTCCTCCAGAAATTATTTCCTGACTTCCCCAGACTGGAAGGGGTTCTTAGTGTTTCACAAGATGCTGTACATAACATTCCTTTGCTCTGTGGGGAGTCTGCTTCTCCCTCTCCCTCTGCCCCCTCTACTTGTGCTCTCTCAAATAAATAAACCTTAAAAAAAAAAAAAGACAGCTTATTTCTTAACATGTATTATTTTAAATATTATTAACAATAAGGTAGTTAATACCAGTTGCTCCAAGAACATAAACATAATATTCCCATGACTTATTTCATAGCTGAAAGTTTGTACCTTCATCCATTTTGCCCATCCCCCACCCCCAACTGATGGCCACCACCAGTCTGTTTTCTGTATCTATAAGCTCAGGTTTTATTTTTTTTTATTTGCTTTTATTTTAATTCCAGTTACTTAACATAGTGTTATATTAGTTTCAGGTGTACAGTATAGTGACTCAACAGTTCCACACATCACCCTGTGCACATCATGACAAGTATACTCCTTAATTCCCATCACCTATTGCACCCATCCCCCCACTCTCCCCTTTGGTAACCATCAGACCGCTCTCTATAATAAGAGTCTGTTTCTTGCTTTGTCTCTCTCTCTCTCTTATTTTTTCCCCTGTCTGATTTGTTTCTTAAATTCTACATATGAGTAAAGTCATGGTATTTTTCTTTCTCTGATTGACTTACTTCACTCAGCATTATACTCTCTAGCTCCAACCATGTCATTGCAAATGGCAAAATTTCATTTTTATGGCTAAATAATATTCTATTGTATACATATACCACATCTTCTTTATCCATTCGTCAATTGATGGACACCTGGACTTATTCCATATCTTGGCTATTGTAAATAATGCTGCTATAAAATCAGAATGCATGTATCCCTTTGGATTAGTAGTTTTTTTTATTCTTTTGGTAAATACCCAGTAATTCGATTGCCAGATCGTAAGGTAGTTCTATTTTTTTAAGACTCCACATATAAGTGATCTCACATATTTGTCTTTCTCTGTATGACTTATTTCATTTAAGCATAAATGCCCTCAAGGTCTATCTATGTTGTTGCAAGTGGCAAAATTTCCTTCTTTTTTATGGCTGAATAGTATTCCTGTGTGTGTGTGTACATACCACAGTTTTTTTTT